CTGACCATACGCATTAAAACCTATTACCCGGCCTGGGTTTGTTAGGTCCTTATACGCCGGCACCCATGTGCATGGACGGCAAGACGGTTCAGGTTGCACTGCGCGGTTTTGGAAGTCCATTTGACTCTATCCCGCGCACGTCGTGTCAGCCGTAGTCCGTCACTGTCGGGATTCGGGACATCCTTCCAGAAGTTAACCCGGGTTAGACCCACGCCCGGCATGCAAGCCTGCTGCACCAGCAGAATTGAAGAAAAGGTATGAACAGTCTGGCACCCCGGGCTGATCAGCTGCAGCACCGGGACTAGCACACCGACAAACGAAAGGGGAATCCTCGCCCCTTCCGCAGCGGATCGAGAATCGAACACACGACCTTTCAGTCCAACCCCTTCTAGTGTTAGCAGAATTGAAGAAGCTCTAGGACGTGAACTAGAACTTGAAGTTGAAGTTGAAGCATAGAGGTTCTCCGACCTCTACTACGGTAGGTCCTTGCACAAGTTGAAGAAGGCGCGCATGCAAGCCTGTTTACGGATCCGAGCTGTAGACTCAAGTATCAGAGCGTTCCTTAGAGCAGGTGTGTAGGGGCTCCTCAAAAGTCCAAGAAGGTGCGATCGCTTGTGGCAACTGCTTTTTTCTGAAGCCCTCAGCCGTGAAAGGGTGAGAGCGTTGATCCAGCTTCCGACTGGAGAACTATTGGGGCTAAGACTTCTCTTAAGTCGACTGTGGCTGCATGCCAATCAAGAAAGCTTTGCCTGCTCCGGTGGCCATTTGAATGCTTTCTTTGACTTGTTGCTAAGTGGTGGCGGAAAGAGAGGAAAGATCCTTTGCTTCAGGTATCCCTCATCAAGGTCTGACATTGCTGCTTGAGATACTTCAGGGGCAGTGACTATCTCGTGTGCTCTCAAGTTCAGCTGAGACAGGCCATCCTGGCTCCAGGATCTTGCATTTATTTTCTTTGATGCTTGGTATGATGCATATACTGGACTCGGGCTTGGCCTGTTATGGTAAGCTGGCTGTCAGAAGGTTTGGAGGCCATCCTTATTTCCACCCCTTATGTCGTTGGAAGTTGACCGTTTTTCAATGATTGAAGACCAAGCAGGGACTTCAACGATATTAGACTAAGGAGGCAGACTTTTCAGACACAATGATAGAGATTGGTGCGTTTCAGGCGCTTTCATACGATGGCAGTAGGAGTTTGCTGCCCAGCTTGGCTGTTCATGATATTGTCGCTTCTCTGGGTTTTATCATAGAACTGAAGTGCAGGAACTGGCCTCTTAATTGGACCAGTCTTGAATTGGGACTCAGATTTCCCCTCCCAGAAGTTATTCACTTGTCTATCGTCCAGATGTCCACTATTGACCTGATCCTTCACTTAGCAGGCCTTAACTTACAAAGGTGTTCGACCTTGCAGGGACTGCGATGGAAGGCCAAGCGGGCGTAGCCCCTTCCGTGACTATCGACGTCCCTGCTGCGAAAGGCTACCAAGCAGATGCTTCGGCCGGTTCGGCCAACGGTCCTTCGGTAGGGATTGAGAAACATTAGACGTTTCTTGTAGGCCTTATTGTATGTGCGGGTGTGTTCCTAGCTTAGTCTATTGCCAAGTTTGAAGGAAGTTTGTCAGGTTTTTTGTAGATATGTGCAGATATGTTGATCTCACTAGGGCTTATTTTTCATTTGTTGAATGTAATCTGGGCACGGAGTCTTGCCCTTGGTTACAAGATTTGTTGTGGTGACGATTCGTCAAAACCTAAAAGTTGGACGCATTTTGCAGGAGGATGTGAGTGCATACAAGCAAGATCTGGAGTCTGCTGAACGGGAGCCATGTGACGATCTCGATGAGATGGGCTTTCTTTCTGTTAGCGGTAAGCCCTGCTGCATATTGGGAACGCTCTCCAATCAGTCCCTTGAAAACCGCTGCCATTAAACCCTTTGCAGATCTATCTTTGGACGTTTTGGAAGCATGGCCATCTCCAAAACTCCTGTCTTTTTTCAGGTACCCCTTGAGTTTATGTATAATGAGTTGAGGAACTTGGGATGTGTATAAAGAGTTGAGGAACTTGGGCGTAATGCTCTGGCTGTCAGCAACGTTTTTCATGTCTGTACTTGTAATACACATAGTTTTGACCACGTTAGTACACATAGGCAGTCAGTCCAGGGGATTGGAAGCCAGACGCTGAAGTTCAACGATCATTATTATTATTATTCAGCGGAACAGAAGCCAGACACTGAAGTCAACAAAACTTGCGTGGTATCAGATCTGGGAGATGTTTTCTAGATTCCGTAAAGATGCCGCCAGGTGGCGTTTTTGACGAACGAATCATGTGCCGTTACTTCGTTTCTGTACGTAAACATCTTCAACGAGATTCTTGTAACGGTTCCTCAGATGCTGTCACTCTATCGATCCCGCTTTTCTTTGTTCGAAAAAGTTACAAAACGGCGAAGGATCAAGAAACGAACAACGGTAAGGATGTGTTTGTTGGATCATTCAGGTCGGGACCTACAAGGCCGTCAAGTGGTCGTCATCATTGGGAAGCTTCTGCCCGCGGGTGCAACCTCTCGAGACCGCTTGAGAAAGTGAGCCTTGCCCTTTTGGATTCCCGCCATCCGCTTTGACATGTGAGGCGACGAGTTTCTATTGAAAGCGAGAAGACCCACTGCACTCACTCAATCTCACTTGTCCGACAATGGAAAACTGTTCGTACTAGATCAATCTTTTGCTCGTCCGAATCGATCCGTCTTCATCTGAACGACAGTGGATTGTATAGATTCGGCCGTGGCATTTCGCAAGCTTTCGATGTTAAGGCTTTTCCGGAAAGATTGATATCACAAAAGCTCATAGGGTTTACCGCACTGCACTCGATTTGTTTTCCCAAGCAGATTGGAAGCGTTGTATTCCTCGTGTGCCCACAATTCATACGGCGACTGTTTTTCAGGCATTGATCACCATATGTGAATGACGCTGTGAGTTCGCCCTGCAGGTATGCCATACAGAAGCTGCATCCTGTCGTATCGGCGGGCAGCTACTCGATTTTGTTCGTTAACACCAATGCGACATTTCAGGTAAGAGGACGAAATTGGGGATCGTTCTTGCCTCTCCGAAATGTACGATAGCCAGGGGAGCAAGTCTTGAAATTCTCTTTAAACCGTGGCCTTTTCTCATACACTCAGCTGTGCTCGCTCAGCGCGAGGATGTGTCCAGCAGGGTCCCTATCAACAATCCGATTTTGTTCCACCCAGCAAATCCCGTCTCAACACTTTACAGCCATTGTCGCTTGGTTCTGTCTCAACCCAACTCGTCTGTCCATCTATCAGACCCCTTAGAACTTCCAGTTTTTGTCCAGGAAAAACCCGCTCGGTTTGTCCTAATCGGTCTCTATCTCCTCAAAGCATTCAATCTTAACCTTTTCGTCCGCGCTCAAGCGAACTCCCGGGCGTCCTCTGTCTCATTGAGTCATTAACCCCTCTCATTAACTTTCTAAAGAACTTCTCGAGCTAGTCATCTTAACCCTCTTTTTAACCACCCAGGCAAACTTCCCGGGCGTCCTCTGGCTCCGTTGCATGTAAAGTTTATGTAGTCAACTCAACCTCCTTGATAACCACCCCAAAAACCTCCCCGGAGGTGTCCTCTGGCTTCGTTTCACACATCCTACATTGTTTTTAATCTTGACCCCTTCCTTAACCACCCAGGCAAATTCCCCGGGCGTCCTTTGGCTCCGTTCCACGTTCGAGGCCCTCCCTTCCATGTACCGGGCACAGCTCGGGGCAGTCTATTGCCTACACCCTACCTTGGGGCTGCGCCTAGTGCTCGCCGCGGTCGCGCCTTGGATGAGTCAAGGGCTCTGGCAAAAGCTGGTGAGTGCCACGTGGCAGGACGTTTTGGGCGCCGTGTGCTGTCTAAAGCGGTAAGTTCCTTGATGGAACGGAGCGTGTACCGTACCAGCGTTTATTTGCGTCTAGAAATGACCAGTAAGGTCGCCGGAAAAGTTCAGGAATGTATGTAAGATGGTACTGGATTGATAACGGTGCTTTTTAGCAGGTAACATTGGGTCTGGCGGACTCTTGAAATGTTTCATGAAGAAGTTTCTGGCGTCGAATCGACGAAGATAGACCTTGTTACGGTGTTTGCTTTCGCCACCTGAAGGACATCGTCAGGGGTCACGTAGGGGAAGGTAGTTATTTTCGGCTCGCAAGCACAAGCTTTATGAGGCTGGCAATAGCTCTTTCGGACTTTGGCTTCAATGGACCGTGTTTCGCACGCTGCCTTTTTTTTGCGTCCTGCAGAGTCGTCGTTGATATCTTTTGAGGAGCGCGAACTGAAAGTCGGGCGATGCTCAAGACTTGTGTGCTTGACAAAGTCACCCTTGATTTCAAACAAGCCCTCAGACGGAGCGCGATATGGACGCAAACCGCTCTCGTGTGCACTTTCTCGGGGGTAACACGACACTCGATCCGGTTTTTAGATTTCCTAAACACGACATATCGAGAGCCGCTTAAGCGCGTTCGTTCAGAGCATCAACCCCTCTTCTTGCCAATTGACTGACGTCCTGTCGCGCTTTTCCCGACTTAGGTATACGTCAGCCGAGTGGAATTCCTCTTGGAACACGTGGCAGCCGGACAGGTCGCCCTGCCCGACTTTGTCCTGGAGCACGACCAAGAACTAGAGGGGCGGCCTTTGATGGACTACGGCGTGGAAGCGGACGGCGACCAAGCGGCCATGTTTAGGAGCGCCACCGAGGGGGTGCCTGAATTGAGAGAACCGTTGGGAGTTTATCATGGGGCAGGATGAGTTTCATGTTGTACAGGGGTTTGACATTTTTGAACGGTTCATTTGGTAGTGTCTTATGTATCTGTACAGCATGTCAGCACTTTGAGTGGACCGAGTTGTCATTTTTCTTGTCGTCTGTACATTCATGCCGGAAGGTCGACACGGAGGAGATGAGTTGTCGTGATTTTGAAAGCATAGCTGTAGCGAACTCGCTTCCGAGTAAGCCGTTTCGGAAGCCCGAACTTAGGCCACAAGGCGTGTGGAGGTTGCAGAGAGTCCATTGGCTGCTGTCGTGACCCAGATTGAATCGAGAAAAGTGACGGAAAGTTTCATGCCGGAAAGAGTTGACATCGGCCCAGTTGTGAGAGAACCGCTCAAGTGAAGCCGAGACGTATGTACAATGACTGAAATGCAACCCAGCCGGCTGGTACTGCGACTTCAATTCCCTCACTGACCCTTTGTTGGGAAAGGCAGTCGCTCTAGTAGAGACGCCATGGCCGTAGGTCTGCCTTTGCAAGACATGATTTTTTCGCAATATAGATTCGATGATCAATAGATGGATATGCAATTTGATAATGATCTAGATTCGGCCGTCTCAAGTGCCCAATTGCATATGTGGACGCTCGCCGCGGGGCCGCCGGCTGCAAGGATAATCAACGGGTTAATAGTTAATTCACATAAGGATCGCAATCGCAGTAACAAATCGCAACGCAGTGCCGGATGTGGCGCGTAATTGCTGACCATGCGAAGAGTCTTGTCAAGCATCGACTCTGCAGGACGACATGCAAAAGGTGCTAGAGAATCCTTTGCATCAGAGCTCCCGTTGGCGTTCATCGGAATCCCAATGGCGTTCGATCGCCACACTGGGTCAGTGGAGTTAATCTGCATGCGATGCATATGAAACATAAGCCTGATGCGGAGTTGCGTGCCCGTTCGGCGACAAATCTACTACTTTATCAAAAGTCAGCCAGATGCATTAGCTGGCACGCATATGTACGCATGGCCGCGCTCAATCGCATGCCAGACTAACAGTCCGCCGCGCGCGCCATGTGCGTAACCTGCATTGATCGAACCACTTATGATCGAACATGGAGCTTGCAAGTTCGGACATGCAACTTGAACATGTTCGGAGCGCCTGGTCATCCCGTCCGCCCGGGCAGCAGCTCATGCAGCGATGCGATGCATGGGCATGATATATATCGTGAACTTAGTATTCAATTAACTCTTGACGATGCTTCTGAGATTGTATCCCTGCGGAATACTAGCCTCCGCCTCTTCTGCTTGCGCTTTCAAGACATGGTCCTTTTTCAGATTTGCGGTCCCAATTGTCACTTCTATATCGCAGGCATCGTGATCACTTCGTTGGCCTTTCGGCTCATTACAGCTCAGGTGTCCTTTCAACGAAAACGCACTCCTCAGCAGTTTGCTTATCCACAGCTAGTATACAAGTTTCCGCAAGAAATCTGACAGAACTTCTGCGCGCGTCACTGCTGACTGGCCCTGATGTTTTTTGTACACTAAAAAGCTAGCACTCGAACGCCGCTGCGAAGGTTTGTCGTGAGGCTATGCCAAAAAGGCCGCAAAGAGATATTTACACTCAGTTCTATCTACAATCCGCCGTTGCCAGGTTCGCCAAAACCCGAGCCTGACTGACCTATCAAAAGAAGTAAGCCAAAGCTTCTCACATCCTGATTGAGTCTGTCATCTGCCCTGTTAACTCTATCCCCTCCTCCGAAACCGCCTCCCGCGCTATATACTTCCGCCCCCACGCAAGCGTCCCGTCCTCATACGCGTTATGCGTCATCCTCGTGAGATTTGACCCGTCAACGTTAACGACGTAAACCTCCCCGTACGGCTGAAACTGCCTGGGGTAAACCACCGGTTCCGCCGAAACCCACGCCAAATCGCTTGCGAACGTAACCCGGTTTGAGTCGGGGCTGAACGCCGGGTGGTTCGCCCGGCCGCCGTGCGCGTCAACCAGCTTCCTTAACCCGGATCCGTCCGGCCTAACCACGTAAACGTCAAACCCCCCTTTCCCCGGGTTATCTCGATCGGAGGAGAACGCGATCCACTCCCCCGAGGGCGCCCAGTTGGGCATCGTATCGTCCCAGGGGCCTGAAGTGAGCCGGAAAACACCCCCCCGATCGCCGTCTACCGCGCTCATTATGTACAGGTTCTTGTAACCGGACCGGCTCGAGCGGAAGACCACTCGCGCGCCGTCGGGGGACGCCGACGGGAAGGCGTTGTTGCCCGTGCCGGGCGACGTCAGCACGGTGACGTCAGCGCTCGCCTCGCTGACGTCAGACTTCGCCATCTTCCCCACTTCGTGCGCTCCGCTAAGCTTCCCCCCGTCTTGCTCTCCAGATACTTCATCCCCTTGCTTCTCCCTTGTCATTCTTTCTCCGTTCGTCTCTCTTGGAACTTCCTCCCCTTTCTCCTCACCCGAAAAGAGCCCAACTTTCTTTTCTCCGGAAACTTCAGTGTTTTGCTCGCCCGAAAAGCTCCCCCCCACCTTGACCTTTGCGATCCGCACCTCCGTTCGTTCGCTCGCGAAAATCGGCCCCTCGCTGTAGAGAATCTCGCCATCGCCCCAGGACAGTCCGAACGCGGGCGCGAGGACGACGGTCCGCCGGTTCGTACCGTCCGAATTCACGACCACGATCTCACCGTTTTCCGCCCCCATGTTGTGAATCGTCGCGAGCTGGGAACCGTCCTGACTGAAAGCCGGAAAGGCGCCTTCCACTCGCAAAAGAGAGATTCCAGGATCGGGGGACTGGACGGATTCCACGTTTGGGACCGTCAAGGATGCGTCGGGTTTGATTACCTGCGCCCGGACACTCTCTCCTTTGAGGAGTTCTTTTTGCTGGCATTTGCTGCCCGGGGCCGACGAAGGCGCGCTCTCTTCGCCAGTGTGAACACCCCCGTCGGGAGGCGCCCGGTGCACGGGACACCCGGGGAATTGCCCCTTCACACTGCCCCTTCCTCTTCTCGCATCCTCGTTCGGAACCAGCACCCATTCTCCCTCTTCCACTCGTGCACCCTCCCAACCTTCTCCCGCTTCACTCTCCCCGGTTCCCCCCCTTGCTTTCGCCCGCGAACCAGCCCCCCTGCTGCGGTGGTACCCGACTCGTTTGCCGTCCGGAGAAAAGAACGGGCCGTAGTGGTGCGCGTCGGAAGTCACGGGTTGGGTCAGCGGTGTGAATGCGCCCGTAACTAGGTTGAGCAGCTCGATGTGGCGATACTCGGAGCCTTTTCTCCGCGTCGCGACCGCCAGCCATTGTCCCGACGGGTGAACCGCGGGAGTCACGGCGTGCATGCCAGGTGGCGTCACCCGGACCTCGCTGGCGTCACCTTGGGCGGGTGACGTGGCGACCGGGGGAATCTGTCAAGGGGTGACAGAAGTAAGTGCGTCAAAGTTTGTTAAGAAATTTAAACTGGGTAGGTAAGAACGGCAGGTCGCTCATCGATCTGACTGAAACGCACAACTCCTTCGGGAAGGATCCTGCAAGGAAAGTGTGAATAAAGCCCGATTCTGTCCTTCATTGTTTCTCACACTTACAGGATTTGATGCCCCGGGTAGCCTCTCAATAGAGCGAACGCCTTCCCAGGTGAGCTAAGTAAAGACGAGGAGTCGGATTTAAACGAGACCTGGCTTTCCATAACCACATGGTTTTCAAGTATCGGACCTTTCCAAGATACAGTTGCTGGTTATTTCCATTCGAGGCCCCGTGCATCTTTCTTCTGCCTCAACCGATCGACCAGCACTGTCCAAGCGGAGCCATCAGAACGTTTTCAGATCTAAGACGGATCAGAATTGCGCTTCTGCCTCTTTTCAATCTGACAGCCAACAGATCGACCCTCCACTATGATTATGAATTCACTATACTTCGCGCAATGTCCAAAGAACCAGAGCATGAACGTACACCGTATAACAAGCTGCCTCTCTATTGTGAAGATCTGAGGATCTGAAGAACAGATTCGTAATGACCAGGCCTGCTAAAGTTCAAATGCAGAAGATGAGCCCCTCAATCTCTATTTCAGGCGCTAAATCCGAACAGGCCTTCGAAATTCGATCCATCTCCTCCGACTGGTCGGCCGCCCGTTTGTCAATCGCTGAAAACGCCTTCTTTATACCTTCGAAGAGAGTTCGAAAGAACGGTGGCAAGAGCGTTTTGAAGATTACGCTCTGTCTTAGCGCGGAAAGGCCCGTTGAAACGATGGTTAGCAACCAAGAAGCTTCTGATATGCATAAAAGAATGCGTGGCCCTTACCTGTGTCTTGAAGATGCTCCACCACCCGTCCTCGCACTTGCGATGAAAATACACCCCCTTCGAGTCCGGTGTGAATGCCGGCCAACCGCCATTGCGCGCCAGGTGGCGGCGCGAGGACCCATCTTCCAGGTCGAAGACGACGACGTCGAAAGTGTAGGGCTCCGACACATGAAGGCTGCCTGGGCCTGCACAAAATAATGAGGGTTGATCCGAATTCCGTTTTACAGCCGCTTGCACTATCTGGAGGAAATTTTTGGAGGTATTATCAGTAAAAGTTTCTTTTGCACGTTTGCATTTTATCAATATGACACATTAGTTGAGCATCATTAGATCGGTCGATGTGTTTGTCCGTCCAGTTGCACTCATTCTTCGGTGGCGTCGAACATCTGCGTATGTATGGAGGAGAGCTTTCCCGAGTACCATGGCAAGGGGGAGTAAAACCAGCCTCAGGCGTTTTGACGGGGCGAACATGCAGTACAGCAGTATTTCAGTCCTTTCTCAAGCCGCTTAGGAGCGCAGTCCGTTCCTCGCATAGATCAACCTTATTACGCACAAAGCGGACGCCTATTCTTTCAGTTTGTGAGACGACGTAATCGAGGCGCCACAATTGTCTAGATACCCAGTCTGGAGAAGTAGAACATACTCAAGTCTCGTCCCAGCGAGCGTAATCAGAGGTTTACCAAAAACTGAGCAACTCGACCTTCCTTCTAAATTTCCGAAGATTGGGGTCATCGTGTCTGTTTCTTTGAATCAGGAGACCTATTCCGTGGGCTTTCGATCTCGAAAAAGTTCGTCTGTTCGTTCGTTTGGTTCGTTTGTTCACCTGGCTGAGTGGCGGCTGCGACCAGTCTCCCATCAGGCGACACTGCCGGGCTGAAGTCAGCGCTTCCCTTTGGGGTCAATCGGCGCACGGAGCCGGTCGCTTGGTCCATCCGATACACGGCACTCCAGCTCTGCGCAAGATCGGGGTAAAACTTGACTCTGTTGCTCACGAAAACGGCTGCCGCCTTTCTTCATACAAGCTGCCACTTGATGCAATCTGTAGCAACAACCCTGTCACTCACAAGCATGATGCCCAGAGCCTTCTGTGCATTCCTTACTTTGTATCGATTTGACGGACGCAAAGTCGAAGAACACAGGTTCACAAAAGAGAGCATTTTGCAGTGACTCCAGAGCTACAAAATTTCAGGTCAACTAACTGACCTAACTTTGAGTTACCAGTCTTCCCCCCATTATGTGCCCTCACCGATTTTCTTGAGACTCATAAGCAAGCCACATGTCTCCTGTTGCAACCGCCCTTTCACTCCGAGGCCTCTAAGCAGTGTATTGGGCAATCAAGCAGGAAAACACTCGCCGTACTGCCCCTTTCATTTAACAAACTCAAGCTGGAAAAGGGCAAGGGACAAAAGAATACTCCATTTCACCACGAGGTCGACCTGCAAACTCCTTTCGGAAGATGGACAGATTTCGTCCCTCGAACAGTTATTCAGAATTCCTCCCTCATACAGCTATACAGAATCCCTCCACCATTAAACACAGCAGTAGAGGTTTCCACTTACCAGATGCGCCTTGCCTGAGTCCTCCCTGGTCGACGAAAAGACCAACTGCCCGCCATCCGGTGTCATGCCTGGCCGGTCCTCCATACAGAACCCGTCCGTCAGCGCTACCACCTGCGCACAATCACTGACCTCCCCACCATCGCTCATCTCACCACCACTCATAATTACCCCGCTTATATCCATGCCCCTTGTCTCACCACTGCTTACATCGCCACTTCTCACGTTTTCACTGCTTATTTGACCACCGCTCACATTGCCGGTCTTGTGCGCAATCAGTTCGCTGACATTGTCGCCTCCGCCTGCTGCCCACTTGCTTTCCTTCTGGCTACTTGCTGTCAATTGGGCAGTATTCTCTTCCGGGGGGATCTTGACTGTGGTGGCATAGATGCTGGGGGATCCCCCTCGCTCCGACACAAACACAAGCCCCAAGACTGGGTCCCGGCCATCGTCTTCCAGGCGCATGCGCCCAATTGACGCAGCTGAAAGCGTCTCTCTGTTGTCAGCTGTGTGCTTTTCCCGGGGCTTTCCCCCAACCGCATGTTTTAGCCAGCGGTCAACCACTGCCCCAGGCACAAAGTGCCCATTGAAATTCACCGATTGCCCATCGGTGTGCTTCAGCTCAGGGCTCGAGCGGCCGCCCCAGTGTCTCTCTTCCGAAGACCACAAACTTTCTGGTTCCAGAAGTGGTTGTGCAAGTGAGCTTTGAGTACTGGGCGCCTGTGTTTCTGCGGCCCTGTCACTTGATGGTTTCTGATTGGTGGAGCCGTTCCACAGTGGAAAAGGAAGGGAGAAGATGTCAAAGCCGTACTGCGGCCTGCCGACTGTCGCAAACGCAATGCTGCCGCCCCGGCCCTCCATCATGCGAACCGGTGCAAGAGCTTGTGACTAACGATACAATTGTACGTAATGGGCGGACTCTCATGCACCACCAGTCCAGCATCTGAGTGTAGAATTCCTGTTCGAGTCGTCTGGCAGCAACCCTGCGCATGGGCATGCGTCTTCTCGTGCCTTCTCGAAGGGGTCACCTCTAGGCTCTAGTGCTTCTTTCGAGCCTGTCACCAGACTCCAATGCTGTTTCCCCTTGACGAACTAGGCCTGGAACTAGAATTCTTACTGCAGGAATGCCACCATAGCAAGCTTGTGAACCTCGGAAGTCTCCCGGCAGTCAACTGGAAAGAAAAGTGCTCGAGTTGAGATTCAGTAACCCGGTATATCCAACTTGGATAAGGCAAAATCCACTCGATCGGGGTTCGTCTCTCACCGGCCCGGGGGTCCAGACCGACCACTTTGAAACATGCCAAGCTATCTAGAAGTAGGATAGGCAGAGGTAGAGATATACCGGTTATACTTGCGACCTGCCCGGGGGTCTGTTTCAAGCCAAAGCACAAAATCTGATGACTCGCGATCCAATTTCGCTGTTTCAGGAGAGTCCTATGTCAGCAAGTATCTTCGAGATCGCACGAGTCACAATTGTACTTTATAGAATCGGACGGCTCCAGGACACCAAAAGTATGACCAGCACATCAGATCGAGTGTGTCTGGTGGGAAAAGCGAATCTCGATTGACCGCACGCTGAATCTTCAGATTCACTTTCCTCGGTGCTTCGGACATTCACACTGTGTGTGGCCCAGAGCAGTACAAGAATAAATAATCTGAGCCCAATAGGCCGGCAAATCACATGGTACCACGTGGTAACCCAGCTTGTCGGAAAGCGCGGCGCAACTGGTTTTAAAACCGTGGAACTTGTACACGTGTCGCCCGGCGAGCTCCCTGGATTTCAACTGCTAAAGCCCGGGAACTTTTGGACGGTTGACGCCGGTTGTCGCACAACTTCTGCCGGTTTCCGCTGGGTGTTGGTTATCGACGGTTGGAGTGGTTTGTCGTCGAAACGCGGTTCGTCCGCATCGCTGCCGAACATGGCCTAACAAACTCACTGCTGCATTCGACGATGTGCAACTAAACCCAGCGGTTCCGGTCAGAGTACCCTCGGTTTTCCGGCGGCAGCCTCAGACTTCAGATCAGCAGCAGTTGACTGCAGCCAAGCTTCCGTTCTGCGGTCTTCACTCATGCTGACTTTGACTTCTCCGCTGAGTCTGCAGAGTAGCAGCCCTGACTCGACAGGAAACTTCACAGGTCATAAAAGCAGCTTCGAAAACAACCATTCCCAACCATTTCCAGTTTCCTTGCAAGCAGCAAGGTTCTGCTCTCAGGCGCCTGCAGCGCCTTTCGCCCAGATCTTGCTTCTAGCATCAGGTGTCGCTGCGCTGCTTTCGTTATTCGTAGTGTCCGGTCTGCTCTTAGTTCTCAGATCTATCTGCCCCCTGTGAAGGAAAGGATTGCTCAGCTTGAGAAAGGTGAGTTTTGGGTGCCCCGCATGAGAGCGTGCGTCAAACCTTGTTTGACGCTGCCTTTTCTGTTCGATCATTTACTCATCAAGTGATCTTGGGCAGGCGGCTAAACAGGAGGCCTTCGTAAGACCACCGTCGCTTTGCATATCATCCTAATCCACTTTTAGCCACCTGCATGAATTTGTGCCCGGGCATTCTGTTCAGATCTGGACTGGGGGCAGGAATTCAGATCTGCACGCATGAGGCTGGGGCAGTTTTGTCTGGGGAGCTGGAACCTTTACCGAGTCTTACAAGAGGCAACCCCTCATGTGGGATCGGCTACCTGTTGCTGCCCCGAATACCTGAGATCTGATACTTGAGGCCTGCCCACAGCATACATGTAGGCTGACATTTTTTTGTGCATCTGTGCAGGCTCCAAGCACTTTTTCCGGAGCTCTACGGAGCGTCCACCAGCCTTAGAGATGGCCTCAGACATGGCTGCCCTCTTGGTCAAGTTGACCGCAGCCGGGACTTCCGATGGTGACAGGAAGGAGTCTGCCCAGCAGGTGGCAGATCTCGTCAAGGAGGCTGGCATCACCATTCTCAAGGTAATGGTTGTTGGCAGCTTTGTTACTCTTTCTTCCGTTGGAAGTTACACCATTTCTCGGGTATTTGAGTTGGTTCTGCTCTTTGCACTTCCATTGTGGGTGCCCTGCTTCAGACTGTTGTTCTCAGATGCGGCCCATAGATAGGTGTTGCCTACAAAAAGCTTTTTACGCCCAAGTTTGTATTCTGCACTGTAGGCTTCTGCATGGGCATGTACTTTCTCCTCCTTTACTTTGGCTTTTAATAATTGGCTTTGCGTCTCCACAGGCAACGGGCCTCATTGAGGCACTGAAGAAGGCATGTGTGGACAAGAAGAACGCTGGGGCCAAGGAGGGTGCCGCGCTTGCTATCAATGCGCTGGCAACCACTGTGGGCCAGCCCATGGAGCCCTACCTCGTGCCCCTGCTGCCCAACATCCTTGCCCTCTATGCGGACAAGGTAAAACATATTACTTAGTCTCATTTGGCTGGACCTGGGCCCCTAGAAATGACGGTTCAAGTAGAAATGAGGGTTCAGCTGTGGCCTTTTCATTGGTTGTTTGCATGCAGTGCAATTGTGCTTGTTTAGAAGCAGACACCGGTAAGTTTCTTGGCAGACCGACTTGTCTTTCCTGGTAAAGCTAATACATTAGCAGCCAAGACCTGATGCAATTGTTACTTTTGTCCCAGGTGTCTGTCAAGGCTGCGGCGGAGAAGGCTGCCAAGACCATTGTTGACAACATCAACATCTACGGTGTCAAGAACCTGCTGACTATCCTCTTTGAGTCTCTCGAGGCTAAGCACAAGTGGCAGACCCGCGTGGGGGCCCTGGTCCTCATTGGCTCTCTGGCAAAGATCGCCCCCGACCAGCTGGCTAACTGCCTGATTGATGTTGTGCCGACGGTGTCCCAGTACATGTCTGATGCGAAGACCCAGGTTGCGGTGAGCACGCGCTCTATCTTTACCAGACCCCTCTAGCAGAGCTTGCAAACCTGGATGTTGCATATGTTTAGGAGCAGTGCTAGTCACGCTTGTGTAAGACTTCAGACTCTTGCATTAAGAGCAGGCAACCGATTTGGTTTGCAGTTGTTCTGCAATGACTGCAGATAGATTTTGTATTGCATCTGAGCTCTCTCAACTGCCGACAGCTTTGACACCGACAGTGATGGGATGGGATTGATTTGTGGTCCCGAATAGGGTTGTGTTGTCTTTGTTGTTTCTCATGTCTCTGGCCATTGTGTTGCAGGACGCGGCTGTCGTCTGCATGAACGAGACTTGCAGTGTCGTTGGCAACATTGATATTGAGCCTTTCGTGCCCAGCCTCATCAGCTGTATCCCCCGCCCCGAGGAGGTGCCTGAGTGCGTGCATGGCTTGGCATCCACCACCTTTGTTCAGGTACAGCTTTCAAGCTTCCTGTTTGAATATCAGCTTGTGTCCTTGTTCGCCATGGGGAGTGTGGCCAGAGGTAGGTTAGAGCGGTGACAGCATGGGGAATGAGTCTTAGGTATTGGGCCAATGCCTATCAGGATGCTGTGGAGAGAAGACGCTATTAGGATGGGATGAAAAGCTTCCTTGAGAGGAACAGGGTGGAAAGCTTCTTTGCGTCATTCTAGGGTTTGGGCTATCCACGCATAACTGAAGCTGAAGCTGTCACAAGTTGCTCTACATGCTCCATAACTGCACCGATCGCCAGTTGCTGACATCACCTCTCCTCGCGACAGGCTGTGCGTGCCCCCACCCTGTCCCTCATGGTGCCCCTCCTGCTCCGTGGTCTGCGTGAGCGCGCCACGACTATCCGCCGTCAGACCTGCAAGATCATTGACAACATGGTCCAGCTGGTCGACGACCCGGCTGACGCTGAGTGCTTCCTGCCCCTGCTCCTGCCCGGGCTCGAGAAGGCTGCCAATGAGATTGCTGACCCTGAGGCCCGGACTGTGGCTGTCAAGGCGTTTGCCACGCTGAAGAGGGTGTCTGGCCACGGCAAGGCCGAGGAGCAGAAGTTCCCCTCAGCGGCTCCCAAGAAGGTGGAGCAGCAGGTTGGGCCTTCCTCTCTTTTTCAGTAGTTTGCTTAGCTGGAGATGCAGCATCTTTCTATTGTCAGCCCTTCATTCTAGACTCAGGCTGGCCGATGTTGGTGCTTCTCACGGAGTGATATGGTGGCCTGGATGGGCTTAAGGTCCTATCCTTTGTGGTGTTGCTTGGATGATGTGTGCATTGCTACACGGCAAGTGTTACAGAAGAAGTTGTGTTGTGCCTACTTCAGCTGTCTCCTGAGAATTAGTTGCTTATAAGCTTCTTGTTGTGCCAGGTTGTGCTTTCTCTGGCCAAGGAGGCCACCGTCAAGGTGGACGCTGCCTTCGCCCCCTCTGTGGAGTATGTCAGCAATGTGATCACCACCATGGTTGCGGAGCAGAACTTCCTGTACGACCACTGGAAGTCACAGGTAGGCAGAAAGTGTTGTTGGTGGGAAGTCGTTGTGTGAGGTTCTCAACAGAGGTTTTGGTGTGTGCTTGAAACAGTCAAGAGATTGTGTGTTTTATAATGAACACTGTGTCATGCTTAGGCCGTCTTGTGAGCAGTTAAAGTTCAGAGGCGTTGGCTTATTAGGGTTCTGCCAGTTCTTTCCTGAGATGGATTTCTGTTGCTCATCAGTCATTCCTCCTCCTTCCAGGCTGTCGCCCCGTACCTGGGCTCCCTGATGGCTGAGACAGAGGTTGACAATGTGACCCAGAGCCTGCTGGACAAGCTGCTCCAGGAGACCCAGGGCAAGAAGGTCAATGATGATGATGAGGAGCAGGGCGAGGACCTGTGCAACTGCGAGTTCAGCCTGGCCTATGGTGCCAAGATTCTGCTCAACAACGCACACCTCAGGTTGAAGAGGGGCAAGCGGTACGGGCTGTGCGGGCCCAACGGGGCTGGCAAGGTGAGGAGCCTGCAGGTTTCCGATTTGGGACACTGAAAGATGTGGATGAGGACAAGTTGCCAGAGTTTAGGGTTGCAGTTTCCCGGAAAGGAGGTCTGTGCGTGCCCCGGGAGAAAGTTTCAGGGTTTACTGCGTGCTGTTGGTATAAGCCTGTATCCCTATGTAGTTTTTAGGGAACACCTCTTCAACCAGTACTTGTTAGGGAACGTCTCTTCAACCAATACCTCTCCAACCCATTCTCTGGCTGTATCCTTTTGGTTGTAAACAGTCTGATCCAGATACTCGTTCTTGTCTGCAGTCCACCCTGATGCGCGCCATCGCCAACGGCCAGCTTGAGGGCTTCCCCCCCAAGGACCAACTGCGTACCGTCTATGTCGAGCACGACATCGACGCCTCTGAGGCCGAGACCCCCGTCGTGGAGTTTGTCTTCTCTGACCCTGCTCTCCAGGGCACCTCTGCTCCCAGCCACAAGGAGGTTGAGGAGACCCTCTCCAGCGTTGGCTTCACGGACGCCATGCAGCAGGGCCCTGTTACCGCCCTCTCTGGAGGCTGGAAGATGAAGCTCGCCCTCGCCAGGGCCATGCTCATGAAGGCAGACATCTTCCTGGTAAGGACGGTTTGTCCAACTTTTCCATGATGTATTGCATTGGGAAACATTCTATTTTTCGTGCATTGCTGGGAGCCCTTCACTGAAAGCCCTATCATCTGCAGTGAGGGTTCTTGCAGACTCTGCTTGTTGCTTTGTGCTGGTCAGGGTTTGTACTACATCGTGGTTTTCCAGGCTGACTGCCTAATATGTCCAGCGTCTGATCCTCTGTCTCTACTTATCTGCAGCTGGACGAGCCTACTAACCATCTTGACACCAAGAACGTCGCCTGGATCGTCAACTACCTGACCAACCTCCCCAATGTCACCTCCATGATCGTGTCCCACGACTCTGGCTTCCTCGACAACGTCTGCACAGGCATCATCCATTATGAGGGCAAGAAGCTCAGAACCTACAAGGGTAACCTCTCCGAGTTTGTCAAGGTCCGCCCCGAGGCCGCTGCCTACTACAAGCTGGAGGCTTCCAGCACCACTTTCAAGCTCCCTGAGCCCGGTTTCTTGGAGGGCGTCAAGACCAAGTCCAAGGCCATCATCAAGATGTCCAAGGTTGGCTACACGTAAGTTCCGCATCCTCGTATCTGAGGACACTGCTGATGATCTGCTTTGTGCAAAATGCACATTTTGCTGTCATCTTTAGAGACTTTTTCGAAATTACTGTCCCGCTTGTCAGTGCCTTTTGTTGCACCTACCCATCAACTGCAGAATTAGCGATTCAGCTTTGAAGTCCAATCAGGCCCCACGTGAGGGGAGCAGGCTACCAGGCACACTAAAGTAGATGGAACAATGAGGGAGAACATGTCATCGTTCTTAGGAAAGATAATGAGACAAAATCTGATCTTGTGTGCTTCTGTCTGCAGCTACCCCGGCACTGATAGGAAGATTATCAGTGACATCAGCCTGGCCTGCTCACTGCTGAGCCGTGTGGCGGTTATCGGCCCCAACGGTGCTGGCAAGTCCACCATGATCAAGGTCCTGACTGGAGAGTTGGAGCCTCAGGAGGGCATGGTCTGGAAGCACCCGAACTTGCGGGTTGCCTACGTGGCCCAGCACGCTTTCCACCACATTGAGCAGGTGAGAAACTTTGCCATTCTGATCCAACTCTGCAGTCAGCAATTTTGATGTCATCAGATGCAACAAATTGAAAACCGCAATCAGCTGCAATCAGATTGAAAAGAGCTTAGTCTTGGGTGTGCTTGTTGATTGGTGCATTCTTCGCTGTACTTTGGTTTGGCTGTTCAGTTGATGCTCTCAAATTTGGTTGCTTTGGAACCCGCTTCTTCTCGAGTGCAAAATCTGCTTTTTCACTTTCATGAATCTGACCTGTCTCTCTTATGTCTGCAGCACTTGGACAAGACCCCCAACGAGTACATCCAGTGGCGGTATGCCATCGGTGAGGACCGCGAGTCGCTGTCCAAGACGCACAGGCAGGCGACTGAGGAGGAGGAGAAGCTGATGGCTAAGCAGCACGTGATTGACGGCCAGAAGCGGGTAGTGGAGAAGATTCTGAGCAGGAGGAAGCTCAAAAACAGCTACGAGTACGAGGTGCGGTTCGTCAACGGGACGCCTGACGACGATGTGTGGATGAAGAGGACAGAGTAAGTGACGTGGCTGTTTACTTTCCTTCATCCTGGCTCTTGATAACCTCTGCCAAAGTACTCTTCTTTGAGAGCTTTGAGTGTTTGAGCATCTGAGCAGCGGAGATGCATCTAGGTTTTAGTCAATTGCGCCATAGCTGGGCCAACTCGATGTGCTGCCAAACAGCTGGACGTTCTTTTTGTTTTGCTTTTTGAAGTCGCCCTATGGTTCAGTTCGCCCCTGATCGATTCTTTATCTTGCTTGAAAGGTGTTTTTACTGGTTGTGTCAGTCCTGAGTTTCAAGAACGATTTGCGACCATCTTCTGACCCGTGTGATTCTTTGCTTCTTCAGGCTTGAGGACATGGGCTTCACCAAGATGGTGAACGAGATCGACATGAAGGAGGCTGCGCGGTTGGGTCTGCACTCCAAGCCCCTCACCAAGCGGGGTATTGAGAAGCATCTCGAGGATGTCGGCATCGAGCCGGAGGTCGGCTCCCACACCAGGATGCGCGGGTTGTCGGGCGGGCAGAAGGTCAAGGTCGTGCTGGCGGCTGCTATGTGGCTGAACCCTCACATGGTAAGTGTCTCTGTCTGCCTCTGCCTAGCCTGGTTTTGCGGTGTCTGCCTCTGCCTAGCCTGGTTTTGCGGTGACAAAAGGAGGGTGTTTCTGCATCTGTGTTGTTCAGCCATCTTTTCATTCGAAGCTCAATTGTGATGGATGTTCTGACCATGCAGTGACGGGAGTGGTAATTTGCCAGTAGTAGTAGCAGTTTGGCTGCAACTCGTCTGTGCTGTAGTTGCGAGCAAGTCTGCACATGCTCATATTTTCCCCTTATTCTATTCTGCAGTTGGTCCTGGACGAGCCCACCAACTACTTGGACCGGGAGTCGCTCGGTGCTTTGGCTGGTGCCATCCGGGAGTATGGCGGCGGTGTTGTCATGATCTCACATAACTCTGGTGAGTCCCTTCCTTCATCTTTCTCCTGTATCTGCCCCGCTCATAAGCCCCTTACGACCTTTGTTGTCTTCTGCCTCGTGGATTTATCGAGGCTGCTTCTCTTTGTGCTCGACCATGCTGTGCATCGATGTAGTCTATCCCGATTTTTGGGAGTGGGATGTGTTGCACAGAGTGGGTGAGTTGCTTTCATGTCACAATCCGCAACAGTTCAAAAAGCCCTCAACAGTCCGTGTTCTGAACGAAACATCCCTCCATCCTGCAGAGTTCACCAAGGAGCTGTGCGGCGAGACCTGGTTGATGGACGCTGGCAGGCTGACCGCTACGGGTGTGCCCGAGTACCTGACTGGCCAGGGTGACAAGGTTGAGTGGAAGCGGGAGGAGACCATGATCGATGCCTTGGGTAACGAGGTTAAGATCAAGCAGCCCAAGAAGAAGCTCAGCAGACAGGAGCTGAAGAAGAAGGAGAAGATCCGGAAGGCCAAGCTCGCTCGGGGTGAGGAGGTCAGCGACTCCGAGGATGACGAGTAGACGGGGTTCTGAGGGTTTTGGTCGGAAGGAGTCATGGCGAAAGCCGAACTGAGTCGGGGGGAGGGGTGTTTTTGAGTCACTGCATCGCGCAAAGCGCATGCCGGGGGTCCTGGGGGAGGGGAGGTAAAAGGCACTGCATAAACGAGAGTTTGATTACATTTGTCAAATGACAATATATAAACAAACCATTCTTTCGCTGCCAAGTGTCCGGGGTTCTGTGTTGGGACTGGTAGGGCAGATTGCCTCGGTCCACACGGGACAGGGGTGAGGGGGGGTACAATAGACGGGCATGGGGGAAGTCAGTAGAGTGAATTCACTTGGCAGCTTCCAAGGTAGAATAAACTCCGCTCTGCAAGCAGAGATCAAACTCGACAGGAAGAGTGTTCAAAGTGTGGTCCAGTAAACTATCTCCGTCTGTTGAGGCTGACAAAAGCATCACGCAGTAACAGTAACCATTTTAGTATACCATACAATTCATTGAACTTGCAACTTGAATTGATTGTTACAACTTTGTGCGCTGAGATTGATGTTATTCCAGTCCCTTGTCTGCTTTCACACGCATACATTCCGTTTCACCAGTTACACTTACAATGAATTTTGTGTAATGATTTGAAGTACAGATTCTTAGAAAGTGTATGTATTCAACGGTATGTATTAGCAAAAAATGCCCTGCACTAAATTCTCTACTGTTGACGAGTACTGGGGGGATGTTTGAATGAAATACCAGCGTCTACATCATATCAGGCTGGTAGAATCCTAATTGACTAGTGCAGTTCGATGCATCCAATTATGCCTCATGTTTTGTGTTCATTTACCGTCTGCGCGCCATACAGCTTAATTGCAAGTGCATCATGCATGTCAAACATTGTCCATGATTAATCAAGTATGCGCGTACATGATGAACACAAGGTATTAATACATGTGTTACAGCGTGACAGTGTCACGCTGGCGCGCCTGCCATCCGTGTATTGTATACGTATACAACTTTGGTAAGATTGTTGGATATAACTTGCACGTGTTGCAGTCCGGGTTCATTTTACCTAATTATAATACGCTTGTGACGCATGCAGGGAGAATGAGTCGGAGTCTGCGCGTCAGAGTGCAACTATCAGAAGAAACCAGGCTTATGAGCTATGGCTGACAATTCCGAGTCGTACTATGGCGTACGGTAATTCAGTGCAAGCCGAGGCTTGGTGTCACTGCATGATACCAATCATCGACGTGAACACTGATGCATATCATGCGAAGGGACTGAACATAAGGCCTCCCATGCATAGCTTATAGCCGCCATGGGCCCTGTACGTGATTAAAAAGCTAGATCGAAACATGGTGAAGCTTCAACGTTCTCAGGAAGCCTTCAAGACTACAATTGGACCATGCAGTACGTATGCGCTACTTCAAAGATCCTTGGCAAAAAAGAGAACCTCAGCGAGTTACTGAGCTCCCTGTCAACTGGCAAACAATCATCGCGGCAGCCTCCTCTGACTTTCACCAGTGTTTATCAAGCTACCTGAAATTTCTGACGTTTTCGTTTTAAATGATCCTCCAAAGAATTTTCTCTGAGGCGAGAATGTATTGTGTTCCTTGCAGAAAATCTCAGACACCAATAGAGATTGTTTTATCCATGTAAGCTTATCAAATGCTTCGCAAGCGACACACTGCCATCGGTGTCTTCCATCGCAGAGAATGGTCATCGAAGACGTCTACGACCTCACTCTAGTGCAGGTTATCTGAACTTACGGGCTACAAGTTGCGAAGAATGTCCGTCGCTTGCGGTTACACGATAGGAAACGAGTCCAGGAGTGTGAGCATTGAGAACCCAGTTGATACCCCACCTGCAATAGACCCAAGAAGATGTACTGAGGATCTTCAGAGAACTTACAAGAGGTTTGAACCAAGACTTATACGGCCTCCCTCGGAATCATTCAAGATCCTTAAATGCAATTCACAAAATATCCTAGCTAGACTTCCTGAAAGCAAGAAGGGTTGAGCGCCTGTGTTGAACGATTGATTTCAACGGCCAAGCTCCTGATTTGCAGTGTTAACAGATGTGTCATTGGCTGCCAGCCACTCCCACCGTGAGCTTCAACGAACTTGACCGGACCGGCACAGCCGACGTTCTGCAAAGACAAAACGCTGTCACATAATACCAGATTGATCTGCGTAAGCCGTCTTCCCGAGTCGCAAGGTGTGCTCGAGTGGAGTCCAAAGTCTGGTACAAAAACGAGTAACTATGAATTGATCCTCTCCGAAGTTCTGATGATGAACAACCCTTAAGATGAGGATAGTTGGTCTTGGTCAGGTTTCGATCGAAGGCAAGAAGAGCACTGTCAAGATCTTGAGACAGTTGCATCTTACCTGAACGAGGATTGCGAAGTATTTAGGGTTGGTGCCAGGATCCATGCGGATTACGATGTTGCTAGTTGTCGGGCATTTGATCCTGCCGAATGGCCAAGTGTCGAGGTTATAGCAAGCTGTAATGATGGTTCAGCAAGCTCTTAACATGTATAGTCAGATTAACTCTTAAGGAGGGAGGTCCACGGCTTCGTGCAATGCCTCAATCACTTGACGGCTGGTGTGTAATTCGTAAGTACCTCTGTAAGCCAAGCCGGTAGGCTAAGGCATTCGAAGCAATTCAAAGCAGTCAAGAAGCATAGGGTTAGGCGTGCTGACGGTTGAATCTCGATGTCGATCACACCAGCAGTAGGATTGGCAATCTGAGCGAAAGCGGAGGAGCTAAGATCGAAGTGATATGTTGCGCATTCATCCGTCGCGAGAACCTGCAAAAGTCGAAAAGGACCGTGTCTCTAGAGTTGCCTTCTCCAGTTTCATTAAAAATGCATTGTTTGAAAGCTTGGTAAAGCTCACCAACCGATCCTGGCTACTCACACAAAGACTCCTTTGTGGCTTGCGAAAGAGTGTGCCCGGACGAAAGCCTTGCCTTATCGAGTTCTTCAAACATAATCGAACAAGATATAACGGCTTGCAGCAAAATCAGACCTTTTTCTGCTGCAACTGTGTATAGGTACTTCACCTCGACACTGCCGGGCTTGCAGAAAGACTTCGAGTTGCTGCCCGGCACGCAAGAAACGACGTAGCACTGGCCGCAGCCGAGGCCGTTCTGCACAGTGCAGCACATTCAAGGGTGAGTTCTTTCATCTTTCACCTTTCACCATATTTTCTATATGCTCACTTTGTGTTCAATTTGAGCAGATTTTTTCGACTTTGAATCGTCTGGACTGGAGACAAGTTCAGCATATCCTGCTGAGAAGGACCTGAACCCGACCTGAACCGAAAGCTTCATCAAGACAGGACCTTGCTTGCACGGTGAAATTTTGAGGGGACACTTATATGATCCACTAGGTTAGGAACAAGAACGAGAATATGGAGGTATAAGTGCCCATACAGAGGCAAATCAAGGGACTGATCTGCCTTACCTGGTATAGGTCGGGGCCAAGAGCAACAATGTTCGTTTGTGGTACGTTGCCTGCGCACATTGAGAGAACGTCTTGTCAAAAGAAGGATGGGTCTTCAGGAAGACCGGAACACTCCAGGAGATAAGGGAGACGAAGGAGCCAGAACCAGGTTAACGAGCGCTGAACTTCTCTTAGCCTAGGAATCGACATCGATGAGCGACTTACCATAGCCACATGCTCCTCCTGCAAAGGAAAAAGACAGTACTTTCAGACACAGCTTCTCATGATGCTAAATAGGGATATCCAATTGACGAATCTGAAAGGCTTCTCTTTTGGCGGTTCAAAGACGGAGTATTCGCCTCGAGCTGATGATTGGATCAGAAGGAATTATCCTGAGATATTTCACGGCAATATTTGTCTCACCGTTTCCAGCGCCGTAGTAGAAGGTTGCAGTAGCTCCAGATGTGATCTTGTTTCCGGAAGCAGTGTACTTGCCTGAGACATATGCAGTAGACACCAGCATGATCAAAGAGGCACAGATTAAGAGCAGCTGCCGGGAGAAACCAATGACTTTGGAGCCAGCGGGAACTCTTCAGTTGGTGTTCACGGAAAGCTTGCAGGCGCTTATTGGATCGACAGGAGAAAAAGGGGAGCTTGGAAAGGCGAGCTTGGGAAGAAGGGGTGGAATGACCGAAGCTAGAAAAGGAAAACAGTGGAATGAAGATTCCTAAGTTGTCCTAAGGCTAAGTGACCTTCTTCTGTTTTTATGAAGTCCGAAGCTGCAAAAACGATAGGGACATTCATGAAGTGATTCAGTCGATATGGTTAGAGATTCGACGGCTTCTCGAGTTTCGAACTACATTCTATGTTTTCAGGCCAGCACAGGAGCTTCGACGTCGAATCGAAAGGAATCCCCTGCTGTATGCAGCTGCAGACTGATCAAGACACACCCATCTACGACGAAACCATGTGATCAGAGAATATTGAGAACTTGAGACTGCACACTTCAAGCGGCATAAGATGTGGAATCTGGAGCCGTTGCTGCAGCCTTAGTGCGGCACTAAGTGGAGTTGCCAATTCTCTGAGACCAGATCGCCGTTGGGCTTGATCGAGCTTGGGCTTCAATTAAAAACGAAATCAAACCGAGCCCTGTTGCTTAAGTCTGTGCCGCAATTCACTTAACAAACTTGAAGCGTGCAATTTCACTTCAAATAATTCCTTCGAAGCGGTGCGAAGTGGGTGCCTCTCGTCGGCAGACGACCCCGCCTTCAAAAAACTGGATTTGAGGCAGTGAATCTGCACGAGATTTTGCCCGTTTTTCTCTGAAGCCATGTCGGCGGCCGGCTCCTGCTCGTGAAGGTAACAGAGCCTGACTGAACAGAGCTTCTCCGGATTCGCTCATCTGCCTGCAAAACACCTTTGAAGCACTCAATCATCTCTACCTATGGCGCAGCACGAAGAAGCGGCCCGGTTTTTGAAGATGATCAACGAAGCAGCTGCGAACAATGCGCGAGGAGGTAATGACAGATATCCTCGAAGGGATCCGTTCGTATCGTGTGGAGATCAAAAGCCATCCCCTTTTGATGCCACCAAACGGTGGCAATGTGACATATCTGGCTCTTCAGATCTGAGCAAGTAGCATGCTGTCCTTTCGAGCATAAAATGCAACCCAAAGGTGCATGTTTGCGGCACGTAAATACTCTTGCTTGAAGTCAAATGGAATCTGTCCATGGACTAGAGCTTATTTTAAAGTTGAACAAGTTTGTCGATGTGCAGAGCGCCTTTTGGAAAGCATGCGAAAGGAGAAGGCATTGCTGCGGGCAAAACTGGATCAAGCTTCTGCCGAGTTTGAGTAAGTAACGGCTGTCGCCCCTTCCAATCATCAATCCCGAGGCGTAAGAGTGGAAGCTGCTTAGTGCGCAGCTGATTTATATTTGAAGCTGAAAAAGGCAGCTGATGCTGTCTTACCTCTCGCATGTTTCGTATTTCACAGAATGAGCTGGTCCAACAGTGGTCTTTCGCAGGTCAAAGAAGACCGACCGCCGCAAGTCACAGGAAGAGTACAAGACTCTGAGTGCTCAACTCCTATCGATTCAAGCCACCGTGTCCACGAAAAAGGTAAAATGCGCACATCTCAAAGCATCTCCGCTGGATCAAGCAGACATAGTCTCGTTGGGAACCTGATTGAACCGGAGCGAAGCAAGATGAAAGGTTCCGTCCTTTTGCTTGCCAGAAGCTGCTACCGCATTGGTATCTCATGGTAACTGCAACAATGAGACCAATCATACGTCTTGGAAACATTTGCGTCTTTCTAATACAGGCAAGGATTGCCGTTTTGCAAGAGGAACTGAGTCTGCTGAGAACGCGCTCGAACGCCTTTGAGGTAAGTTGCTGGAGGGCTTCGTCCCTTGAACAGATCGGATGTTCCCCTCGTTAACCATGATGGTTCGGCCGTCATCTTCCGTTAGTCGACTAAGCATGTATATCGTGTAACCCCAGACTTTGTGGATGTGATTTGGATGCTCGTGCTTCCAGGAGGAGAAGGACAACCACAGGACACTCCTTACTTCGAAGATGCAAATCCTCAACGAGACGCTGAGGTGAGCATAATTGAGTGATACGGGTTTCCTTGCAAGGCCGTCGTCATCTTTCTATATATATTTATTGTAGCATACTTTTATCCTATATTCCCTGGCAGCATTACGCCCGAAGTGATGTTTTGCGAACGAAATAGTGATTTAGAAAAGAAGTTTTCCGCTTGCTGGATATCGAGTCTTCTTACGGTAATGCAGGGGTGCAATGATCGCCTTCATGTTGTTGACTTCTTAGGTTTGTCGTATGCGCTTAATCCAAATATTCTAAACTGACGCCTCGCCGAGAATCCACTTCAGGCGTCTACACTCTGAAAACACGGATACAGCATTGAGGGAGGAGCTCCGAAAGAAGCAGGAACAGCTTGCAGTCCTCGAAGGTGACTTAAATGTACTGATCATTCTTGCTGGAGTTTGAAGACGGTCCACACGTTGGTGAACATACTGAGTAGTCCTGTCCTTTTGACCGCTTCAGATCGTCTTCGTTGTCCATCAAAGTACGGTACAAGAGAAAGTCTGAGGGGCACGCTGTTCCCGACAAAATTGAGTCTGCGGTTGCAAGCTTGTAACTTCGAGAGCAGAAGCACTAAAATGGAGGACTCGAGCTGATTAGCGCGGAATCTCATTCTTTTGCAGAGAAGGCAAAAGTCTACGAACAGTCTAGTACTGAAAACTTGAATGAGGACGATGTGTCGACAACAAAATCGGAGATAACGGCCCTCGAACTGGAGAAAAAGGAGACGGATGCCTACATCGCGAATCATAAGGAAACTTTGTCAGCAAAGAGAGAGCACAACAAGATTGTCATCAAGCAATTGAACGAGGTAAACAATTGTAGGCTGAATGATAAAGATGCCCTCTGCCAGCTTGATCAGTCGTTTGTGAAGAACATCTGGATTGCGCTGCTTCAGATCTACCTGGGCTTCTAATTGCTTTCAGAGACCGGAGGCAAGAGATAACAAAGTGTCTGTGATCAAGGGTCAATTTCTGCGTCTAGCTTAAAAGTGACACATAGATAAATAGGCAAATAGGTAAATACATACACAGGTAAATCCTCGATCAAGAAAGCAGTGCACTTCCGAAACTGGTGCCGGACACATCCACTTGCAGCAAGCTGGAAGCTTACGAACGAAACACTTCAAACAACAAGAAGCAGCTCACACCATGAGATGACGGAAGGCTTCCTGTTGGCTCGTGTCTGAAGGTGCCGAAAGCCAATGTCTACTTCTTCTGCTTTCCAACCAAGGACTTGAGTCCCGCTAATCTACTCAATACAACCGGTCTGATCATCGAACGGAAGTTTTATGCAGGTCAACAAGCAGAAATTTGAGAAGCAGAAGAAGCTCGAGCAGCTGCAGCACCTCGAACGAGAGTACGCAGAGCTGGAGAAACTTCAAAGGTGATGCATCTCGTCCTTGTCGTCCTTGACTTGCTTTTCAGGTTGTAAACTATTGCTCCTCTGCTTCGGCGAATCTCGGACGATCAGAGACCAGAGAGCATGCTGTGCTTAGACAGTTCGATGACAAGTTTCAATCCCATTTGCTGCAGAGATAGCGGAATTGTTCAAGAAGCATTCACAGTGGCGCACAAAGACTTCCAGAAGCGGAGCGCTTGTCCGAAATGTGGAACGAACGCTTACGGCAATGCCGAAAAGGATGCTGGGCAAGCAAATCAGGAAGAATGAGAGGGGATTCTCGAAGTGCATAGAGGGTTCCAGAAAAGCGTTGTCTCGAAGTCAACATATACCGCAACCTCTGCCGCTGTTCGCATGCAGCCAGATGGCGTTTGCGCTATGCTCCGAATTTGTACACAGAAATCTAAAATCTCTACATATACGCGTCGCGTAAAAAGCCGTCCGCTGAAAGTGGTTGGCTGCTGACCGAGCAGGCCTTTTGGACATCGGAAAATCATTGGAAGCGGCATGTGCACACACGCATCTATTGAATGGACACTTCTCTTATAGCCCGTGCGCATCAAAGGCATGGGGCGGAGTGCGGGTACAGGCTTTTTATGTTGTAAGTTTTGCATAGGCGGCATCAGTTATCGCTCTAGCTAAGTCTCAACAACGCCAAAATGCAGCTTTTCGATGACCTTGCGCCTGGGTTACTCTATATGAAGTCGCCAGGACCTTGATATTAAACGTGCCCCGGCGCCTCTACCTGCGGTGGTGCTGCGGTATTCGCTGTACATTCGTCACTTTGATATGATCATGTTGCATGCATGACAGTTGCAGATTGCTATTTTTAAGCGCGGACGTTCAGGGATGACGCATGTATCCGGTGTGTTACTAACCACTGGCCATACTAGATAGAGGCTAACTAGATACCAGATACTAGATAGAGACTAACCAATGGCCATATGATAGAGGCTATACGATCGCCTAAACCGTCATACCAGTGTCATGTCGGATCATTACCGCTGCTATATTGTATCCCGGATGGCATGCAATAATTAAGCCCAGGGACTGCGCCTTTCCTATCGGATCGAGTGAGTCCTATATCGCAATCATGCTGGCCTTAATAGGATCGGATGAGATCAGCTTGGGACACCATGCATTCCTAGTAGACGCAAAGAATGTACCGGCAGATTTAGCGTACGGAACGCCGGCCTCTCATCAACAAGTGCATTGACCAGCGACAGTCGTTCATAGTCCCGAGCCTGAATGGCCGGCCGAATTCGATCGTGCTGCCAGAGAAGGCCCCATTGATCAAACTCAAAGCCTGTTGCCGTCAATACGTGAAGCCGCATCGAACCAAAGTTCGTGGGTATACAGTGATATGTTCACTCTGCACGGCCAGTTGCTAATCTTGTTGCCGCTCGAATTTAGTAAACGGGTTCTATACAGTATGCACAATCGTCTCCACTTCTCGAAACTGACCGTAAAGCCTGCTTCTCTGCCAATGGCCCTACGTGTATCCCCACGATCACAAGCCTTGTTACAGAGGAGGAGGTCCATCAAACGGTTGCCGCTCTGCCTCTCCGCTATCTCCGAACTCGACCGGTTCTTCGTCGGTTGGTACCTCCCCGACAGGGATTGGGTCAGGCTTTTCGTGTAGTTTCGTTTCAGTCCCCAAATCAGCCGCCGACCCCTCCGGCCGACTGGGCGCCGGCTTTTCGCCCGAGCCCGAAGCGGAAGGGCTCGCCGAACTGCTCGCACTTTCCGCCAGAGTTGCTGCACTCGGCGCCGCTTCTCGCACCGGTTCCGGCGTCCGCACTCTTTCTGACGTCTCCCCATCGCGACTCGTCTCGCCTGACGGAGCCGGTACCGAGGCCCGCTTCTCGCCGCCGCTTTCCGGGGCTTTCCTCGGGGCCACAAAGTGTGCCGCTTTCAGAGTGTCAGGCTCAGGGGCCGGCGGCCTGAGTGGCGTGGTTGACACCGGCAGCGGCGTCCCGGGCGTGGACGGCCCCACGGGTTCCCCCTGAAAAGCGGGCGTGCTATCCTTTGCCCCGGCCACATCAACCGGGGGGGTGCCGCTACTGGCTGAGGCGCCCCCCGGGGAGGGCGTTTTCTTTCCCGGGGGGCTTTTGTCGGGTAAGAAGACCTTGGATTGGGGGGCGGGGAGGGCGTACTGGGCGGCGGAGGACGGCCCTTCGATGAGGCCAGCGACTCCGGTGGCGGAAGAAGCGCTCGAGGGCAGGAAGAGGTCGTGCTTCTGGTCCTTGTACGCGCGCCAAATCTGGGGCAGCGGGAAAGGGGGCAGATATTGAAGCAAAAAGTAGAGGGAGGATGGGGATTGGATTATGACTGCTTCCGCAGGGCGTCAGATCGTGGCATAAGCAGAGGGAAGCTGGCCAGAAGGAGTGGGAAATGACACGCGAGACTTGGATGGAAGGAAAACGAACATTCAGGCCCACAAGGGCGTCGATGGTAAGTGCATGCGTTGACGCACGTCCACACATTATGATCCTGCCTCCCTCTCCCCGTCGCCTGTCTCAGACACCTCGTGGACTTGATACTCTTCGGCCTCTGAATTTTGAGGCAACTCTTTTGAAATGCTTCCGGCCGCTCGAGCAAAGCACCGAGAAAGGATCACGGCAGCTGTTATCGAAACACCTCGCCACCATATGTCGTTAGGAGAAGTTAGAAAAGCGGTCCCTACCTCAGAGCCGTCCAGAATCTCCTTCACTTGCTGCGAGTGCACCCCTTCCGATGCCAGCAGCCGCAGCACTTCGACGGCCAGCACCCGTCCCACGCTGGCTTCCGCCTCGTTCCATTTCATCTGGCTGCTCAGCCCGTTCTTGGCGCCCGCGCGCCAGTCGAGCAGCGCCAGCAGCACGGGGACAAGGCCGGTCCTGCGGAAGGCGGGACTTTGATTGTCAGGAATCCGACAATCTCACAGGTTCTAGGGTCTGAAGGATGAGCAGTCGTTTTGTTGAAGTGGTACGGATTTAGGGGTTTGGCCAGTCTTGGCCGCCGGCGCGCCAGTGAAGCAGCGCCAGCAGTATGGGAATCAGACCAGTCCTGCGAAAGGTGTGGCTTTGATTTGCCAAGAGTCTCGGGATCTGACAGATTCTAGGGTCTGAAGATTTAGGGTTGTACCGTTTAACTGATCAAAACTTCAGGGGTTTGCTTGCTCTCGGCGCCCGTGCGCCAGTCGAGCAGCGCCAGCAGTACGGGGACAAGGCCGGTCCTGCGAAACATAGCAGTACGACTCGTCAAAATTGTGAAAACCTCATGGAATCTAGGATCTGACGTGATCTAGGACCGAAGGATGTGAGTGTTGGAAGGTGGAGATTCGGAGTCGGGGACCAAGAATTCTTGGAGCTAAGAGCACTTCAGCCCAGTTATTTCGGCTAGTGGTGAAAGGGACAGGTTTGCGGGGGCGGGGTTCGGGGTCAAGGCAGACGAAAAGCGGTTATCCAGGTCCGGTGCACATGCACCAGCCCAAAAGGGCTAGTAAAGCGGCAAGACTGTTAGCTGTCATTATGGTCATAGTGAAGCGCCTAATCAGCAACACGGACAATCAAAAGTCGTTATATTACCACAAGATAGAATATAAGAACCCACCTGAGCCCTTGCCCAACGAGAGCGTCCCTGGCCCGGTTGTTCGCCGTGACGAGCCGTTTCAGGGTCTCGAGCGCGAGCACGCTCGCGCCGTGCCACCCAACCGCGCGCATCAGAAGGGGAACGACCTGCACATGACAAATGTATGTCAGAACTCGGCAGACAAGCACTCGCGACGGAGTCAAATGCTGAGCGCTTCACGCTGATCATGTCCAACTCAAACGTGAACCTAATTCTCACTTTGTGGTGGGAGCAACTGACACTAGACTTTCTGAGACCATGCTGAGATCTGTGTCATTAACTAAGTACGCTCTGAAAGAAAACCTCCTCGTTATGGTGAGCGTACGACGTGCACGTCATTCTGATGTCACGAGGCCGAAAGTCTCATCGCTCCTTCATTCAGATCCATATTTATCAAATATTGACGCCGTGAGCGTTCTCGTGTGACGTCTGTCGAGAACCGCCGCCCCGTTTAACCACACTGGGGCGCCCCTGCAGGTGCAGGCTCCGCAGAACTGCCAAACCGGGCTCGAATCCTCGTCGACTGCCACGACAAACCCAGTCCAGACCTACCTGAGGCGCCCCCACGTTTGGCGAGGCCATCGCCTCAGCGCATACCATACTGGTCGCCAGCTGGCGCAGAGCATCCACAGACGCTAACTGCACTCCGAACCGACACCGAACCTACTCAAGCCTTCTCCCCCATCCATTCCAAACCCTTCTGCAAACCGCAATCTAACCACATTCAATTTCAGCTGAGGTGCCCCGCGTTTGGCGCGGCCATCGCCTCTGCGCAATCTGTTCTGGTCTTCAGCTGATGCAGGCTTCGCAAAAACTGCTCCAAAACAATCCAAACGTTCTCTATAATCCACACCAACCACCATTTAAGCCCACCTGAGGCGCCCCCGCGTTTGGCGCGGCCATCGCCTCTGCGCATGCCGTGCTGGTCGCCAGCTGGTGCAGGATCCGCAGACAGCTGGCGCGGACGCGCTCCTGGGGGGTCGGACCGTCCGACGAGCCGTTCTCGGACGCGCACTCTTCCGGCGTTCCGTCGGCCATGCTCGCGCGGCGGCCCTCGGCGGCCATCGTCCCGACCAGCTTGTTGATGTAGCCCAGGTGCGCCACGTGGTCGGCCAGGATTGGCTGCGGGGAAAGATGGTGGAGTGACGTCAGCGTTCGTTCGAATGGAGGCGCTGACAGATAGGAGTGGTGGGGAAATTGCATGCTGAACGACCAATTTAGGCAGACTATACAGAACGGTTGCAGGAGAGAAAGACTGGTGAACATCTTGGTAGATTTCAAATTCTCATTTGAGGAACTTGTCAAGTGCACTGGACAGAATGTATCGCCCCACGGGTTCGCGAAGCAAAGGAACTGCGATGAGGCGAATTGCTCAACCTGGAAAGCATCACATGTCGTTCTCGCCTCTCCTTTTGCAAATCGTTTTTCGCACCCTTCTAAGACTCCAGAAAAGATCCAAAGGATGCAGAACAGAGAAAATTTCATGTCCAAAAGCAGTTTCTTATTCTTCCAATCGGACTCACGTGCACTCGGAGGAGCGACACGAGCGCCGCTGAGAAGAGCAGCGGAAGCTCTGGATCGCCGGCGCCCGATCGGACGGTCGCGGAGGTGGCCACGTATTGGTCGAGGAGGCCCTCCAGGAAGCGCTTGCGGTTGCGCAGCGGGAACTTGGGGTCCTTCAGGAAGAGACGCACGTACACGCCGCCCACCTGGGGCTCGTCCACCGCTGAAAGAAAAGAAGTCTTTACTTTTTAACAATTTCTCAACTTTCTTAACCGAGATTTCAAGGACGCGTGCTACACATTGCTTTCGCGACTCGTGGTTCAGAAGGTTGTCTCGGAACCCTGCGAACGTTGACAGCTTGTAGAAGTAGAAGGGAAAGCGGAGTGGTTGGCTCGTTGGAAGCTGCGACCACCTCTGGTTTGAGGTTCAACTTTTTAAATGTGTTATTGGAACGACCCGATACTGGCCGAAGGAAAAGGGAGCGCTCCTTGTACTGCCCTTCACCGAAAACTCCTCCTGCCTACTCGCATGCCATGTCCTCCAGATACGCAAGCGAATCAGCGCATCAAGCTCACGCTACATTAACCACAATTCATCGAACCTTTATCGAGCGAACATCCCTCGCCCCGCTCTCACCTCCGTCCTGCGGAATGACCTCCCCCGTCGCCGACACTCTCTTCCCAATCGAGTCCGGCATCTCCCAATCCGCCCCCCCCCCAGCCTGCTCCCGGATCAACTCCTGACCTAAGGTCGCCAGCTGCCCAGCCAAGCTGGCAGCCATTGCGGGCGACCACACCAGTTCGGGGGTCTCGGTGGTTCGGCCCAAAGCGCTCACGACGGCTTCCCCTGGTCCGTCGACGATAGAAGCGACTAAGCCGTCTGGAAGGAATTTGCCGAGGGCGATGGACACGCGGGGGCCGTGCAGAGGCTGGGCGACCTGTAAGCGGGGATGAGAGCTATTCGGTCGCCGTTTGGAGTGCAACTGGAGTGGAAATGGACTCTGAAATGGACTCTTTGGCGTTAAGGTTGGACAGTGATGGACGCGCGGGGCATGCGAGGCTGACCGTCTAAATGCAGATGTCACAGACGTCGAGTCGCCGTTTGATGGAGACGAGTCGTTTCTGGGGGATGGCCGTAGAAGAGCTCGACGAGCTGTGATCAAGACTTTGGCGTACGTAATTCTTCCTCCAAGAATCTCTTCATAAAAGCTGACTGAGCGAGATTTATAAAACGATGTTGTCAGGAGGTTGAGGGGTTTGTTGATTACTATCAGCCTCGGCAGATCTGAGCTCCTTCCCTATGTCAACCTCGCACCAACTCAATCTTTTCGCTCGAAAGGAAGACTGAGATCAATCAGCACCGACATGCAACTCAAAGTCAAAAATTTCGGAAGAGCCGCTCAATCCTGAAAAGCACCCCAAAACTGGCAGAAAACGTTCACTTACGAGCTTGCCCAGGAGCGACGCAGCTGCCGCCCGCTCCGCGGTGCCCACGGTCTGTCCGGTCGGGAGCAGTACCTCCAGGATGAAGATGGCCCCGCCGTTCTTGGCAGCAGCCCAAGCAGCGTCCGCTGTCATGCAACGAACTTCTCGTCAAACCTTTACCAACTCTTGGACTCTTTTAAAATCTTCGGAACCAAGTCCTCGGTTGCTTTGCAATGCATGTAAAGAATGTTTGTCGTGTTCTTGGACGGGCCATTGGTCCCTCAAGTTCCCAAACCTTTCTATTGTCATCGAAACGATTCTACAGGCTCGTTTCCTTTACTCTCAAAGTCGCAATGTCTCTCGATCGTAATCTAGGGCATTTCTGTCATCCCCTTAGCCATACGAAACGGTACATGTACACGGACCTTCAGCTACCTCGACTGCTATTGGACCCGCCAAGTTCGAGAGCAGGTGTACTTTCACGCTGACAAAGAAGAGAGTGGTTGCACTTTGCATGAAGAAGGGGTTGCCACAAGTGTGGTGTCGATGTCTTACCGGTAGAAGCAAGCGCAGCGAGCACATGTAGGACGCTGCTCCGCAAATGGGGGGCTGTGTGCAGCAGCTGAAACAGCAGGATGAGACCCCCCCGGTCCGCAACCTGCCACAAACGACATGCCCGCGTGTAAACTGTGTCCACAAACGAGTGTCCTGAGGAAGCAGTTTTCATTCGAAGCCGTAGCGCATAACGATCGCCACTGTTCGAATAAGTCGTGAGAGGGATGATAGAACAGAAGGCTTGTGTCGGGCCTGATGGTCTATGGTCTTGGAGCATCTCTTGTGGCAGAAGGGGTTTCGGCATACTTGTACATGAAATAGAAAACGACGAGACAGAGCGAAAGAGAGATGCGAAGCGCATGTCTTCTACGTGGCGTGAGATAGGGCGTCGTTCAATGACGTCGGGAGGGGCTAATGCCGCCCAAACGACTGTACTCCAAAGACAGCTATCGAGTTCAGAACGCTGCGCGTAGTGCACCTCATCTGGAGCATCCAGGCCGTTGCGGGTATATCTTTGGGAAATGTGAGCGCTATTTTTGAAAACGTGAACGCCGAAACAATCGAAGGCAGCCAACGGAAAGCTGCGCACCATGGCCTCCACGCAGGGCGCGTGCGCCGTGAGCCGCGTCAGCACCGCAAGCGCCAGCTCCGGGACGCGCCCGCTCGCTGCTGACGTGTCCACCAGGCAGCCCAGGAGCGGCGCCAGCTGCGGCCGCGTTGAGAACACCGCCGCGAGATGCGGGTCTGACGTCAGCACGTTCAGCAGCGCCTGGAGCGCCATTGCCAGGTGCTCCACCAGCTTGCCCGCCTCGAGGTTGACACTGCCGGCCGCCTCTGTGGGCTGCGCTGAGTCTCCCGCTTCCGCAGTAGTGTCACGATCCTTCTGTTCAGTGTCAACCGGACCGCTTTCTGCAGCCGGGGGCTCGTTTGCGCCTGGAGTTTCCCCCCCGTTGGGAGTCAGACTCTCTGGTGCGCCGTTTTCGTCCTCGAACAGTGGCCTTTTGACGGGAGACTCGAACAGCGACTTTTTTTCGGGGGTTGTCTTGCTGGCTGGGGGTGGGGTTACGGGGACCGGCGCGGGTGCTTTTTGTGGGCTGGAAGGAGTGGCCAGTTCGCGCCGCCGCTTGACCGCTTCGCTGATGTACTCCAGGAGCGCATCGCAGAAGGCGTCGATGTTGTCAACTTTGAAGTCCGGGGTCTGGTTGAAGATGCGGAGGTACACGTCGCCCACCTACACGTGTGACACGTGGCATCAACTTTTGAGAGGGTTTTATTTCATTTACTTGCTCGCCTGACAAGAAAACTGGCGATACTTCCCGACCAACCTGGAAGAGTTGCGGAGGTGAGTTGTTAAGGCTTTCTTTTCATGCTGGCTCCGAGTCGATACATTCTTGAATGCATCCTTCTACGCAAACAAGTCGAAGAGGACGTTCTGAACAGACGGAGGCATCGAGGACTAAGACCGCCAGACCCACTTCAGAAGACAAGTGAAAATGTCGAAGAGTTTGCAACAGTTCCAAAAGGATGCTGTCCAGGGAATCCAAGTACACCACCGGTGCGACATCGTTTGAGGAATCCGCCTTTGTCTGACACGAGACGGCTGCTCGTCTGTAAATGATGTCATCCGCCTAGTTACGTGCTATCGGCCCACCTGCAGTTCCTCGGACAGCGCCTTGTACTTGAACTCGGTCGCCTCGGCCAGCGTGTACTTCCCGTCGGGGCCCACGTTGGCCCTCTGCTGATCCACGAACCGGAGCAGCTCCCCCCGGGTTACAGAGTTCCAAATGACCTGCAAAAGTGGGAGGAACATTTAAGCTCCGGACTTATCCCCCAGCTGAGACACAAGTCAGAGCAGCTCCCCCCAGGGTCAACGAATTCTAGTTGACCTGCAGAAGTGGGGGGATGATCAAGGCTTGCGGATTACCCCCCAGCTTTGACATGAGTCCGATTCACAGGCGCCGCAAGAAACGAGCCGGGAAGAGTTTGCTTGTAAAGGGGCATGCGATTCTTGAACTGTTTCCAGGATTTCGAAGCCGACAAGAGGTAGTCACGGGTTGGGTTGCTAGGTTACCCGGACAGTGCTATGCCCTGAACAGGACATATCGAGGAGTCCGCGACTAACAGAAGCTTCATAACACGAAGCAGACAGCCTGTCTAGAAGTAGAAACGAAGCCTACGGAGCTTTCATTGCAAAAATATGAGCACCCCACATGCAGGAATTCCATCCCGGAAAGCTTCGTTGCATATCCAGCGAAAGCCGCCTCAAGCCAGATAACTCAACCCAAAGTACCTCCACCTGAAAAAGCAGTATTCAGAAGGCCAGTTTTAGTTCAATTAGGTCCATCCGTCGAACGAATATATACTCACGTGCGGGGTCTCCAGATTCGACGTCAGGTTTCGCAGCATCTCCCTCGGCGACCGGTCCTTCAGCTGCGCCGCCACGCGTGGTGTTAACAGGCCCCGCAGGACAGCTGTCGCCTCCTGGTGGTAGGGGGTCGAAAGCTCGCCCTCCATGAACCCCCCCAGTTTGGCAAGAGCGCGGGCGGCCAGCATGGCGTGCAGGTTCTTGGCGCCCTGGACGCTTGCACCAATACCCTATCACGAGAAGGAGTAACCGATATGAGAAATTGAGGAGTTCACAGGGAAGCTCTCTGGTGCAGGGTCAAAAGCTCGCCCTCTAGGAAACGCCCACCTTTGACGACTCCCCGCGTGCAGAGTGTTGGTGCCCTTGACGCTCCAATCAGCACCCTATGACGAGAAAGATATACAATATGCGTTACTCCAAATATCTGAGAAAAAGTTTAGATGATAGGGATGTGTGCTTGGTGAGGGCACGTGCGGCACGAATCGCATGCACATCGAAGGGTGCGATCCGGAAATGAACAGAGAGAGCAAGCGCCCCATACCGGAAGATTGTGAGTCCGGACGGGCAAGTCCGAAACCTGACTTCGGATAAATGTGGTCGCAAGCTGCCAAAAACTTAACGTCAATTTGATGCAGAACCGACGTCTGCGATAGGCTTGTTTGGTATGCCGCGAATCAAGGTCTGGGCTACCCGTCTGGAACGTGCGAAGTTCCAGCAGTGGACGAGCCCGCTTAGTTGAATAAAAAAGCAGAGACACAATGCGGCCGCACCTGTGCCCCCCCCATCTCCTTCTCTGCGGTTGCGTCGTGTTGCAGAAGCAGCCGAAGAAGGAGTCGAAGGGGGGAAAACAAGGAAAAGAAGAATATTCATCACAAGAGATCCAGGTAGACAAACGATCTCCACAACGGTGAGCTTACTTGTGGGCCCCCCGTCTCTTTCTTCTCTGCGGTCGCGTCGTACTGCAAGAGCAGTGGTAGTAGGAACCAGAGCACGCCCGCAGAGAGCAGCCAGTCCTGGAAGTCGGCGTCCACACACAGCACGCCCATCGTTTGCAGCGCGCTGTCGATGCTGATCGTCGACCGCTCCAGCTCCGTGCAGTGCACGATGTCGGGGATGAGTCTGCAGGGACGATCACAGGCTTTTAGGGGGGTATCGGATTGTTTGTCGGATTCTTTTGTACTTTGTTTCCGTTTTTAGAATATCACGGGTTGATGCCGATCGTCGACCGCTCCAGTTGCGTGCTGTGCACGATGTCGGGGATGAGTCTGCACGAGAGTCAACTCCAGAATCAAATAGATAAAATCTTCGGTGATTGTAAAGTTGCCCAAGAACGATAACAATCCTTGACGGTGCAAAGCTGATGGAGGCACTTCAGGTCCGTGCAGTGCACGATGTCGGGTATGAGTCTGCACAGAAATTACAGGCTTTTAGGGCGGCGTCGGATTGTTTGCCGGATTTTTTTGAAATTTGGAATCGTTTCCATTTTGAAGCCTGCTTAGCAGATTACGAGTCGATGCTGATCGTCGACCGCTGCAGCCCCGTGCAGTGCACGATGTCGGGGATGAGTCTGCAAAAGAAACGAATTCAACTCTGAAGATCCTTTCGGATGCTGGTAGTTATCGAGAGGAATCCTTCTGTAAACGTTCAGGGCCAGTGAAAAAATATTGGTACAGAGGAGTTTGGTGCTTTGATCATCAAAGCTGGGATCTTTTCGTTAGGGGCGAGGTGTTCAAAACCATGGTTTCACAAGTACAGACATGTTCTATAATCAGAATCGGAGTTCGCAATCGTCGCCGCTCAGTTTCACGCAGTCCCTGTCTTCTTCAGAGAACTCGATGTGGAGAAGGACTGTGAGCTTCTCAACAGGTGTAACAACAACGTGCGACTGGGAGCTCAAAAAGAGACGTACTTTCAAACGTTGCGTTGTTGCTGTATGAGCAGGCAGCCAGCAGAGGGACACTCTTGATGGATCATGATGCAAAGAGGGGGAACGTTACCGGCAGAGAATGTCAGCCTTACCCCGGGCAAGCCATCATCTCCCGCCGCGCAATTTCGAACGTCGCCAGCCCCGCCATGGTGCGCATAATGTTGGTGACGATTACAGCGGCGGGCTCCGTTGGGGGCGTTTGGGGGCGAACCAAAGGCATGCAGCGGCCCAGGAGGGTCGCCAGAAGCTGCACCCCCCCGTCGCGAACGAGCTCCTCGCCGTTAAGCGCGGAGGAGACGCATCTGCGGGGAAGAGAAAGGCGAGTTGGTGATTGGTGAATGCTGACGCCTAAGCTAGGACGAATAGTCAGAAGAGTACCAAAGAATGGTTGGGAGGAGGCAAAGCTCGTTGCGAAAAAGTCGTGCTCTTTGCAAGAGCGGCTAAAGTGCCTGGAGACGATACATGATTCAGGAATGCGGAGTTTACATAATTCTTCCTTTTTCCAAAAGGAGAGCCCAAATGATCGCAAGCCGTTCCAGCGAAGGGATCCAGTCAGTTGGTGTGACATCGTGGTTTGGCATCGCGCCTGTTCTGAGCGTACCAGGAATTTCCCGACACCTGACGAATGCAGTCAAGACATTAAGGACTCTTGATTTTGCGTACAAGACGGAAGTACCAAAGCGGCCAATCCTTACGGCCCAAATCCCCTGCAAAACCTGCTCTCACGCAAGCAAAACCAGCCTCAGTGTATCGCTTACGTCAGCCAAATCAGCTCGGTAGCGGCCTCGAGCAGCGGAGCCCGCTCGGTAGAGAGGAAGTTTGGGTCGGCGTCGTCGAGCGTGATAGCGTTCAGCAGCATAGGGTATCCCGCATACTTGAACGGCTCCAGGACTGCGCCGTAGCGCCGGAACAGGATGCACTGCGCTTTAAGCAGCAGGCGCAACCGCCAGCTCTGGGGGCCCTGTGAAAAGGTGGGGAGAATGAAACAAGATTATTCCTCGATTATGGCACGAGATGATTGAGGCGCCAGAGACGAACCCGAACACTGATAGACCATATTTCTTGACTTAGTCAAGGAGTTCCCTGGATGAAATCATGTCGGAATTGCTTTAATGGTGGACATGGCATGGCTTTGCGGCCCCCTCTGTCAGCAGCCCGTCCGCAGCGTTCGCTGAAGGCTCTCAACCTCAACCTGCTGATGTTATAGCCAAGGCTCTCAACCTCATTGTTCAGTGTACGGAGCTGCCATTCGAGCTTAGGGGAATTACGACTCTCGCCATCTTTGGGGCTTGGCCTGTGACGCGCCATCCATGCTTATTATATGTCCTTAAGCTTGCGAAGTGAGACTAGTACTCAATCAGTCCCTTTTCTGCTGACTCCTTGACACTCAATTCTTCTGAGGATCGAGACCTGCAGTACACACTGGGTGTCCGTGAATGCATCTTCGTCCTCATCCCCATCCTAGCAAAGACTTGATCAGTGTGAAACCTAGATTTTCATAATCTCAAAAGCCAGCGCGTCAATGGAACAACGAGGGGACCGAACCATATGCACTCTGAAAACCCCCGCCTCACCTGCAATCCGCCAGCCAGGCTGGCCTGCAACCGCTCGTACGCCGTTTGCACCGCCATGAACTGGTCCCGCCCCTCAGGATTTTTATCCGGGTGATACTTCATCGCCATCTTCTTATACTGCCGTTTCAGCACTTCCTCGTCGACCCGCCCCTTCCGCTTGACTCTCCGCTGCCCCCCCGTTTCGGCGTGCTCCTTCTCGGAGGGCGCTGACGTTTCGCTGACGTCATCCTTGGAGATCTCGAGGATCTCGCACGCCTGCTCCTCGCTCAGCTCGAGCGGGCGCCGGGTCAGCTCCTCGCGCCACATGGCGAGCAGGGACTGGAGGAACTCCACGTGTTCGACGATGGGCCAGTCGGGGAAGCGGGCCTCGTCGCAGAGGTTGCGCAAGTAGTACCTGGGTGGGGGAGAGAGATTCTTCCTATCAGCACATGCTTCTCCTTCCGTTCTTCCGGTTGAATCTTACATTTTAACCGAAAGGATCGGAATGGAAACCCGACCTGCATGACTTACATTGCCAGAAAACTGCGAGCTGGAACGGGGAAAGGCACAGACATTCACACCACCAAGTCAGGTACGTAAAAATCTTTCAAACAACTTGCAAGTCGATCCCAGTCAGAGGTTGTAATAAATAAAAGCGATTCGACGTCAGCGTGCAATCGCCCATATGGCGAGACTGTTCGGTTCAAATTCTGACGGAAGCGACAGACCGCCATTCTCTGAGCACCTCGTACATCCAATTATGATAGATGCCAGAAAAGGCAAGACTTAAGTCAAGGCAAATTTTGCGAGCAGTATAGACAGCTTGCATGGCGGATATTTCGGTGACGCACCTGTGGCACCACATCTCGTCCTCGAGCTCGGGGTACGTAACAGGTGGCATCGGCGCGTAGTCGTACAGGGAGTGGCAGTGCTGCGGCAGCTTGGACGGAAAGTCGCCCAGGTGTTGGTGCACCTATAGAGCGCAGGCGTTCAGTCACTAAACACTTGTGTCATCTTGAACATAACGAAAGAGGAAAATCATTCACGATTCGAATGATGTGATTGTGAAACCGAGTGTCATCCTTCTCTTTCTCTTCACGTCTGGCGCAGTCCCAGCAAAGTTCGTTTTGCCAGCATTTTCTTTGGAGAATGCGTCTCCATCTGCTCTTCGCTTGCTGTCATAACACAAACTCGAACCTGAGTATTCTCACGGACAGAGCTTTTGCTTGCAACCACCTCACCACACAGGGACTGACCCCAGTACCTAGTAAGCTTTCAACGAACCCTGAGCTGAACGGCTAGCAAAACGCGGCAACCACCTAATGAATGAGCCGCCCGCGCCCACTTTATTGCCCGAAGATCCATCAGAAGTCGCATCAACGATTTTGAATCGGCCACGTGGCAGCTCACCTGATGGATGAGCCGCTCGCTCCGCATCTTATGCGTCCAGATGATCTCGGGGGTGTCGGAGTCTGCAACCATGGCCGCCGCAAACGCCTGCGCGCCGCTCTTCTCGAGCACGTACAGCAGCGACTCGGGAAGGAGACCGCCGAGCACGCTGCGCTTGGCGAGGGGGAGAGCGCTCGCAACAGCCGCGTCAGCACCGCTGCAAATGACACGTGTCATGAGTACAATATGAGTACGTACCGAGTACAAGTGTCATCTTCTTGAACCAGTTCACGTCTAACAGTAGGAAGAGATAAGGTTCGAGAAGGAAAGCGCCCAGCACCCTGCGATTGGCGACGGGAGGAGCGCTCGCAACGGCCGCGCCGGCATCGCTGCGGAAGACACATGACATGGGTACTGGTATCGTGTTCCAAAAACCTGTATAACACGCCACATAACAAGAAAATTCACTTCGGCCCTCCAGCGCGCTCGGCAGGGGAAGAGCGCTTGTGACAGCCGTGTTGCTACTGATGCAGATTGAACCGTGTCATGACTTACTTGCTTTGCATTATGAACCGTTTTACGTTACAGAACAATAAGAGAAGCCACTCTGGCAGAGGGCCTTACAGCGCGCCGAGCTTAGGAGGACCCCTGCCCTCTGGTCTCACTGGCGTACTTGAAAAGCTGTGATTCGGAGACCTACCCGTGGAAAGCTTGGTGTAAATGCGCCTTCTTGAAGAGACTGGCGATGGTCCGCAGATTCGCCCCTGCATACGCGAGCGCAAAGTAGAAGGCGCCGGAGGAGTAGAGCCGGGCCATGGCGGGGGGGTTGTACGTGATGATGACCTCCATAAGCGATGCGGCCAGCTCCACAATCTTGGGCTCGCCGGTTAGGACGCCCTGCAGGTCAAAAAGGAGTTGGGTAAGTCGAGTTTAGATGCGAGTTTAAAATGTGGAGAGGGAAGAAGGCCCACAAAGAGGCCGATTGTGTTGGAAACCGAAGCCATGATTCAGGCCCCCGATTTCGGATAGCATAAGATTCTCTTTCAACGACGTCTGCATTGACAAAGTTGTGAATCACAATTTGAGAAGTGGCTCGACGCGTGAGCAAAAAAATGAAGGACACCCATTTCTGTAACCAAGGACCCTGGCAGGTCTTCAGATAAGCTGACCAAATGTGAGCGAAAACTTCTCAGAAAGCCAAGCCATTCAATCCCCCCGTCCGAGCAAACTGAGACAATGACAGATAGTACCTCAAGCATTTGGAAAAGTTGAGCAACGGATCTTCTCCAACAACTCATACCCTGAAACCAGAGCTTCATAGCCTTCAATCAAAACTTGACAGCCTGAGACCCAAAAGGTTGATGTTTTCCCAAATCTAGCACTTAGAGAAGTCAGAACGTGAACAATAAGCTGACGAGCTCACATACCTGTGCGAGGTGGGGCAGGCAGCGGGGGCTCGAGAGGATGCGCTTTACAACCGGCGCTGGCGTCACGAGCTCCCCGTAATCGTCCACGCTGCTGTGGAGGGAGACCAGGTCGTGCAAGATGGAAAGAGCGACCTCGCCAACCTGGAGAAATCCAATCACGTGTCTTTGATGAATTTGTTTGAATTTGACACGCTTCCCCTCCTCTGCACCCTCGTAAAGAGACAAGTATCCAGTGAACAGGAGAGAAAGCAAGAAGGACAAGATCCAATAACCGAATGGGTCCAAATGCAGAACCCTGTAGCCGGTTAGAAGCACAAGTAGACCAGCCCTCTGCTTTTTTATTGGAGAAGCTCATTCATTCTTTCGGCAGACGTTATAAGATATCTGTACAACATCAAGTAAAGAAGAGACTGCATAAGGTGAGAACCGGCATGCCACGGAGTATACCAGGTTGCTCGGCAGAAGCCTTGATCCTAGGAACAAACCCAGAGAACCTTGTAATCTCACAAACAAGATTGCGGTTAACTCATCGCGACAAACTTACTCGGCTGGGAACATAGACACTGTAACCACTAAGTTAAGTCGTTGAGCTTCAAAAGAATCCGAAAACGCAGAGGGCCTACCTGCACGGGGGTCAGCACAGCTGTTTTCTTAGCCATGGCCCACCGAAGCTCTCGTATCGCCCTCAGGGGCTTCCAATCGTTCATGCCCTCGGCCCAGCATTTGGTGGAGAACTCGATCTCGCCAGTGGACCACAGCCGTCGTATCTGGTCCTTCTCAACGGGGCCCTCCTTCGCGTCACCTGAAAGGTGCGAGCTCCTTATCAAACGTGATATTGATACTTGTACTTCATTTTGGGCCGGCTCAGATGAAGAGTAACAGAAAAAACCTAGGTGGTGGATCTAGTTACATCAGAGATACACGCATGATGTACGTATGACAAATAGAGTAGGAAAGACTGTAAGGGATTTCGCTCTATAAGTCCACATTCAGGGGAGGCAGGTTCCGGAAGGCAGGCCCGGTAGCAGAAGATTCGCCGACTTCTCGCCAGAACAACTGAACAAAATCCTTTCTGTTGACAGACGATAAACTCTTATGCGAGATACGCTTATGCCACAGATGCGCGTTTTTCCTGCTTTTCTTCTCCCTTTCTTTGCTCCACTGGGGAAGGACCGACGGAATCTTTACATTTTTGCGTACGTGGACGTCAGCTGATTGAGTAGGGAACGACCTGCTACAGGTGATCGGACGACCCACCTTTGCCGCGGTAGTACCACACTTTCGGCGGTTCTACATGGGCAGTCGCTGCGATCAGGTTGTTCTGCGACGGCGTCACAGCCCGCTCTGCGGCCTCGTGAGCGCTCGCCAGAAGGTCCACCGCTAGTTCGACCCCGCCCACAGCGACGCAGGCACGTGCATTGGATGGGACCTTCACGAGAGCCTGCGGAGGAAGAGGCAAGCGGTTTAAGCATTCGAGCAGAAATTGCGACAAAGAGCGCTGGACACACGCCAAATCCATGCGGAAAACGCATGTCGCGATTGTTGAATGTTGATGAGAGTTCGCTGTGTTACAGCAGCTGCAGTTCTGATCGGCTTCACGGAGGAGCGTGTCTAAGAACGATTTACGCCGGCAAGCTTTTCGAAAATGCTTGTGATCAAGAGGCTTCCGCTGCTGAAAGTGCGGATTCTTCTTTGGGTTTTATCAAAAGAAAGCACATATCTTACCGCTTCTCTTGGTTCCACCAAGAAGAAACAAAATTTTAAGGAGACAAATAACTTTGACCTCTTCAGACCTCCCCAACCTGACAACTTTGCATGCTCATGCAACCACATTCTTAAAAGAAATAAGAACCGCGGCGGGAAGTTTAGAGTACGATCGAGCCTTCCCGACTCAGCAGCCCTTTTGTACTGCTCGCAGCATTGTCTGAACCTTCTCCCCTTACCTGCAGCAGCAGCACCAGCCGGTGCCTCAGCGCCCTGTCGTTCGTCCGGTCCAGTAACACCGTCACGTGGGCAGTCCCGTCAAACGGCCCGATCCGCTCCTTATGCTGATCGTAGACAAGCGCCATCGCTCGCGCACAGAGCTCTCTTGTTTGGCCCCCGACGCCCCCCGAACCTCCAAACCCGTCGAGCCCGTTCACATCGCAGAAGTCTTCACGGGAAAGGGAGTGTGAATTCTCGTCCAGGCCTTCGATGAAGAGGCCCGCGTCAGCGTCACAGAGGAAGCGATGGTACAGAGCGCGGAAGAAAGCGGGGGGGTCGCGCAGCGGGAATGGTTGGGAGTCGCGGGCGGTGCTGGTTTCGAGGAGGAGACGGAGGTAGTACTCGCCAACGCAGACCTGAGAAGAAGATATTTTTTGAACTGCTAGTGCGACACCTGTATGATGGGACAAGACTACGCACTTGGATTGTGGAAAGATAGTGAATGTAGGGGCACTTGACCATGTATAGAAGCAAACGATACGGATAATTGAGGAGATACCTGGCATGCGCGTCTTCGGAAAGCTCACGACTGTTCACTTTCTTGGACGGGCTCGTAATCAGACTTCGGAACGTGAAATGTCCAACTCGTGAAGGAAGCATCGAAAAAAAAGATCCGAGTTTGAAGAGAAAGTAACGCCCAGGCTCAACGAAAACGCAACAGCAACATCGAACGGAAGACCTGATTACGTCTAGCGAAAACAATTGTAATGAGAGGAGGTCGTTCATGGAGTGTGCGAGTAAAAAACGCGAAGCTCGGCATCGGCGAAGCTGCCTCAAGCTGGAGCTTGCCCATTTCTCTTTTCGTCCTTGCCGGGGAAGAGGATTCCAATCAAAACCAGTTGCAGCTTTGTCATGTCTTCAATAGATAGGGGGCGGTCTTATGCAAGATTGAGTTGTTCGGGCGGACCAACAGTTCGAAGAGCGGCTCCGTAACCTTTCCTTGAAAAAGCAAACTCACGCACTAAGCCACACTTACAATCCCTGAAGTATGCTGGCCTCAGAGGAGGGGGAAAATCTTCAAATTTGGGACCATGTTACGAGCCCAAATTTTCCTATCCTTGCCAACACGACTGTCGCAATCTCCACACTGCTCCGAAGATGACCTTGCTACTTCGACGTTCTATTATCAGCACAGGAAGACGAATAGCAGGAGAATGCGGAGTATGAACAACAAAGGCAGCGGCATACACAGATCCTATCGACGACCAGTTACGGTTTGCGTCGTCGCAAAGATCAGTCAAACCAGAATCTAGATCTGCCCCAGTCGCCTCTCCCTAAGAGGCTAGCATAAAGACTGCGTCCGGCTGGGCCTGACAATGGATGCGAACAGCAAATACGGACTGGGAGCAAATGCCACGTGGAGCTTGGGAATTTCGACCACCACTTATCCCGTGCTAAAGCGATAACGAGCTCGTTGTGAGGGAGACTCCTGTTGAGTAATATGATATTTCCCATTGAACGAATACCCAGTAGCCACGTTCAAAACAGACGTTTCCGGTATATGTTACAAAATCCACGTCAGGAGGTGCAATCGCGTCCACGAGAACGCCCTCGATTAAGACCGACTTATCGTCTATTCAAAGAAGGTCTGATCACAGATCTCAGAGTACCCAGCGAAACTTTTTGATTCCCTTTCACAAAATCACCAAAACCCGTAACCAAGGCTCTTCAGGCACGCTGAGGGTACGGCGATTTGGAGCATCCATGTTGATGCTTAGTGCCTTTCGCACCCTTGCCACCACAGCTCAAGCAAGCTTTATGCAGCTCGAACCCAGCTCTGAAATCGCAGGCAAGGGACGAGAGCGTGAAAATTCACACGGAGGACAGTTTCAGCAACATATTTGCATGGTGTAGATGAATTGAGACGTCCTGAATTATCTCAAACAGATGTGAGTCACAGGCACCAACGCACGTTTTCTGAACAAACGCTTTCAGCAGATGCAAGAGGACTCGGTCGGATTTCCGGCGGACCAGGTTGGCGAGAGGTACAAGCCTAATTTTGACCAACCGCAGATGCTAAACTGTCGTTGTAGTCTCAGCAGAAGAGCATGCACTTGAATCAAGACGCCGACTCAACATAAGACCAGCATCAAAGACTGTGGTGAACGAGGACCCGGTCCAAAGAAGAAAAACTTCTGTGAAGAATGGAGGGGCCCCAGAAGGCAATACCAAGACTGCGTAAAGGGTTGAAGTACAAGAACGTGAAGTACGCTCGCGAGCGCGGTTGCTGAAGAGATAAGGGGTTGACAAAAGCAGCCAATGCGCAGAACAAATCAGCGAAGCTTTGAGTACGACCCACTGCAGACCATGTGAGAGCCAGCTCACAGAGGACAGACATCCTGGAAAGCGAAGAAAAAATTGATGCCTTTCAGGAATTCTGCTGCTATGGCTCAGCAACGAAGAGAGACCTAATCAAGAAAAGCGAGTCCTGCCGCTCCAATCGAAAGCATCCTTGCTTCAAAGCAAGGCGTCCGATGGACCTGGATGGACACGTCAGCACGAAGCTGACCGTGCATCTTCATCGCCTCGATTCACTTGCAATTACACGAACTCCCCACGTACCTGAAGGCACGTCCAAATCTAAACAAGACACCAGACAGTATTCTCATGAAAGAATTGTTCTAGACTTGAGCCCAACCATGACCGAATTTGACAGCTGTACCGCGAACAACCTTTGGAGTCGGCGACGCTCAAAGACAGAGCAGGGACGTGAGCGCCCTCCAGAATGGTCTTTGAGAAGTCAGATATAGTTGCAAGACTTGATTGCCATGACGTTATGCCTATGGCAACGGTCCTGTCCTTGCCTCTTTACTCGGATCCGTTCCTCGGAAATTTCGTTTTTATCAGGGAAAGACAGCTGTGTTCAAAAATGTGGAAAGTCCTAAGGCCGACAGCGGAGCTGGCGGTGAAAAAGGCACGCCACATGCCCTCAAAAACCACTGTGAGGCAGCCAGGCATCAGAAAAACAATCGATTACAAAGTCTCCTTGACATCTGGGACCGTAAGCCATCATAAGGACGGAACGCACCAAACTTTGGAAAAAGGCACTTCTAATTCCAGCAGGTCGTTTGCTGTGCTAATGGCTGCTCGAAGAGAAGGATATGCTAGGCAAAATGGATGCAAAGCCTTAGAAGAAAAAGTGACGTTTGAGGTCTAGAATGTCACATGCTTGTTGCATCGGCTTGAAATATAAGGTTTTCCAGGCTCCATAATCAAGGATCGAGAGTTCGAAAAGGGGTTTGCGTCCATGGTTAAATCTGGACCAATTATTTGAAAGTGGCTCCATCTTTTTCAGTTTGGTGCCAACTGAAACTACCTGCGTCACCTCCGGACACGTTGACTAGCAGGCACGTTGTCAGCCTCAATAGTTGCCTTCAAGTCGTGAAAGTGCCGAGTCCGTCGTCGCACGCTTACAGGACAAAGACCACTACAAGCAAATGCAACCAGAACGTTTACCAACTGTCTCTCCCTTCCAACCTCAAGTTCAGCAGCCCATAACCCGGCATAATCCGTGTATTCACTAGCTAGAACTGATGATAAAAAAACACTATAGCGGGGCAAACCTCTCAGCAGGCTTAGGAGCTCCCCTCTCACCTCTTTCGCGAGGCTGGCATACTTGACACGGAACTCGGCATAGTTCCATGACAGCTGGCCCCCCGCCTTCTCCTCAGCTGCAGCCTCCCTCTCCCCGTCCTCCGCGTCGCCTTCCTCCTCTGTTGGGGCGGCCACGTCCTCCAAAACGGCCCTGTCACGCTCCAACTGCGGCGGGCATAGGGCGCTGGTCAGAGGCCCCTTTCCATTTGAAAGTTGGTCCAATGCGGGATTCTGTTTTGAGTTCCTTGAATGGAAGAGTTCGAGCAGATTGAAAGAAGGTGACCAGCGTACTTTTGATGCGTTGAGGAGGGTTGCAATCAGCACGGCAGCGCTAACAAGCTGATGCTTGCAAACGCTACTCACCAAAACAACAAAGACGATTTGCAAGGGTGTGCGTCAGAGGACTGACTCTCTTTACACGCATGATGAGCGACTCAACTAAGATATTCTGGACGAAGCCGGTAACGTCCACAATCTACTGAAGAATCCTGCCTTACACAAAAACTCCCTCCAATCTTCACCTTCTGCAACACAACCTTGAAGGTTTTGTCTGCTGTCAGCAGGGGATGCCGCCCTCACCTCGAGCGAGTGCACTTCGCTGTCCAGCGCCTCCTTCAGCTCCTGCCGCGTCCGCTCGTTCCAGATCAGGTCCGCCCGGCTGTGGTCCCGCTCAAACTGCCGCCAAAAGTCCGCCCAGTTGTACCGCAGCTTCCCCCCGGGGGCGTCCCGGGGCGAGCTCGGCGTCGCTACCGGAATCGCCACCGTTGGCGCTGCCTCTGCCGCCGGAGACGAAGGCATCACTTGTGAGTACGACGGGGGGGCGTGTGAGCTGACATCAGCGGGTTGCACGTGCTCTCCCCCGTTGCTGTGCGGAACGATGGCAACGCTCTCGGGGGCGCCGGGAGGAGAGGCGGGGACGATCTGGTTGTTAGGCGAGGGCAGCTGTGCAGGAGTTTTGACGGTCGGCGGGGTTTGGATTCTTGGTGGGCTCGTCGCGGCCGCGCCCGGAGCGACGAGCGAATCGGCAGCGTATGGGGGAGGGGGGAGCGTCACCGCCGGAGGGGGGGGAGGTTCAGTCACCGACGGGGCCTTGGCTGCAGCCCCCCGGCCACGACGGCGCTGCAGGAGGCGCCGCTGGTGCGCGCCCGCGAAGGTGGTGAGGTCACCAACGTCGTCATCGGAGGGGCGGGTGTAGAGATAGGCAACTAGACCGGGGGGAAGGCAGCGGGCGAGGAGCTCGAGGGCGGGCTCGTGGGCGTCGGCCCAAAGGGCGACCAGCTGGCGAGAGACCTCGCGGCGCTCGCCGGAGGGTAGGAACAGGGCGTGCACCTGGAGGAAAAAGCACGAGATCTCAGCGAGATTGCGACCGAGGTCTGCTCTTTCGATCACAGGCTTCTATAATCGTTTGACGAACTTCTGATGGCACGGAGCACAAAACGGGAGGGAGAGGTCCCAGCAGAGACTTGCAGACAGAGACGATGTGGATGAAGCTGCTGAATACGAAGCAGGGCGACGAAGACGCCTTTGACTGCGCAGAACTGGACGGACAATCTGACGGAGGACTCTGGATTCGAGACAAGAGCGTTTCACGTGAGTGTTCGTGAGCTAGGCTCGCGCAATCCAAGCGAAACATCTGAATTCGGCCATACAGAAAAATGAATGTCTCCTGGGTTCTCAAAATCCCCACCTACAAGACCGAGGCACGGGGAAACGGACCTAGATGCTTGTTCTTCAGGCGACTGGGCACTCAGCCAAACATGGCAGATGGACAGAGGACATGGACTTCCGACGGACTCCCAATGATACTTTTCCGCAAGGAACCCTCCCATCGAAACTTGTCTCTTCCAGCTTTCAAATTGAGCCGTCACTCCTCAGAGACTATAGCCCAATGGGGTCCTGGGGTCGCCCGAATCGCTCCACCTACTTAGACGGCAATAAAATTCTGCTTCGGACGATATTGCTCTCACCAGCTCTGCAATCAGAAGAGGCGCTCACCAGATGCCTGAGCAGGGCTCCGTCTTTCAGTGCGGCATCCCGCATCGGCTCCGCCGCCCCGCCGTCCTCCTCTGCAATCGTGCGCATGATGAGCGCGACGGTCTCAAAGACGCCGGCCGCGGGGTGGGCAAAGAGAGCGAAGAGGCGCCTCCGCAAATTAGCGACCTGCACAGAGGGCAGATCTAATGGTAACATTGGCAAATAAATGAAAGAAAAGATTTCTCTCAAGGCTTTTAAGAAAGCACGTGGCTTTCAAACACAATGGCCGCAATCACGACTTCGAAGTTGCACCTTTCGGCTCGACTCTCAACCGCGTTCAAACTATGTTTTTCAATGGATTTGCGGATTCTAAGGGTGTTCATCCAAATCTTGTGACAACAGCCTATCAAAGCCTGGCGCATCTCGAACTCAAGTCAACATCTCCTAAGGGTACGGGATACGACAGGAGCGTCTGGAAGTCGAAATTCCTCACGGCATCCCTTACCTGGCGCAGCATCTCGTGGAACGTCCGATCGTCCGTGCTCTCGCTGTGCGGCTCGCACAGCATCGCCTCCAGCACCGCGACCACCTACGAGGTAAGAAGTGCCATCAGAAAATTCGAAGGCGACGGCCCAAATCATTTTCAAAGGGTGCAATTGTACCTAAAGGGAAACGACGCTGCTCTTGAATCCGCTCCGTAACTCAAGCGTTTCCCACTTGCAACAGTTCCAAGCGTCAAAAGCGCATCTCAAAAAAACGGCCTTAACACTGAGACTTTCCAGTTGCTTCCCATTGTAGGCGTCGTTGGGTTGTAATCTTGTTATGTAAAAACATTCCCTCAGATTCAGGACGCCTACAACACAGGGAAGCTTGAAAAGTCGAAATGAACATTGTGAGGGTTTCGAAGCAACCGGAACCTTACCTGCAAGCTCAGCAGGGGCGACACCGTAATCGGCTTCAGCCGGCTGACGAGCACCGTGATCTGCCCCGCGTTCGCAAGCAACGCCTGCTTCGCGTTCTGCAGCAGCGCCGCGCGCTCCCGTCCCATCACTCCCCCTTCGCCCGGGCCCCCCCCCACGAGCATTGCGATCAGCCCCGCCGCCTCCGCCGAAACCCCCTCTGACCCGCTCCTTAACTGGCCCATAACCCGGACCACCGCGCCCATTATTCCGACAACGGTCGAAGTCGCCCCGACCGAACCCAACAGTCGTCGTACACAGGCGAGGATCCCAATGACGGCCGTCGCGGCTTTTGCGGAGGGGGCCGGGGCCGGGGGGCCTCCGGGGGCGGTATTGGCAGGGGCGGGGAGCATGGAGAGAAGGGCCATGAGCGCGGCTTCGGGAACGTCGGCGTTGGGCGGGAGACCGGAGTAGGGGACGTTGGCGTTGAACTCGCGCACGCGACGCCAGAGCTTGGACTTGGCAGCGGGCGAGGCGCCGCCCTGGCAAAGCATCATAGCTGTCTTCGAAGCATATTCTAAGCAGTACCTCGTTACTTGGGCCCCCCGGATTCGAGTGTATTTTGTTACGAGCTCGAGAGCTTTCATCACTGACCTCCACAAGAAAACGCTGACAACGACGACCTTCTGAGGCTCGCTTAAACGGACCGGTACAGGCAGTTCGAGTGGCTCCCTGTTCGGAAATATCTCAGGCGCCCCCCTTACGACCAGCCTAATCCCTCTTTTAGATATACATATACTCAACGAACATACGAAACCCTAAGACTTTCTCCTCTCCCGAGCAACTCTCGATTTACAAATGCCTCCTCACCTCAGCCAGGCACTCCTTGGCAGCCTGCGCCAAGTACTTCAGGTGGCTCGAGTCGGGGATCTCCATATCTCCTGACTTGCCGGCGCTCGAGATCGAGGCCACGTTCCCCAGGGGGTCGATTCGGTGCCCGGGAAGTGTTGGGCGGGGTAGGACTTGGAGGGGACGCCCAGCTTCCGTTTGGACCGCGTCTAAGACGCAGGCGAGCAGGCTGTCCCGGGCGGTGCTGCTATATACCTGGGGGAAAAGTTGGGAGTTCTGAAAAGGTGAAATTTCTAAAGTCTTAATGATGGGAATCTGTTTGTCTTGATGTTATTGAACCGAGCAGACCCAAATGGCCACTCCGCAGCAGACCTGCTCTAATTACAACTCACAGTATGTAGTCGATTTGGTTTGAGACCACAGGAACATTCGGGGGGTGCAATCCCGCGAACTCCTGTCGGTCGTTGCAAGGATTGAGTCAGTTATTCATATGGCTTCCACTGTTTCCGCCGCAGTGAAAGCATAAGACATCAATGAAGTTCGGAGAACGCGAGTCCGGCGAGTCTCCTCCAGAGGCGCCAGCCAAACATTCGCAGGGTAATCCAGCACAAGTAGCAACTGCTTACGATAGACGAATCAAGAACGGTAAAAGCGGTTAAATCAAAATTAAGTCGACTCGGAACTCACATGTGTTGAACAGCCGTCGTTGAACTCGATGGCGAGCATCTGAGGTTCTTCGGCGAAGCGGACCAGGGCGCTAACGGATGAGAGGGGGCGGACGATGACCGCCTACGGCGATCAAAAAAGAGTGAACATCGTTCAGATTCTAGGCCAAGCAGAAACCAGGCAGCCTACGAAGTTGAAGAAGCATTCCACGATGATGATGGGACGCTTTTGAAGCTCAAGGGCGAGCCGAGCCACAAATACTTCCAATGTGAGCCTCCAATCTGAGCCTCCAATTTCAGCCTCCAAATCGTCCACGACTTTGTGACGGCGCATCACCTATTTCATTGTTTTCATCCGAGGCCACAGCTTAGGCCGCATAATTCAGACCTGCGACTTCGTATTTAAAGTGCCGCTGTCTTCGATGGCTCAAACGGCACTGAAAAGGAGACGCCCGGGACGTCGTCTTTGGGAGGGTCACGCTTGGTCACGCTTCGTTTGTCTGGTGACGCTTTGTCCTCATTGGGTGCTTTCGCCCAGTGCGTCTTTCGTGACAATCGGCCATGCGACGAGCTCATTCACGATCAAAGTTTACCGACATCCAATTCAGTCCACTCTTCACAACCACTCGAAGAACCCCTTCTGTTGACTTGAACACCGCGAGCTTACTTCGTAGTTGTCAGGCCGCCTTTCCACGAGCGCGCTCCTCGTCAGAACCAGCTGCCGGAGGACTGCCACGTCACTGCCCCGGCTCCCCGCCTGCCTCGGTGCGAACGCGCCCGCTACGCTTCCAATCGTGTGCACCGTACCCTTGCCCGCAGAACGTAACCGCACCACCGACCACTCCCCAAGCGGGGTCTCTTCCGCTCCGACGGCGGCCGTAGCTGAAAGGAGGCAATTTTGACGGAGGATCTAAAACTCTTGATTGAAGGAATCATCTTCCACAAGAAGGCGGACGTTTCGAGGTTGAGCAGGCTGTGAGTATGCTCTCATGATTGCCCTTTCAAAGCTGGGAAACCGGACAAACAACTGCCAGAACCAAACACCGCCGAGCTTCTGTCTTCGTACAAATGCAGAACTCGAATCAGTTATCAAGGGACCTAACTAAAGCCCTTTTCTGCGCTATCTGCAGCTTTGATTGTGTACCTAAATAGAACAGGCTGATCAGTGACGTCAAGTGCAGGCACGTTGACCTCACCTCGCTCTTTCAGGAAGTCTTGTACGGTCATCTTCTGCGTGTTGTCGACAAAGAGGGTTACACCGACGTACTGCTTGGCCATGGAAGTCTGCAAATCAACACATCGGAAATCAGAGACCACTCGTATCCAGCACAACAGCACGCTACAACCAAGTTCTTAAGATACCCGAAACTTCTAGCCGTTTCTGGTATGGGCGCCCAAACCATTTTGCGACCACTTAGCAGGCTGTCCAACCGAGCACGAAGCCAGATGACATTCAGCTCAATCAGAAAGGTTGGCAATCAGGTGAGCCAAACGGTTTGCAGAATCGAAAAATCACTGCCTGCCAAATATCCAGCTAAACTGCAATCGAGAAAGTGAACAACACAACGCATAAATGGTCTTCACAAGCACGACTTGCACCAGAATCAACAGAGATCACATATACCCTGCCCAGAAAGCAGTTCTGTATTGCCATGTACGAGTTACCAGATCTAATCAAACCCCTGCTTATCTTCTTATCTCATCGCTGAAAGGATCAGATGAAATGTGGACAGACAAAGGAAACTCACAATCTTTGTGATAAGATTGGACAGAGTGGACCCTTGGGTAGCTGTAAAGGCCTTCTTGCTCCTTCCGTACGCGGGGCGCAAGACAAAACCGCCCCCCTGACCGCCCCCCCTTCCATACGGATCCGCAAACACAACCAGCGCCGGAGAAGCCAAGTCCTTGAACGCAACGGACCAGTGCAACGTGCTGGAAGATTCATGGAGTGTCTCGATCCCTGTTACAGTCACCCGCATGGTCTGCAAGGAAAAAAGCAAAACGCACTAACCGTTGCATACTTCTGGTGCTGCGCTTGGTGTGCTGACATTTTTTGTTTGGAGATTTTGATCTGCGGACTCCCTACGCGAACTAGGATACGTATAATGTTTCTGCCACCAAGCACCCTATCTGTTGCGCCAAGCCTTGTCCGAGGCTTGCACTTAGTGGATAAGAGACTGACTTCCATTTCTACTTTTACCTCTGTTGCCATCGCCACTTCAACCACAGGCTCTGAATTAGTGCGAAGTACAGCCGCTTTCCCTGCCGCTGCTGTACATTTATCTAATTCGACCAGTCCTGACTTCCTAGACGCTAAAAAACGGGCGAACTCAAAACCACAGTAGCATGTTGACAGCTTACAGGGTTCAATATCAACCGCCTGCCATAAAGCCGCACCATTCCGACCATATTAGCAATCGTTACGATGTCAGCAAGAATATCAAACGAAAAATCCTGTCAACGCAATGATCTCGGAAGATGGGGGACATGAGAAGTCGCTTCCGGAGAAAAGGAGCAATCACTTCATGAGCATAAGAGCAAATGAAGGTTCCCATGCCCCCACTGTAGTCTTCAAACCCATGGCTATCCAAGTTTGACATTATCAGTTAGACATCTTGCTGTCAATTCTTCCAGATACCACAGAAAGCTGGAAGGGTGTGTCAAGCCACTAAGGCACTCACCAGCGCCACCCATTCCCTGCTCTTTCGCTTGAGGTGCAGCACGGGGAAGTCCACCGGGGGGGGAACCACTTGCTTTTCCAGCCGCAGAGTCTCCAGCACTTTGTACACATCAGTCAGGAGACCCGCCCTGTTGCGGCACGAGAACTTGATTGGCTTGAACTTGCCCCTCTCCCCAGCCCTCACACTGAGACTGAAGTCTAGGGTTTCGTCTTTGCCAGGGGAGGGTGTCACGCCGTCAAACTCGGTGATCAAATCATAGTGGTTGGTTGCTGCCAGGGTACTGGGGTCTTGCGTGACGATGGCGGACGACGTCAGGCACATAATCCGCTTGTACCGTCCCCTCCATGAGTGCTTGACTGCGGTGTAGCGGGCAACATACTCTGGCTCCTCCCCCAATTGCACTACATCACTCGCCTGAGAGTCCGCGTCCATGGTTGGCGTCCCCAGCTCAATCAAGTCTTCAGGGGGCGGTCCGTACAGCCACTCTTCCCCCCCCGACCATGCGATCGGCCCAGCCGGCTGGCCGCCGAGCGCAGATTGGGACGCACCCAGCTCTCCCCAAATGAGCAAGCAATGGGGGTTTTTGTTTGGAATTGCCCCGCCCAATCCTGCAAGCTAAAAGAATGATTGGCTCTGCTGCGTTAAGGACGCAATGAGAGAGCCCTCTACTTCTTTGGCTAATCAGCGCAAGTCCTCCCTTGATACTTATTTTTCACCATTGAGCAATCACGATTCAGTTACTGAGTGCTTACGGAAATGCATTCAAAAAACCTGTGCCGCATGCGAAGTGCAGTACAGTACAGCAAAAGTGATGGACAGAAGAAACAAGCCCGCAAGACAAGAATGCGCGCAAGGACTGCCCGCGGCACCACTGCTCTCGGCGTCGCCAGCCCTCTGGCAAGTTCAAAGTTCCGACGGGGCCCACAACTGGGTGGCCAGTAGACGCGAGCTTGCTCGCGAGTGCAGCAAGCGGCGTAGCGGCCGCCGGGCGGCTGGCAGTCTCAGTCCGCTCGCCCGGCCGCGCCCGGCCAACTAGGTATAGCTTTGATCATCATTCATATGCACTAGGCGGCTACGTTAATTTATGGGTGACTCTCATGAACGGTCGAGCGGTCGCCGGCGGCCCGCGGTTCAATCATATAAGGGATCTGATTTCGCAAAGTGGGCCTAGTTGTGACGCTCGCAAAGTTCCACGTCGGATCATCGGAACCGTGAGATTCGCCGCGTGGCAGGCCGGTCGGCGGATCCGAGCCTCAAATTTGCATTACTAGCGACTAAATTTAATCAAGTTTGAGTTCGGCGCGCCGGATAATTCGGAGTCCGGACACTGGCTACTCAGTAGCTAGCCTAGCTAGCCTAGCTAGGCTCGAGCCTAGCCTAGTGTCAGTGGCAGTGGCAGTGACTCGGCCGAGTCCGAAAATTCGACTTTGAACCTCCGACGGCCGTAGATAATGCCACGCGACTCAATTCACGGTACCGATGATCCGACGTGGAACTTTGCGAGCGTCAAAACTAGGCCCAGCGCTCACCAAGCTCAGATTCCTTATATGATGTTCCTAGTGGACGGCGGGCGCACATTCCCAAGTTTGGACTCTTGAAAGGAAGGCGCTCATGCAACTGGCGCTCTTGCTTGCGAGTAGCTCTTGACGCAGGGGGTCTTCACGGCTCAGCCTAGTAGCAGGTATGTAGCTCTTTTGGCCACCATAGCCATTCTGCTGGCATGCATCCTTCCGGCCATGCACACTTTAGCACGAGGCGTAGTTCCTGCGGGAAATGGTGTGTGGGGGTGCGCGTCTCGCACCTTTGACTTTACTGCACTCCATGTCTCCCTACGGCACTTTCAGCCCTCATGCTATTGTGGTCGCTCGCGACTTCCGGAAGGATGGCCCCCGCCACAGACTGGCACTACATTGAGTAGCAAGTTGTCAAAAAGCGCAGCTTAACTTGGTACTTTCCTGGGTGACTCTTGGGCAGCACAGACGAAGCACGTCAATCCAGACTGACGTTCCTCAACTGTCCGTAAAATGCGGAGCTTCTCCACTATGCGGAGTGTCTAGCAACCGGGTATCGAACAACCGATGATACAATTTAGTGTCAATTTACATACGAGAAATATTTGCTTACAAAAGTTCACTAAGCCCTGAGTCTGACACAGACAGTACCTATAGAGTCGTTGATTTTCGATGAATCACCAGCTACGCCGCGTTGCAGAAAAACCTCAGTCGATTCTAAAATTGGCACAGACCTGGCCCACGAGAGGTGGTAACAACGAGATCGAACCACCCGCGAACGCCGCAGCCCGCACCGGCCGGCCCGGGAAACGGCGAAATCGAGCAGATCCGTGACATAAACCTACCTATACCAGTACTACCTAGTAGCCTGTAGGAGGTGCCTAGGTGCCTTCTAAAGAAGGCAAGCCACTTCGATCGCTTCGACGAAATCAGTCAGCGTACGGCATGATAGACGAAAGTGTGCACGTAGGTAATTGCATGCAAGATTTTGATCATTGGCTGGCGGGCGGCGCAGTTCGCAGCGTAAAGTTACCGTCTTACGATTCGAACATTTTGGTCCGACCGGTGCATGGTGTACATTAGTCTCAGTGTCGAACTTCGTGCATGCTTGTGGACTTCGACGCCGAAATTTCGTACTTGCTGGGTCGCTTGGTGTCACTGTCACAGATTAACAAAGATACAGTTACGGCACAAACGAGCTTTCGACGATCCGATAGAAATTGCGATTGTCAACCGAACGTTGATCGGAAACATAATCGAAGGAAGAGGCCAGCAGCAGCTTCTCGATTTCATGTTGACCAAGGGCATGTTGACTAAGGACGACGCTCGGGGGAAAACCAAACCTAAAAACCTAAACCGTAGAAATGAAACGCTCCGCACCCGTACCCACCCTAACCCCCAAACCAACCCCACCCGTCCCCCGGGCTCTTTCCTTAGTCAACATAGCCCGTGCGAGCCGGGCGACCCATGTGTGGGTACGTACGTACTACGTAGCATGTGTGGTAGCATGAATAGGGGGTAGTGTACCGTATTGTTGGTTACCGGTATTCGGTAGTAATCGGTACAGAATACGAGACCGGTACCGAATACGGTGTCAACACGCCGGTGTCCGACACGAGCCGTCACTTCAGGCAAACGTCGAAGCCGACACAACTACCCGGCCGAAGCAACTGAGGGGCGTCCGCCGAAAAGCCGACAGAACCAACCGGGGTATTTGATTTGATACGAACCGACCGGTTCAAGGGTCCAGCCGACTAAGTGACGCACCACACCACTGACCACCGAGTGCCACCTACCGGAGAACAGCCTACAGGACGACATCGAAACTCCATGTCGAACGCTGACGCATATTCACGGCGCACTGCGTCACGGGCCTCACACTTTTGGCTGTCCTTTCACACTGTCCACTCAGCACTGTCGAGTGAACGAGACCATGAATCGCCGATCTACCGTACCTGTTGATGTCAACAGATGGAAGTCCCTTACCATAGCGCCATGTGACCCCATGTCCGTACCATAGCGACAAGCGGTCGGTCCATCATAGGTACTCACTGCGCAGCCAATCAATCACACTAGGTAGGTACCTACTAGGTAGGTACGGTAAATCGGGGTCAAATCATCGTTGAATGCTTCAACTTCAACTTCAAGCTAGAACGCAGGATCTGTGGCAGACTCTGGGTGCAATACCGTGCAAATGTAAGTTGTCATGATATTACCGGTACCATATACCGTACCGCCAAGGCAATTCACCTTAAAATCAATATTTTGGGTTCAGTGTGAAAAGTTGGAAACTAGATTGGGACCTGAGAGTGAAATGGCGAATTGAAGAAAATATTCAAAAACAGCTTTTTCCTGCTGAAATGCCTGGTAAAAAAGCAAAAAATCGCTTTGTGCGAATTGAAAAATAATTATCCAGATCTCAATTTGAAATCTCAAAACGTTCATAATTAATTATTCACACAAAAAGGTGGTGAATTGCCTTGGCGGTACGGTATACCGTACATGGGCGTTTTTTGCTGGAGCAAGTTGTTGAGGCCTGGACTGTGGAAGGTACCGTAGGTGAAAGGTGCGCAATCTGCCAGTCAAATGCAATCCTCCGTAACGGTCTGCGTAGGGTTTCAAGGATTTAGGATCTGTCTTTGTTGACAAAAGGATCTCAAAGACGCAAAGGCCCAGGGCCAGAGGGGCCAGAGGGGCCTGGGAGACTGGGAGAGTCATCGGTTTAGCACGTCCTTCTCCCGTCCTTCTCACAGTGATTCCAGCCTTAATCTGGGAGCATTGGCGGCAGCCTGATCTGTTAACATGGACAGCGGTCAAAGATACTATCCCCTCTTCTTGGTCACCATTATTTGCAGCATGGGCGTTTGCAAAGCAGCAGTGCTGACAAGCAACCAGATTGATAGCAGGGCCTTTTTTGAATGGCATGGACCTGTTCCAGGAACTTGCTCAACCCAATACACTGAGACACCCAGTAATGTAACAGTAGATGTGCGCCTCTGCTCCACGCCTGGTAGCTACATTGACTCTTTGCAGCTATACAATGGGACATACAGTTCTTATCAGAGTTTTTGGCAGCTGTCAGGCACCTGCAGTGACGGAACGACGCTCTCAAAAGCTCCATCAAACATCAATGGGAACCTCAAGAATGCTTTCGAGACAAGGCAAGTCTATCCAGAAGGGCTTTCCACTGTTTTTGGGGCAACTGGAGGATTTACAGACGCACTGCTTGGCGTTCCTGGGGAGTATATTGGTTGGCGAGACGTGTGCCCTAATGGCAAGCTTATATCAGGATATGAGATGTGGGTCACCCCCACTGGTGGATTACCAGGTAAAAACTGTGTGGCAGGCGGGGTCCGCTTCCAGTGCAACGGTACGCAATCCGGTAAGGATCACTGCTACATGAGTTAGTCACAGGCTGCTAAAGATCTGTGGCATGATTTGCCTGACCAAACTTTAGGGACCTGTATGGGATCAACTATCAGAGTTCAATTTCTTATGGTCATGTGCTTCTTGCTTTTGAAGGGGGAGTGCTCCTACAGTCCAAACTTAGGATACAAAAGCAGATGGAGCTGCTGCTCTGCTTTACAGGTCGCCCGCCCTTACCAAGTCCGCCCCTACCAGGCCCACCTCCTCCAAGCCCACCTCTAGATTCCCCTCGCGCAAGCCCACCTTCAGTCGCGCTGATCTCTTCAGCAGCCGCCCCAAAGGCAGCTAGTCCCACACCCCCATCTGAAAGTGGGCCTTCTCCAACTGAAACAGGTCAGGCATTTTCTGAATCTGTCGCGGACTGCAGATACAGCGCCGGGAAGTCAAACAAAATGGTTCAACCTGCAACCATTCTGTTTGACTTCCCGGCGCTGTATCTAGGGTTGAACGTTACCAGAAGTGCCCTCGATGGAGCAAGTTTGGGATTCTGGTTTCCTCTTCTTTTTGCATGGCTCTTTAAAGGTGGGTTGCAAAATCATGCTTCATGTGAATTCAGAATCAGGCTTGAAAATGTACACAGAGACTGAATTGTAGGTCTTAAAGGACGCAAGAAGTCCAAAAAAGACATAAGCACACAGATGTAATATACTTGTCTGCTTGTGTTGTGTGGATTGTGTTGCATCAAAAGAGCAACATCAGCAGCATCACAATGCAGGTGGGCTGAGTAAGAGCACGCGGAACGCCGTCATTGGAGGTGCTATTGGGGCTGCATTTTCAGCTTGTCTGGTGCTCGGGAGTGGAATTGCTTTTAATATCCGATACCGTGCAAGAAAGAAAGACATCATAAACCAGACAGTGTTCATATCCTTGAGTGCGCTCCCTCCCCAAGGCCTTTTAGTCCCTACCAAACTCCGGGAAGAAGCAGCAAAGAGGTATCTCGAAACCATATTGTTTGAGGTGTTCAAGGCATGGGATGCTTGGCATCGCTTATCTCCCAGAACGTCGTTTCCGCAAGGTTCTTTCGTGGGGATATGGGCATCAGCTTTCCATGAAAGCGAAGCCGAAAGCCTAAAGGACGCCCTTCTTACTGTAGACCAGGAGTTGCAAGCAACTCGTGGCACTGGTCTCTTTGAAATCTGGAGCATGGGCCGCCGCCGGCCTTTGTCGGTAGTTGAAAGTATTGTTGAGCACATTGAGAAAACCTTGAAAGGATTGCCACCCAGGCGTTGAAGACAAGTTGTTCAGCCCGTGACAATAGTTTTGATTGCCAATGATTGTAGCAGTTACCCATATGAAGATATTTTGGGGTGGTCATTACAGTCATATACTGGATGTGAATAAGAAACGCACTTGATATTACAGAAGGGGAGACCAACTTGGAGTAAAAGCCTCGAAGTAGAGACAATGGAGACCTTAGTATTAGGTCCGTCACATTGGTCACTTACTAAGAAGTCAGTAAGCGTGTCGCACTAAAGATGAAGTAGTATCTGTCCGGGTATAGATTGGTTGCCAGCTCTCTCATGCTTCTTAGTTGGCCGCAATGATGTATCATTGCATATCATCGGTTTCTTTGGTGCCAAAGGGCCATATTCAAGTATAAGTTCGCGCCTGCATGGCGTCAGTCACTGCAGTCAGCTTATTCATGCCGCAGCGCCCAATAGCTCTAGACGGCCAATCAGCTTTACCTACATGATATACTCGACCCATGATGTCGGCTCATAATCAATTCCGGGCCTAGCCCATGAATGCATGCGCTCACTGCAGCTCTTGCAGTGCAATCCCTATAGCTCTAATTTGAATTTCATGGCGGCCGAGCATTGTATATTTGTCACATGGTCACGTACAGTCACTTCAAAAGATTGATGATATCGGATTTGAATGTTGGATGGAATTGCATCTGGCGGCCGGCTCATGCAAATTCCTCATGACAAATGAGTCCGACGGAGCTGTAACATGATCCAACTGCATACTACGATGCCATCCAGCAATGATACTGCATAAGCACACATTCAAGCTTAGAACGCATAGTGTTGTACTACTTGCCAAAAGACCCCAACATGATGGCGCAGCTCAAATTTGATTGGACATGTACTTCACGTACGCGGTCCACATGCATATCCGAAAATTTGTTGGGGGCCGACATGGACAAGAACGCCCAACAGCCACCCAGGTTGAGACCGCATCTACATGCTTGCTTCGTCCTTGGTCGCACCTGAAACTACAAGCAATTTCTCAATGGATATCGGCGGGAGGAGACATGACGAATAGATCGTCGATCGTGAGTGGATGATTATCTGGTGCCGGCTCATGCCAGCACATCAGAGTGGACGTGTGGAGTGAGCCAGTCATGATTGCAGAGTCTGCTTATGGGGGTTTTCAACACCACTGGCTTTAGCCTGCTACTGTGAGAGGACAAGATGATAACTGGACAAAGATGTCGTCCAAGTTTTCAAAGAATGAGCTGCACTTGCTTTCGTTTGTCCACCGTGGCACTTAAAATTTCGGTGAGCACCTAAACTTGCATTCCGGATAGATCGTTGGGCAGATCAATACAAGATGAATCACGTTCTCTACTGACACATAGCACAAGCTACACGAAACTGTAGCAACCCACCATATCAACGATTCTACCTGGTCTACCTGGTCTTTCTATGGACAGTCCGTCTCTACGCCCGTTCATCTGGCTTTGCTTCTATCATGCCCTATGGACACAGTCAGTCGCTGTCCTGTTCATGCTCACGCAGAACCAGTGTGTGGCTATCGAGCCACTCAAAGCTATCACCCTTACCCCGCAATGCAAAGGAATCCTTCGCTTCGTTACTGTCTGATCCCAACGATCTGTTGGGAAACGCATCGTTGCCTGCAAAAATGGGCGGATACTTTTCCGTTCAGAACGGGAGACATGCATGGGACAGACTTGTCGTGCAGAAAAAGGAGTGGCAAGTTGTTGCACTCCGCAGGCCGCTCGTCTCTAACTAGGGCTTACATCAAAGAGAATGTTCCCGTCAATGGCTTCTGGAGGACTCCCGAAAACTGGGAGAAGGTCACAACGCTTGAAGGATCGCGAGGTTCGTCGGCTACCAGCACTCCTCCACAACCAATTGTCAACGTCGACAGCCTGACCGTCTTCGGCGGAAAACGAAACAGAAGGAAGAACACAAGGAAGTGGAAAGCCAGAAGGTTCTGCCAGACTCCAGAGAGTCGTAGAGCAGATTCAATGGGAGCACAGACAGGGGGTTCAGTGGCGGCCGAACACCGGGGGATGGCCAGCATCATCAACAAGTCAAGTGTTGAAGCGGGACAGTCGCTACTGCGTAACGGTTGACAGACTGTCAATCAGCGGACAAACCATGTTTTTTCCGACAGCAAGCTCCAGATTCAGAGACCGGGGTGAACCAACGGCATCACACTCGTTTGGGTCAACGTCTCTTAAGGAACCGCCACCTTCGCTCCACCCCGTAATCAGAAGAATAGAGGTCAGAGTTGCCTGTCTGGTCTGTCTCTGCTTAGGAGCGGTACTGTCAAATACAGGAACGTCCTGTCTGCCTAACATTCGTACTCATGAATGCAGTACTTACGAGCCAGGCTCCAAGGAACCGGGCCGTTGTTATAACGCTCTCAAACAGTGCAGACGACCTCACTTCGGAAGCCCCAGTACAACAACTTGAAGACACTACAAAAACGACAAGCAAGCCCGACTGATGGGGCGAAAAGCCCGCACCTGCCATGTAGGGCGACCATTCCTGGCTGTCCTCGTCGCCAAACCACCCGTCCTCTGCTGCGGGCTTCACTCTCCGGACCTTAAACATCACCTTCAGGCGGCCCCGCCCTTCCAGCTTGGACTCGAGCACTGGGGCCTGGTGGCAAACGATATACCGTATGTGAGAGGCTTCAAACACTATGACATACTTTGGTCTGGTCTGCTGATTGCAACTCCCAGGGTAATGCAAATAGGTGATCAGGAGTCACCTTATCATGCAGACCGAGTGTGGAAGCTGGCACCTTCCTTGTAATTGGGAACAAAGAAAGGAGAGGCAGCCGTGAGGCAGGTTATAACCCATGACTGCAAACCTCAGATAGCATCTTGATCGGTCAGGTCGGCCCTCAGGGGCCTCACAGGGTTCAGTGCACTCCCGAAACGGTTCCCTTTGGCCTCCGCCGTTAAATCTCAGAACAGTCCCCGCCCCCCTCGTATAGACATGGTAACCTTTAAATTGCCTCACCTCTTTTCCTGGTGCTGCGTCCAGTTCGACGAAGTCCTCCAAAACACGTCCTATCTGCAACGTATAGTGGCACGTCAAACTTGGCTTCGATATCCGTAATCCTTATGCGGGTAAGGTCGAAAAAGGGAGCCTTCCGCATTATTAGCAGACTAAAAAACTCGCGTTTTGAAGAGCGTAAGTTTCGAAAGTAAGTCCACAGTCTTCGTCATTGAAGCTGGGGACATTTTATTCCATGCCTATATGCGACAGAAGTCTCCTTTAGCCCTCAGCCACAACAGAGTAGGAATGTGAAGCACATCTTCCTTATCCCTATCAATAGAACTCTGACTCAGAACCCTTATCCCCCTGACAATAGAGCTGTGACTGAGAGCTCTAGTCACTTTAACCTCAGGAGCCAAGTGAAATCTGGAGGCTGCCCAAGCCTGCATGTCCTTCAGGATTACTTATTTCATCTTCTATATATTGTCGCACCAGCAGGGGGAAGGTAAATGCGTGCACCGCTTGCCTGCTGCCCTATGGCCGAGATCTGCTGCTGTGTGAGCCCAAACTCCTCCTCCCCAAGTGTCTGCATAAGCCTGGTCTTTGCCATTGCCCTTGCAGAGACCTTTTCTTTCTGCACACCAAGTGAGATGCGTCAACAGGTTATCATGAGAAAACTTCCGACTCTCTGTCGAGTAGCTGCTCAGTGCCGACACACGTGATGACAAAATTCGGAATCCAAATCAAGGCACTTTAGGCCAGGGCACAGCTGGGTAAATTGGGCCGCTGTGAAAGACTCGCACATAGAGGAAGGCCGGTCAACAAGCTGGTAAGTCACAAAGAAGCGATGTTTGAAGAGGCACAATGCACGCCTGGTCTAGATTGACCTGGGACCTGGCTTGGAACTACATCTCTAAGATGAGGCTAACATTGATTTACCAGCCAAGGGTAAGTCTCTGCGATCACCACCACTCTCTTAGTGGGCCACTTTGATAAGAGGAAACCCACCTTCTTTGGGGATGGGAAGAAGATCTTCCAAACAGTTGCAAGCTTCTGAAAGAGGTTTAGTTCGCCACCTCCACCACCCGGCAACTCGGCTGCAGTCAGAAGCGCACAACGTGGCTGAAGGGGCCTACTGCCGGCCCACTCCTTTGGTGGTCTTCTTGAACTCTGCAACCCATCATGAAGAAGCATTTAAAACGTGTTAGATACTGCTTGCTTGTATCACTGGATCCGCTTGTAGGGATCTAGTGGAGAATTTCTTGAAGATCGCCCTCAACCTAGACTCAAGAACCGACGAAAAGCAGAGGCAGAAGCAATGAAAATTTGGCAGGTTGGTCGTCCAAGATCGTCATGCAAAGCAGAAGGAAGGGTGACTGATGATAATCATTGAGAAATGAGACTTGTGCTGTTGCTCCTTGCATGTGAGGGTGCACGCATCATAAGTGCAAGCACTTTCACAATGGAGCAGATTACCTTATGTAGCCAGCGAACGGTATGATGGTTGAACTTGAAGAATGTTTTACCATACCTGGAGGAACTGTTGCAGCGGAAAGTGGCCCACTCCTGGCAGCTTGTCAATCGCCCATGGCTTGACTGGTCTCAAATCAAGACCCTTTACTTGTGAGTGCACTCCATGCTTTGCACTAAGACCAATTACAGAACCTGACATGTTTTACCAAAGTGCTCCCAGCAGGTACCACGTTTACAGAAACATGCGGGCTGGACCTAGGCACTGATGGAAGCAATTTCTAACGACCCCCCTGTACCAAGACCGCAATGTACCACTTGAGAAGCTACAGAAGAACAAACATGCAGAGCTGAAAGGAGCCTTTCAGAGACCTAAGTATTGGGCAGCTTTGAGTTGCCCGCCTTAGGGGCATTCCAAGGGGGATGATGTTGAACACGCTCAGTATGATTGTTCCAACACCTAGATCATGACCAGACTGCCCACTGGAAGTTCACTTGTACTCGCTCAGTATTAAATCCAGGTTCATCGTGGATTGCCTTGACCCTGCCGTCATGAATTCTGCAGTGCCCGCTCACCAAAGGTTGAGGAGGTTCCTGGTCACCTGGCTCCTGAAGAAGAACCATGTCCAAGACCTTTCTGCGCGCCTCCCTTGCCTCGACCTAAGTTATGTGCAAGTTCCTGCAGTGAATTTGAAATTTGGCGAGGATCGTTTGCTCGCAATCCCGGTTAGATCAGGATGCACTCCCCCCCAGAAGAGTTGAGAGTGTCGGATCATGATATCGACATACAGTGGTTTGGAAGATGGGCCGGCCAGTACAGGCGAGGGAGGTGCTCTTAGGGGGGTAGTTAGTTAAACATACTTCCTTCAATAGGTTTCTGAGTTGACCCTTCAATCCCAAACCCCAAACCTCGAGCGTGCCAAACTCGACCATATTGCACCGGCGGCCGGCCGCGTCGCGAAGTCCTGGCCTGAGTGCATCATGCATCAAAATTCAAATGTTGCATGCAAGTCCTGAGCAAGTGAAGAAGTGAAGCAGTGCTCGAGTCCATGCTGCATGATGGCATGGTGGTTCAGTGCCTCAATTTGAGAATCTCTGAAATCTGGGCGCTGGAACTCGGGAGGGAAAACAGCAGCTTCAAATCTAGTTTAGTGAGGACGGTCATTTCTGCCATCAAGCGCACTCTCTCTATCCGAAGGGCGCTGGCGGCTGCCACCCATTTGAATTGCAAACCTCCGCATGGCTGATCCTCATGCACCCAAAAACATGGAAGAGCTGGCTGCATCTGCAGCCAAGGTTGGCCCGGACCCGCATACAGATGCAGGTCGGGCTCCTATGCCGAATACCCCTGCCCCGGCTCTCAATGCTGCGCTTGAGAGTCATGTAGAGGGCAGCAGGTTGTCAGAGACTGAGAAGAAGACCTTAAGTCAGATGCGAGCTGCAGTGATTGAGCAGGGCGCGCTGGAAGAAGACTTTGACAACCCATCGCTCGTGCGGTTTCTGAAAGCCCGTGATTGGAATGTGAAGAAGGCGTCGAAGCTGTTCATGAATCACTTGGTAAGATCCTTCGTCGCCCAATCGTGCCTGACATGTAAGCTCTGGTGGTGGGTGACTCTTAGATCAGGGAAAGGCGGTCAGCAGAAGCGAGAGGCACCAAAAGCCTAGGTTTTATGATTCCATCTTGCCAAGCCCGGTTAAGAATATCTTGTAACACACCCTGACACGAGTAAGTAATTGTAGATTGAAGAGCAAAAACTTGTACATGTTAGTAAGGAGTTGTTTACTTACTCACCTTCTCTGCCTACTATCGAGCATGGTGAAAAGTGTGAACTTTATTCGGTGGTGGTGGTTTTCCAGACAGTGGCGGGGGGGAAGACGCAGTGAACGTCACTTGCACCTGGTCAGGATGTGAAATGGGACGGCAGAGACTGCCGTGGGGGGCAGATTTTGCATGCATGCGTGGAACTTGCCAAGTTGCATCGATCTGTATTCTGCTCACTAACATCGCCCATTCCAGTAAGATCAAAAGCGCCCTGACTTGGGATCTGGTTGACAAGATCTATGCATAAAAAGCTACCCTGAAGTCGCTATGAAGATCCTGGAATGGAAACTGGCTGAGTCAGAGTTCAAAGCTACACAGCCGTGACGCTCAATCATTTGAAGTTGGTTGGCAACCCTGTGTCGGTGCTTCTGAGTTTCAGCCAGTGTGCCCAGGTTGACTTTGGCCGGCCATCGAACTCGCAGCTTGGATTCCTAAGCACACAAAGCACTGGGCAGAAACTTAACACCAACTCTTCCTTCACGGTTAAGAATAACTATGTTTTGTCAATTCTTACCTGTCATGTAAGAAACCTGTCAGAAACTTGTGTCAGGAAGCCCTTTCTGGAAAGACAACCTGTGCTTCGTTCTCTGTGTAAAGGCAAGGCTTTGTGAAGTCCTAGCGTGCCTTGCCTGCACTGCTGTGTGAAGAAGCCCATCTGAAAAGCTGGCCGTGTTCGCTTCCAGAATTGGCGCCAGGAGTTTGTTCCTCATGGTTACATCCGAGACGAGGACATTCCAAACGAGCTCGCGGCGGAAAAGCTATACCTGCAAGGTTTTGACAAGCTAGGGCGGCCACTGTCGTTGACGATGGTACGAAAGCACGATGGTAAGGTGCTCTGCAAAGAAAAAACTCCTCTGACATCATACAGAAGCACTGAATGGGCAGGCACATGATCCAACTCCTTTGGTTCACCGCTTGTCAAATCAGTAGCTCACAGTTTGTTTGATGTGTGCTTGATCATCTTTTGGTAGGCAACCCAAAGTACAAATGTGCCAGCGGTGGGGCTGATTGATTCGCCAGATTTGCCAGGTTTGCCGTAGCTCGTTTGATAGACTTTCTGAGGCACCTGGTATATAGGAGAGGTGTCTGACATTGAAGCATCTTGATTCGTTGTGGCCAATCAACGATTGATCTAGGCTCCTATCCTGCAGCTGCCAAAAGGAATCTCGAAGAGTTTCAACGTGAGTCTATCCACCTCTGATTGGCCCAATTGTTCTTTCATCTCCGCACTCGCACGTCTTCTTACGAAACGTGGTCGTTTCCAAAGCCTGTCTTTGCTTGACCACCTTCCAGAACCAAAGAGTAATGATCGCACGTTTCTTGGTTGTGGTCACATTTTGTCACGCTTCTCTTCAAGAGCTTGATTGAGCCTGCTGTCTGTGTCGAGGCTCAGATGCTCACTCAGATGCCTTTTGAACGTAAACAACACTGGTTATGTATTGTGCAACGGCAGCACTCCTCATCGCCTAACAGGGACTTCCTTCCGGTCATTGACGATCACCATTCTGTCTTCGTTGCTTGCAGGGTTGTTGGTCTACGGATCTGATAAAGCCATTGCCAGGTAAGAGAAAGCAGCTCATGTACGGATTCTACTTTGGCTCGTCACTGGGTTCGGGTTATATGCTCTTTCGCATTTGTTCTGGACACGACAATAATATTTGGTGAAAGCTTCAAGCTTATGCTCCCGTCTTCAGATTGTCCCGAAACAAGCAATACCTGCTCATGTGAGCTTCTTCCACTTGTCAAAGAGGAACTGGCACTCTCGAATATTTTGAAGCGACTCTTCAGGACTCATGATATTCAAATGAAACTTTCGTCTGGCATTTCTGCAGAATGCCCCCTGGAGTTGAGCAGTTTGTGGGGCTCCTCGACCTGACAGGCATTGGCTACAAGAACATGGACACTGGCGCTCTCCGCTTTCTCTTCGATTTCCTTCAGGTCAGGCGAAAAGGTGTTTTCTGTCTCAGCCCCGTGAATCACCTTCTTTTCCATCTGAGAAAATCCAACTTTGGGGATTGGAACTGGATCCTGATTTTGAAAATACAGTCGAAACAACCCAATTGAGAGAGTCTGCCGTTTCGAGGACGTGCACTAATCGAGCTCCAGAACGTGTGCCGCTGGGACCGACCCTGCAATCGGAATTTCAGCACGCAATAGCTTTCATGATGGTGCTGATACTGCTGGACGCGCTGCGCTTGAATCATGACGATGCCCCGTCCTGCTTTGATGATTAAGGAGAGCTGATTATCGTTTGGTAAAATCGGCGGCTAGGATCCGGGGGTTTGAAAGAGTGTGCCGCTTTAGGGACACGAACAAAGTATTGCTTCTGTTCGTTTCGCGTCCTGTTTTTTACGGACTTTTCCTTCCTTGGACTCCATCGTGCTTACCGGCTTTCGACTCTGGTCAGATCACTCCACAGCCCTTGTTCTTAGGTCCTCCAGTGAGTAATGTAGATGCGAAAAGCACTGACTACTTTCGTCGTTCGCTCCGACGAAGATGGGAGACTTTCACTGTTATGCCTGCGAGCAGACGTGAGCTGGCTTCAGGAGCGTGTAAAACGAACGCGGGTCGGCTTGCTCTGCTGGCTTTTGAGCAGTAAGTTGCAAGAAGAGGTCAGTCATTTCTAACTGAGTCCTGGTTGGTATTGTAGGGATTCTATCCGGAGCGGCTGGGTTTCCTTATCATGCTGAACGCGCCGTCCGCTTTCGGCATGGTGTGGAAAGTCGTGAGCCCCTTCATCCATCAAAAAACGCGAGACAAGGTGGGTTACTCGAATCTGCTGAGAATCGTTCTGCGAGAAGGGTCTTCTTTGAGCTGTTGCGACCATGTGCTGCTTCAAAAGATTCTTCTCTGCGGTTCGTTTCATGCGCTAATCACGTTCAAGGACCGCAATCAGCGTAACTTACAAAGGTCTTTATTGCAATGTTCGTCTTTCATTCAGATCGTTCGTTCTCTGCGGCTTCGTGTCAAATCCTGTGTGCACGTGGATTCTTGTGCCGTCTGAAGTTAGGTGGTGACGCCTTTTGTTTGCAAGGTTAAGTCTGTGCCTTCAATCCTGTCGCCTTGCAGACGGAAGTGGAACACCGAAGTTAAGAAGTAAGGTCCAATTCTACGCTTGAAGTCACCCGCGGTTGGGACAGGCATGTCTAGATCAAATTTGTTTCCCGGTGCCGATGAAATCATTTGGCACGGCGGTGAACTGTTGGAGGACATCACAAGTCTAAGCTGTCCTAGCATCTCTATCTTTGTTTGCAGCTCGTTTTCTGCAACCACAAGACCCTGGTCGATAAAGTCGTGCCCAAGTACTTTGAATTAGACCAGGTCCCGGTCGAGTATGGGGGCACTGGTAAGTTGGTGCGCATACAGGATCAGAAGTTTCCGGGGTGGCCGCCGGAACTCCCAGCGTACGTGAAAAGAGCGCAAGCCAGCGGAAAAGGGCCGGATATTGATTCACCATTCGCGTAGAAGCAGTGAATTGGACGCTGTTCTCCGACTGTGTGTACAGTACCGTCGCGTTCGCATTGCAGAAGGACTAGCAGATTCAAATAGCTTCGGAGTCGCCCAATCGCAACTTGTAAAGAGGTTGTTGCCGTATAAGCACGCAAGCGTTTAGACATAGGATTTGCACGCAAACAAGCACATACGTTGCCAGTATCTCTAAGTAAAGCGGACGGTTGAGTACTGGAATCGTCTGACCGACGGTGGCAATTGTACATAAGAGTAGCATCTCTGAGTCGAATCATCAAGTTGCATTTTTTGTACTTAATGTTAACGAAGCTCAATCGAGCAGCACTGCGCCTTGAGATCATGAGATCGAGCGCGATGAATTGGTTGCAACTTGATGGGTTGTTGCAATTCACCGTTTTAGCGCCCGACCGCCTGGCCAATGGAGTCACCTTCACGATTGGATGGCACGCGAGACGGTATTCGTAGCCTGCCGCGTAGTCACTTATATATCATGGCAGCATGTTTAGAAGAGCTCGCAAATTGCCCTCAGTTTGCAAGTGAACAATTACTCCGGGGCGCCATGTGTGAAACATAAAATATGCACTGCAATGATAAGGGCCACCATGGCGCGCGGACATGTACTCGATCTTACATCGAGTCGGATCGCTGGCATGTACCGCGGGTTCGACCGTCAGCGGGCCGGGCGCACTGCGGCATGCCCGCCTCGAGCTTGATCGCATGCTGTCACCTCTGAGTATCGCAGGCTCGTTTCTGGGCTTCAGCTCCTGGCCAGCCAAAAACATGCTTGCAGATGTGACCTTAATCTGCTCTAATTTCAGGTTATGAAATGATTGGATCGGACCTAAGTTCCTTGATGTCACCCGAGTCTTCTCATAGACTCAGATAGTGTATGACGGACGTCACCTGTACTCAACGATCGTGTGAATAAGCTTTAGTCTGCCACCTGACTGATACGTATCAATTGGAACACCAGCTTAAACGTGGTGTCAACGCCGCGATTGTCGGAACAATCAAAGAGTCAAAATTGGAACCACTTCAAATCTGTGTGTCAAATAGCTTACTCTCAATCGGTTCTGAAAGGCAAGGTATTCGAAATTCGACTCGACGGTTACGACTTTTGAGTTTTCCGTCTTCGCTACAGACGGTCTCTTCCAAGATCTTCCTTTGAGATTCTACTTGTAGTGTCTCTCAGAAAGTCCTAATCTGCGCCTCGGATCTCCAAAAGCTCTGCACTTGACTTGATGTCATCACGCGGTCGACTCTGCAATCATGACCTAATGTCACAAGTTGCCCCAGCCAATGGTCTCTCGAATCTTTGCCGCCGAAAATTTGAAAAGTTAAACCGCCAAAAGCTTCGCATACAGCTCGATGTCCACATCTACGTCGGCAGAGCTAACTGAACTGCTTCGCAAGCCTCAAGGCGACAACCGGACCTTTCCTGCAATCTGCAGCTGTTCAGAGCTCCGATTCGATTTCGAAGATTTCGCTTAGTTCGACATGCGTATGATGTAGTTTCGAATCAACACAATGCATCTTAGAGTGCTGTGCTTTCGCAAAAGCTGAGACCGTGACTCCGATTTCTCAATAAAAGCGAAAGGGTACCATCGCAATCCTCATTTCCAAAGCTTCTTCCTCCTGGTAGCCCTTGCTTCTTTTCAAGATCTCGCTGCTTCACCTTCGCTCAACAATTCACCCGTTGATTCACAGCGCTCTCGTCTTCAGGACAGGCTCCGTCCGTTACAAGTCCTTTGCTGAAGGCATGGCTTCCTTTCATCAGCTGCTCTTGTGCACGTCTCTGATTGTGCTGGTGTTGACCACACAAGTCTCTGGCCAGTACACTGCTTCTGGGAACAAGATCACCTCTGGAGCTAAGGCAACCTTCTATGGAACTGGAAACGGTGGGTCAAGTAATTCATCCCGAAGATCAGTTCTGTTTTTGTGGATGGTGAAAGATTTTCTGCAGCATTCAAGCGATTGGGCCTTTGCTTCTATCGAATGTAAATCTTCGCTGTGCTCGCCTTGAATGAGAAAATGGAAATGGGATATTCAATTGTGGATCACACTCAGCGCCTTCTTAATCGTTATTCTGCGATGCTTGCAGGAGGAGCCTGTGGCTATGGTGAGTTTTGCTCTTCATCTCTGCTATGCAGCGTTTCTTGCTGTTGTAATGTGAGGATCAGTTGAACAATGTGTTAGGGAGATGATCCGAACAGCTTCGAAAATCCTTATTCTATCTGCGATTGATTTCAGAAGAGATCAATAATGTATCTTGTTTCTGCTTCAAGATTGTTGTCGAGAGGAGTTCCTTTTGATTCTTTTATCTTCTTCTCGATATGATCTGCAGGGAACCCCCCACAGACAAACATCGTTGCGCTCGGCCCCGCTTTGTACCAGGCAAGACATCTTCCGGAAGATCCACCGAGACAATTTCAACTTCCTGAAGAACTCACCATCTGCATTGATGCACTTCCGAATCTTATGTTGATGATTCCGAAATAGAGATCGTCAGAAGTCCTGCAAGTCAAAGACAAGCGTTGAAGATTCTCCCAGAGTCCGTCACTGCGACAATATGGCTCCACATCGAACAGGCTTGGAGAGTAATAGCTGACCACTTGAAAGCTGTCCTATGCAGAACGGTCTTGGATGCGGATCGTGCTACGTTGTCTCTTGCATGCCCGGCACGAATTCAAAGTCCTTCTGCAAGCCAGGCAGCGTCGAGGTAAGAAACCCAACCTTGATGTACGGACGGAGTCACTGGAGCTTTGTAGTTATTCGCAAAGATTTAGGATTCCGAATCTGGTCTATGTGTTTCATCTAGCGTCTGTGGCATCGTCGTTTCTATGTTGTGACTCGTGTCAAAGCGAAGGTGTTCGGACAGCTCTACTTTGCTCACTTGTATTCTTAACAGCCTGGTGGGTAAGATTCAACAAAACGCACAGCAAAAAGTTTCTTTGTATCCATCTTGCAGGTCCTCGCGGTAGACAAGTGCCCTGAATGCTCAAACAATCATCTCGACTTGAGCTCCTCTGCCTTCGCTCAGATCGCCAACCCTACTGCTGGTATCATCGACATTTCAATTCAGCCGTAAGTACCTCCAATATAATGTCTACATCTAAAGTCAAATGCTTCGCCTTCCTTCTTTCTGTATATGTATTTTGAAGGACTGACACGCCAGTTCTCTGTTTGTCTTAGCTTTCGCAAAGATCCGATTCTGCGTTATTTCCTGCTGAACCTTGTTTCTGTGGGGTCACAAAAAGAACATCCAATCGTCGTATCAAGGGATGGATTCATTGCAGAATTCGGTGCCCCACGAAAGGCAACATTGTGATCCGCATCGATTCTGGAGCCAACCCCAACTACTTTGCAATCTTCATCCAGGTGAGATACACTTAGAGGCAATTGGCTTCTCGTCTGGCAGATTCATTGCCGTCTAGCAGGAACACATGTTCCGAGACCCGGAGTCCTGCAGTCTTGAGATGGCTTGATTTATGCTTAAGTCTGGAGTCATACCAAAACCTGGGATGCTGCATGTCAAAAAACTGTCAATCTTGGGAATAAAGCCTCAATTGAAGTCATGACCTGGAAAGACACTGATCCCGACTAGAATTCATTGACATTTCATTTTTTCCTCCTTGCAGAACGTCGGAGGTGCTGGTTCGGTCAAGCTCATTGAGGCAAACGGCGGGAGTGGGTGGCAGAAAATGACGCAACTGTAAGTATGTCAAGCATTGAGTTATGGACAAATGAGCTTTCGGCTTATCAGTATCGCACGTTTGTGATATCAGGACCGCTTTGGCAGCTAGTTACGAATTGTATGGAGAAAATGTGCTAGCCGCTTATGTGTCTAGTTAGGCTTTTGACACCTAAGTCTTCTGCTGTCAATCATGACATGGTTCCTGCACCTCTCTCTGATGCAGATGGGGCGTCAACTGGGTCCTGAATGCTCGCACTCCTGGACCAGTGTCACTCCGTGTAACAGCGAGTGACGGAAAGCAGGTGAGATGGTCTGCGTGCGGACCTAGATCCTCGTTTTGTAGTAACTTGGATAGGCTTGAAGCTTGGAGCTTGAGCATGTGGTCGCATATAGTTCCTGGATCGCACACGGTTTGAATTGATACTTCAAAAAAGAGTCGAAATATTCTGTTCCTGTGTGTAAGAGATGTCCCGATTGTCTAGCATAGTTGACAAGGCCGTATCCTTGTCTACAGGTGACCCTCAACAACTGTGTGCCAGCAAACTGGAAAGCTGGATCTTCCTACACGTGCAACGGGCAGTTCTCGTGATTATTTGCACAGGATTGCTGAGGCAGAAGTTACTTTCGTAGCAACCTTAGAACGTTGGTCATTGTGTAGAAGCCTTGCAATACTGCTAGATTGGAAGTGCACAGCTGAGATCAATCTGGACGACTGAACAGCTCAGTAACTCGCTGAGAGTACTCAAAAGGGACTGCCCAAACACTAAGGTACTAGTGTATGGCATGCTTCAATCAGGTAGATAATTTAGCGTTAAGGCCCGTGTTGACAGCTTCCATCGAACTTAAATGCAGAGAGCTATTCTTAATCTGCATGGGCCAGGCTCATCCGATGAGGGGCTCGAGACGATTCAAATCAAACCCGCTTGCAACGTGGCCGGTCCCACTGAGACCAACTCTCCCTCCATGCAATGACTTTCCAGGCTCGTCAAGCAAACTTGCTCGTGCCCGTTTCCGATTTATAGATTTTCGACAGAGTGACGGCCGGATCATGGTCATTCATGCGTACCAATCGATAAAGAAAGCGCAGTTTCACTTGTCATGCAAGCAATGATGCAAATATGGACCCTGTTCAGAACTGTCCGACGCGACATGCAATATGATCGATACAGTAATGCACGGACTAGTTTAGGAATAATAAGAGCTAGGTATAATAAGCTCCAACTAACACTAAAATTCTATAACCCATTGAACAATTCATGCGCGAGTCTGCAACCGTACCCACGGCCAAACTAACCCCACCCGTCCCAGGGTAGTTAGCTTATTATACCTAAATTAGCTAGCCAACTCGATATAGTATAGTAAGTTCAGTGACCATGGTAATAGCATGCAGGGCTGACATATTGCAGAGGATTGGACGGGGATGCACCAGTACGTGCCAACTCGCGAACTACATGATGAGTGACGGTGCGCGTATAACATGGAGCACCGGCCCCGGCCCAGCCGACCACAAGTGCACGAGCCTATCCATACCGTCATGCAGTCGGATGGTGACGTGGCTAGTGTCTGACTATCTTTGATCTAGAAAGAGCCGCTAGCGCGGCCCCGCATACACTTTTAGTATCAATCGTATGGTACAACTCAAGCGCTGAGTCTGGCGTTGAGAGGGACGGGTCAAATGGCATCAACTTAGTCAAAGAATGGATGATGGCATCGCCCTTTATGAAACCCATCGAGATCGGCTCGTCTGACTCCATCAATCAGGTCTTTTTGCTCTTCTTCGACTTGTCAACTTGTGCCTTGGCCTGTTTCCGCGGTTTTGCCTTCGCTTTTGGCTTCGCTTTTGCCTTCGCTCCAGCCTGCAAGAGCAACATGAAGGCCCCGGGTTCAGCATGCTTTTTACTGGTTGAACCACCTGGGTGAACAAATCTTGATGCAAGCAAGCTCTGCTATCACGTCTAGATGCGTCTCACATAGGGCGCGGGAAGACTGAGCAGATGAGATAACGTCCTCTTAACGTTTTAGGGCCGCACCATGATGAAGACGGCCCTGTAATGGAATCTGCCAGGACAAATTACTGACGAAGCTGACAACCAAGCCTCGACATTGTATTCCAAACAGCGAGAGCCGATGCGCCCATTACTTGAGCAGAATATGAAGCCATAATCCGACCTGAATAACCTGCAATATGGCGCTTTGACGACTTGAATTTCTTTCCCGCGCCGTCACTGTCTTTCATTCGCTGTGGAGAGCTCACGACTGAATAAAACTTCAAAGAATACTCTGTAACTCAAGCCTCGAGTATGCACATTGGTTGCAAAATCGGTATGCTGTTGTTCACAGGCTTGCACGAGCCTTCGAGTTTAAAAGCTTACATGATGGTCAGTGCACAGATCTAGACTCAAGGTCATTATGTACCGTGGCCCCTTCGTAATAGCAGCACCAGCATGTCACTTCTTTAGCCGAGGAGTTAGAGCTATCATCCGAGCTTTGCGCGACCGGAGTTTCCTCTTCTCAAGAGCGCGCCTGTTGCAGAATCTCACCTTGACGGCTCTCTTTTTGGGCGCCACGCTGGGCTTCTTTTTCGGTTTCGCATCGCCGTCCTTCTTAGCCGCCTTTTTCCGCTCCGTTCCCGTGGGCCCCTCTTCAGCCCCAGCGCCTTCGGCAGGTCCGGCGTCTTGCCCGGTGGACTTCCCCGGGCGCTCGTCCTCCGCCCCCTCGCCGAAGTCGAAATCGTCTAGGGTTCCCTCAATTGTCGTCTCGGTCTGGAACACGTTTGTTTCTTCTCGGAGCTGCACGAAGTCGTTCATGACCGACTCCACCTAGAACGAATCAAAAACAGGGTTAGGTGAAAACATATGGGACATCATCAGTTGGTGATTGTCAAGTGACTGTAGACGACACTCCTATGGTAGCCGCTCTCTTTCCTTACTGGCTGTGAAATGACGTTGGAACTTAAAGAATTGCTTCAGTTTACTAGCCAAGAAGATAAAGGCTGCGCAAAGTCTGCCAAGCACCGCTTTTAAGCAACGCTTGTTTACGCCAGCTTTGGAGATGGTCGCACAACCCCATCCCTCGGGGCGACTTCCGACCTCAGAGCACATCGTCATCAACACATCATCGTCAAGAGGCGTCAGAACGCACCCTGCCGAAATCCTGCCAAGACAGAAGTTGTAGAACGTACGACGTCATCAAACGAAGCTGAAAGACACCAGAACGGATTGCGGACCAACCGAGGAGAGATGCGCTGGACTCTAGAGCCCCAGCGAAAGCATTAGAACCAACGTACTCATCGGGTGACTCGGATTCCAAACCCTATTTGAGACGCTCCTTATCAATCCAGATAGAACAAATATGTTCGTCGGACGTACGAAGGTTCAGCCACGTGGCAAGAGTGGATTCGCTGTCAGTCCGCTCCCCACCTTCGCTTCCGTCGGGCCCAGGTTGACGACCATAAACGTCGTGGACGGCACGACCGTCGCCCGGTACATGACCCCCTTCAGATCCAGAAACATGTTGTCCCCGTCTCCCCCCGGCTTCTTCAGCACTGAAAAGCGCCCCACTGCCCCGACGTCGCCACTAAGGTCGAGCGCATTCTCACCCTCGCCCTCGCACTCGACGAGCACCTGTGCGAGTAAGGGCGGGGAGGTTTGGAACGGGACGGCGAAGTCGCCGCCTTGGTTGGAAGGAGACGAGGTTCTTTCCCTGAGCACACGCTTGACGACTGACATCGAGACGACGAAAGATCCGTTCCTTCTAAAGCTTAACGAGCAAACAAACCAGAGGTTCAGAGCGAAACCAGAACCAGGGGAAGGGGAGAAAAGGTGTTTTCACATTCAAAAGAGGGGATTCCGGGACGCCAAACCACAGGGACGCGAAAGACAAACCGCAAGTCTGGGCTGCGCTTCTTCGCGTGAGAAGCACCCGGCGAAAACAACGTTCTTACGCTGAACCAGCCTCTACGTGGCTTTTCGCAGAGCAAAGCCTCCAGATGCCTCTCTCCACATGCTGAGAATCTTCCCCCGTCGTATGATTGCTCGAGCTTGAGCCGCCTTTTCCAAGTACCCACAACAAGACCTACCCCAGGTGGGGTGTCATCGAGTCAACTTCACTTGTCCGACCACTCAGCCATTGAAGCAGAAAGGCCCGCGGCCCATTTCAGAGCGTGCCGCCAGCAACCAAAGGGTTTGAAAGCCAGCCAGACTACCCGTGTACCGCTCACCTTGGTTCGGTGCACCTTGTCAGGCATCATTAGCGGCAGAGTCGCGGCTGCCCGCGGCTTTCCCTTCCTCTCCGGTCCCACTTCCTGCGTCGGCCCAACCGTCGCTTGCGTTCCCAACTCGTTTAGAACGGACTCCTCCTCCAAAGCCCCGCTCTTCCTCCTCTTGGCTGGACTGACGACCTTCTTCTCAATGCCCGCCCCGTCTTCGTCGTTGAGAACGAAGCCCCCACTCTTCCTCCTCTTCGCGGGACTAACGACCTTCTTCTCAATACCTGCCCCGTCTTCGTTGAGATTCAGACCCCCGCTCTTCCTCCGTTTCTGGACACTGTGGACCTTGTTCTCATCCGGAGTCGCTTTTTCATCCGTGTCTAGTTCTACGTCCACCTTCGCTTTGCCCCGTCGCTTCCGCTCCAAGAGCGACAAAGCGCCTTCCTCTTTCCCGCTCGTTTCCTCACCCTCTGACTCATTTTCTTCGTTTGTGGACGGCTTAGCTCGACTCTGTTTTCGCCCCTCGTCTCCTTCCCCCTCTAAGTTGCGACGCCCCTTCTCCGAACGCTGCGAAGTGCCATTCTCCCCCCTAACATCGTCCATTTCTTCGTCCTCTGATGCGCTTTCTTCCTTGTACGAAGGCTTTGCACGCTTCCGGGCACTCCTCTCGCTCCTGCCAAACCCGCTCGATCCGCCGACGTCAGCGCCATCACACGCCTTCCCCCCCTCCTCTTTTCCATCAGCTTCCTCACCTACAATTCCCTTTCGCTTCCTCCCTCTGCCAGCACTCTCACCATGCTTTTCGGAACCACCCATTACTTTCCCCTTATCAAAATGCTTGCCAGTCTTGTCGATTGCTTCCATTCCTGCCTGGGAGGCGTTCACACCATCTAACCCACTCGCCGCTTCCATGCTTCTGGTGCCTTTCAGGGGGCTCAAACCGAGTCGCGCGGCAGGGGACATAGTCAACCGCCGCGCCACTTCTTTTTCTGTCTCCGCGGGCAAAGCATAGGGGTCCGTTTCTGCATCCTGGCCCCCAGTCGCGGTCTCGAGGATTACATCCGGTTGGGAATCAATGACCCCTTGAGAAGTGGCCTCGCCTGTCTGACCGTTCAGGCTGACTGGAGGTTTGCTTTTCGTACCAGAGGGTTTCGAAGGGGTTTCGTCGGCGATTTTGGAGGGTTTGCGAGCGCGGAGTGGGTTCTCAGCGAGAGCGACAGATTGCTGGGTGGCTAAGGGGGGTGGCTCTGCAGAAGAGGCGAAGAAAAGCTTCCGTCAGCCTGTATCGATTGAAGTGTGACATCTAGCAGACTCCAAAAGGCATCTTCGACTTGGTTCTTCGTGTTTCATGAGATCCTCAAGCGAAGGCAATGTCGCGCGTACTAGAAATGACGCTCAGAAGACTTTGAGCTGGCCCGGAAGTCGAATTTGTGAGGGCTTTTCCACGATGCAGATGACCTTCTGGAGAGTGCATGCTTTCAACTGGGCGAAGCGTGACGGTTATTTCGGATTCTGGATGAGCTTCAGGCGCAATAAGAAATTGCAAGAGTTACGGACTTCACATTGAAAGCACTTTTTACCACCAGGTTTCAACAGCGTTCCGAATCCTGAACTTGAAGAGGATCCAGACTAACTCACCATCATCTGAGTCGAGATTGATCACTCCTTCCCCTGCTTTTGGAAGCCCCTCATCCTCCGCACCTTTTGTGCTCGCTGCCTCTTCCAAACCCTCGGCCCGCCCCTTCTTCCCTCCCGGGTTCCTCTCACCCCCCCGTCCAGTCTGCCTCTGCAACCCCCCCTCTCTGGATACCTCTTCTGCAGTCTGAGTCTCTCCCCCTGTCGCTTCAGCACCCTTCCCTCGAGCTTTGCGCCCCCCTCGCTCTGCCCCGCTGATGCTAGCATTAGTCGCAACAACAACTTCGCTGATGTCAGCGCCCTCCCCTCTTCGCCCCCTGGATCTTTTACCTCCGCTCAAAGGTTCCCCCTCTCTATATCCTTCCAGAGCCTCATTAGGCAGACCCTCGGCAGTTTGATTGGGTATCCCATTGTGGCTTATATTGCGTTGTCCAAGTGTGACAGAGTCAGAACTCAGACGTGCGCTACTCTTGACACCAGCTTTTGGAACAGATGATAGAGTGGCTGGGAGGTTGGCGACGGTGTCGTCCAGGGCGTACGGGTCTGCCATGCCGTCCAAATCCGAGGAAGGGGGTGTGGTAGGAGCCTGAAAGTGGACGAGAAGTTGATCAGATGATGACGCTTCTCACAGAATTGTTTACCCGTCAGCTCTGGCCACGCGGTGGTACTTTCTCTATTAACATCTTGTTGATATTTTGATTGTTTCCTCCGACTGCAATCTGAGGTTCAGCGATCACAGAGTTCCACTGTAGCTCTTCTGCAAAGGGACAACCAGAAGAACACACTTCCAATGATGCCCCAGGCTCAGTGTAGCCATTTGAAAGTGACCCGGTTCTTGCTAGATACTATCACGAGAAAGTGAAGTTGCCTAACAGGTGCGTCATGCTGGCAAGGAACGAGGTTCAACACGCTGTTCCATCAGGAAAACCCTTCAAATATTTCCGCAGAGACACCAGTCCACATTCTTAGAAGAACCTTAGCCTTAATCTTGATTTCTAACCTAGGAACCTTCAGAAATCACCACCCCTCCTGACAGAGCTGACTAAAAGCTCGGTAGTAGAGACTAAAAGCTAAATGGTGGGATCTTCAGAATGTTGCTTGCATTGATATGCTTCGCTCTCATAACATGCATGAAGCACGTGTGTGTTATCGAAACAGAGGTCCTTGAGTACCATCAACTCCTCTATCCAAGACCCGTAAGTCTCCTTGACCTATCTGAATGAGACGCGGTTCTGATGAAAGGATGGAATCCCGAAGAACTATTGAAGAACCATGCAAAACGTGCCAACTCAACGTGCAAAACCCAACACAAACTTTCAACTGAGAGCACATTATGTGAAGGCAATTGGATACGGAAGGGATGAACAAGTGGCCCCATTTGGCATTTGCCAAATTGTCGCTTTGAGTCTGAGCTTCGAATGAGTAACTCACCTGGAACTCCCTCATCCAATCTGGAGAGCTTTCCCTTGCTCCCGCCATTGCTCTGATATTTGCTTCAGAGCTCTCTACTCCTACATGGTACTCTGTTCAAAGGGCGTCATCGGCCAGTTTGCAAATGCCAGATGAACAATTCAGTCTGGACTCTGGACACTTTCATTGTTTCAAATGTCCCGAGCAAGCAAGGCGAGATTGGATACACAGACACGCAAACAAATAATAAACTTCTAAGTTAAAACCCAGAGGTTGGTACTGTACCCAAGTATAAACGTGCCCGATCAACTGGGCCCACTTGTCCGGGCGGCCGCAACCGCGCGCTTCAATCCAGGGTACGATTTAGAATCTTGTCCCCGGAACATATGCCCGGGTATTAGTGCACTTCAAAGAAGTCGTGGGTACATAATCTGCAGGGTACTACTATTTGAGGATTTTAGGTTTCTTGCAGCTTGCAAGAACTGCAATGCGTGAAGGTCCAAGAAGAAGCTCACTTCTCAGGACCACATGCAATGTCACCGAGTGCTGTGTTTGGCGCCTGTCCGATCCCCTGCAACAACAAAATTGAGTTCCAGAGCCTTGTAAAATCTGCAAGTTCCATGCAATGTCGGACCTAGAGGTTTCGGCGCATGGTTGGGGGGATCCCTCGGCCCCCGCGCAAACTCCACTGGAATGGGGCCAGACGGACAGCGCCCGTTCTTCGCTCAGGAAGCGGGATCGCCCCATGAGCTTTGACGCAGGTTCGCTGCATCTGTCTGAGGGAAACCCTCAGTATTCTTGGGGGGAGCAATTCTTGAGTTTCTTTCCAGAAGGGGGCAATGGGAATGCAGTAGGTGAGGGGGGACTCCAATTTGAGGGGTTGGCAATCAACCAGAATCAGGGGTTCGGAATCAATGGAAGTGAGGGGCTCAACTCTTTGTTGGCGGACAGTGCGGATAGTTCGGAATGCATGGAGCGTCTGCAATTGCAGGATGGGCCGTATGAGCAGGGCGCCTATGAGCAAGACCCGGGTGCTTATGGCGAGCCAGCTTACGAACAAGCCATCTATGACCACACGGCAAGTAGAAACGACTTTGGCGAGGGTCTGCAAGAGCAAGTCCCGGACATTTTGGCGCAGCTCGGCGTCCCTGGTTCCGGTCCAAGCACCGACGCCGACTCCCTCCTCCTAGAGGATGTGCCCCCTCTTCCTTCGACAGCTGTCGGTTCGATTGCTCCCGCCTCGCCAGCTGTCCCCGCCCGCAATGTGCCGCAGTCAGCCTCAAAAGTGATGACGTCAGCAGAGATCCAGGACGCTTACGTTCAGAGCTGGGGTGGGCAGAATCTCAGGAAGGAGCCGAGCGGGGGCCAGAGACAAAGTCCCAGCCTAGTTGGCGCCAACGAGAAGGCGGGAGAAAAGCCAAAGCCTCCCGGCGAGAAGGGCCAGGAGTGGTCGGTCAACGGCGCAAAGACTCAGGCCGCGAGCATCATCCGGGACTTGTTTCGCCGTCCCGAGGCAAAGCGCCAGGCGGTCGTCGTAGAGGGGGGCCGCGTCGGATTTCTCGAGAAGGCGGTGAGCCGCTTGCCGGCCCGAAACCCTAAACCCTCCAAACCCTCCGACGTCTCCGGGCCCGCAAGGAGCACCTCCGGCCCGTCCGTCTCCGACACGGGCAGCGGGGGGTCGTTTTTGCAGCCGGACGCAACCCCCCTTGTGCCGCCGCCCCGCACATTCTCTGACTCTCCCGAGTTTTCTCGAGCGGACTCCTCACAGAAAGGTGCTGGGGAGTCAAAGGAGGATGCAATTGCGGACACAATGCGGCGAGTGGGTGAACGCGTCGCGGGGGTGCTTGCGGGGGAGTTGGATGCAAACCTGCCGCAGTATGATGCAACAGCAAACGGAGAGGCGGCAGAGCTCGCCTCAAGAATGGGTGGCGCATCGGAAACCGTTTCTGGTGAGGGTGGGGCGTCGGACTTGGGTCCAGGATTGGGAGGGGTAAAAGGAAGGGAGGACTTTGGGCCTGGAATGGCGGAAATGGAAAGTAGGTCAGCGTTGCCGGACCTGACGACAGCGGCAGGACTGGAGTGGTTGCTGGAGGACGAGCCAGAGTTGCGGGGCAACGGGGGCGGGAATGCGGCGGGTGGGTGTTCTTACCTCTGCTAAGCTCTGAATACGAAAAGACGAAAAAGTGCATGCCTTCTTCTCTTTGTCCTGCCCTGGTGAAGACCAAGGATGTAAAGGAATGTTACAACCTACCACGATCACCAAATAATTCACAAGAACACAACATGTGAAGTCAATCTAGGCTTTGAGGAGGCCCTTGAATGCGCGTTATATACACAAAGGAAGCAAGCAACACCTTATGTTCGCAGAATGTAACAAATACACACTGCTGACGATCAAATTTGTTCTTCAAGAAACATAGATCAAAATGCATACTGTAGGTTTTCTGATTGCCAACGTTCTGAACTTTGGATTTACTTGCAGGGATGGCCGCTGAGGTCAGCCCCGCTGACGTCAGCCCCGAGCTGTGGCTCCCCGGCTTTGCGGAATGGCTGGCAAAGGAGAAAGGGGCCGGCGGGGCAAGTAGAGAAGCGGGGTCGTTGGGGGCTGCTGGCTTGGCAAAACCGTTGGCAGGAATGACTTTGCAGTCAGGTGTGCATCCTGCCATCTTTTGATCTTTTCAGAAGTCCTGGTTTCTCGGCTTTCTCCATCTTTGTTGACTAGTTTTGGGTGTTGATGTCCTTCCCTTTCCATCTTCCTCCTTCTTGTTCGTGCTGCTCGTCTTTGAATCTTTTAACCATCGGGGTCCGTATGCATTGCCTTCGAAGGCAGCAGTCTAGATTACGCCTTGCTCTCAAAGCTTAGGACCTCTTCTGAAGCCCCCTATTCCCACCAATCCTCGCCAAAGTTGCTAGCGCACACGGACTTTGCTCAGGTCATCTTTTACCGCGCCTGCGCCACCTGTGGATGGAACTCCTCGCTCGGTGCCTGAGCCTGCCATTTTCCAACGACTGGGAATGAAAGGCGTACTTAGCAAATTAGGCCCCAACTTTCAGCTATCGCAGATCTTACGTTTGTCCATAATCCACACCTTTTTTGTCTCAAGGCTTGTTTGATCGCTTCTTACTTCCTTTTGAAAGAGTCTCTTTGCTCCTATTGGTTGCACTTTTGTCCTTTATTGAGTTCTAAGAACTTTTTGTATTTCGATATATCAATTTATTTATGAGTGTTAACAATTTTAAAACAACTTTGAATGATTATCAATTAAGAATTAAGTAAAACAATCCAAGATCCGTTCCTCATCTTTGTCTCGCTGTTTCTGGCAAATCCAGTCTCGTACCAATCCCTTTGCTACAATCGCTGCAATGGGTTGGGGGGGGAAACTCCCCCTGCCAGCCTTCAGTTGGACGGTTTCGGGCATACCGGTCATGAACGGACGTTTTTCGGACACCCCTCCAACGTCTCTGCAATTCTGTTGAATGCGATCGCCATGTTCCGGACCCTTTTCGGACCCCTCGTTCCGTGCAGAAGCTGCGCCGGTGACCCCTGCTGAAACGCCTTTGGGTCAAAGCCCCACCCAGCTCCATAACCATGATTCGACCAGTTCGGATGAGCTCCTTGGATCGTTCCGTCACCCTCCCTCATGTCTGCCTCTTTGGGGCAGAGTCCCTCCCTTCCACCCCCCCCAAACGAACGCTCCACCGCTTGTGGGTGGAGCTCCCCCCCGTGCAGCTCCGCTCAAACACTTTCCGGACAATGTCGGATTTTTTTTTGACAATCTTGGACTCCATTTTTATCACTTCTGCTCCTGTCAGGCGCATTCTGTCAATTACATAACGGCTTCTCGTCCCTTGCAGAACCTGCCCCCTCGACTCCCCCACAATCGCTCCACCGCCTGTGGGTGGAGCTCCCCCCCGCCCATCTCCGCTCTGATTCGTTCCGGACGTTTCGGACTGCGTACCGGGAGGAGGTCCGGCGGCTGCGGTGCTGGACGGCGACGTATGTCGGAGAGGGCCTCCTGCCGCTCATAAGCGACCGGCACTTCGGCATATGCAATGCACTGCCTGGCATTCAGCATCGTCAGGCGAGGTGAGCGTGACGTCATCTTCCTCACATGTTGCTCACTTCTGGAAGGGCCTCCTACCGCTTATCACCGGCCTGCACTTACGGCACGCGTAATGCGCCGCCCGTCATGCCGCACAGTCAGGCGAGGTGAGCGTGACGTCATCTTTTCCAGTTCATTCTTTGGGTCAAAAGGATGAGCGACGCGCGTCGTTGGGGAAGGGCCTTTCTGCCGCTCATCAGCGACGCGCACTTCGGCATATGCAACGCACTGCCAGGGATTCAACAGCGACAGCCGAGGTGATGCTGACGTCATCTTTTCACGTCACGTCATTGACCAGTAGAGCAAGCGACCTGCCGAGTAGCTTCGCTTGGGAAGGGCCTCGTGGTGCTCATCGGCGACCTGCACTTTGGCATATTCAACGCACTGCCCGGGATTAAGCGCCGTCAGGCGAGGTGAGGATAACGTCATCTGTTTCAGTTCGAAAGATTCATGATTTACTGAAAGGGTGAGCGACGCAACGTACTTGTTTGATGATTTATTGAAAGGGTGAGTGACGCACCGTACGTGTTTGATTGGGAAGGGCCTCCTGCCGCTCTTCAACGGACTGCACTTCCCCGTGTGCAGCGCAGTGCCTGGGACGAATACCGCCAGGCGAGGTGAGTACTGACGACAATTTAGATTTTCCGGAATGTGATTTGTAGATTCGGCGGCGGCTCCGTAGACTGAAACCAATTTTCGACAAAAGGTTCGATATCGACCGAGTACTGTTCTTGACAGGGAGGGGGCTTTTCTGAACGACGTTCTTGGCCCCACCTTTATCGTCCCCCAGTCTTTTCTGGGAAAGCGGAGTAAAGAGAATAAGAGGCGTCTTGTGTTTCGGGTTTGGTAAATTGGCCGACGAAATGGCTTTCCTGAGATGGCTCGTTAAGTTGCGGGTTTGAAGTACAAATGACCGAGTCGGATGCTGTCAGACCGGGTATCATAGGTGTGATGGCGCTTGAAAGCCCGTCAATCCCGAACTCAAGACGCCAAAGTGAGATTCTACTCCCCTCGACAGAAAGATGTCCACGAAGGGCGCTGTGGGGTGCTTACGTCACGGACAATCCCAACAACGTGAGCCCGTGTGAAATGCAACAACAGCAAAATTACAGCACGAAATAAGTGGCCCATTGGCCCAGTAATAAAATCCTACAACTCTGAAAGTCTCTTTTCTCTGCAGGATGATGTTCTCTAAAGGCTCCCTGTGGGTCGCTTGCAACACTGACACGCTGGACAACGGGAGCCCATACGGAATGCAACATCGGCAAAATTACAGCACGAAAAGAGTGGCCCACGGACCCCACTTAACACAAAACCCAAGACCCTAAACTTCATGGTTCAAAGCCACCTCTTCGGTGCAGGATGACGTTTGCTAAAGGCGCGCTGTGGGGTGCTTACGTCATTGACATGCTGGACAACGCAAGCCCATACAAGAAGCCACAACGGCAAATTTCCAGCATGAAAGGAATGCGCCGTCCACTCCCCACTTGATAAAACCTCAAATTCCTGAAAAGCAGTGACTTCAAACCCGTCTCCCTTGCAGGATGATGTTCACGAAAGGCGCGCTGTGGGGTGCTTTCGTCACTGGCACGCTGGACAGCGCGAGCCCGTGCGACCTGTACTACGCGCGGCACGACAGCCAGCGCGAGTTCAAGGAGGGGCCGCTGCAAAAGCTGGCCAACCTGTCCAAGGGCATGCAACATAAGATGCTCAACATCGTATACCTTATGGAGGACCTCAAGGTGCGTACCTCGCAAACAATCAATTCTGTGCGATTTACTTCCTTCAATGATTGGCCCGGGACAAAACGAAACTAGGGTGCTCAAGAGTGCTCTCCGCTGCGCAGTCTAACAAATGTCTCGAAAAGAGCCACTAACGAGTGCCAATTCCTAAAGCCAGTCTTGAGTTCGGCAGGGGTTTCCAATGATTCAGCAGTGTTACTTTACTGATGTTCCAACAGAAACGTGACCTGAAACAGCTTTTTGGGTCGAGGTTTAAGGGATGGTTCAAAGAGAAGAGAAGCCTGAGATGGAGAAGCACCCCTTTGTCGATCAAGGGAAACATGCGAGCCGTGCTGACTTTGAGCTACGGCGTTAGCGGCACAGATGGGTTGCCATTCCTACGCTTTCTGGAGCCTCTTGAAAGTCAAAGGAGCGCTTTTTCGACCTGATGAATCAAAAAGAAACTCGTTGGAGACATGCATCAGCCATAGTAAGCACTCTGCTGGTTCGAAGGTTCACGTATCAGGGTCTTTGCAAAGTCGAACAAACGACATGCAAAGTCCAGATAAGGGGATTTCGGCGTCTGGCTTTGCCGACTCGCCTACGAAGTCCCGTCAAAGCAAGAGGCCTGATTTTCTTCTCTTTCAAGGCTTGTTCTCTGGTATTCTGAGATGGTATATGGGGGCGGCACCGGGCAAACCGGGTCGACGTCAAAGGGATGCCTTTAAATCCGGCATCGGCATCGCGCAGAACCATCGACCTGAGCCAGGGCAGCCCAAATTGGGCCGTCTCAATCTCCCCGACGCTGAGCAGCAACGCTCTCCCCGTATTCCGCCGGAATCCGCCGGATTCTGAAACGGCATCCTTCCACTCGCAGGACGAAGCTACATACGGCCCCGACCTTTACCGCCTCTACGGCGCACTCCATAAGTCCGGCGGCCTCGCCCTCCCTCCCCCCGTGCGCGGTCACGCGTACCACCAAATCTCCTTCCCCGAGCTCACGGACCCAAAACCGCCGTCCCCGTCACAGGGGGGTGAATCCTCCGGCAAAAGCAACCCCCTGGACGCGGACGACGTGGAGTTGATCAAGTTTGAGGAGAAGCCGCTGTTCAACCCGTGTACGTTATTGCCCAACGGTCATTTGGCGCCTTGGGGGTCGTTCTGGTTTAATAAGAAGCGGCTCCTTGCGACGGGAAAGGGTTTGCAGGAAGCGGGAGAGCGGGGGAGGCAACTTGTACAGGTAGGTCTTGGAAGGACGGGCATTGATCCGACTGATGGTTGAGCTTACGGTGAAAGTCAGCTTCCGCTATCAAGGGAGCGATAACAACCGATGATGCTTCTTTTCAGCAGCAAAATCTACGTGTGTCGTTTATGTGAAAGGCTCTTTGTTAGAATTGAAGCGCATCGGAAAACGAATACCAATATTTGAAAGTAGAGTCATAATCTTGGTTGGCCGGATTTTGTTAGGGGTCAAGGCCGGGTTTGGATGTTAGCAGACCAAACCAGAAGGTCAGGATCTCAGAACTGCTGCTTCCAACTACTGATTCGAGACTTGAGCAATAACACGCGGAGTCTCTTATCGTGTAAATCTGGATACAAGATATAGTTGCGTATGTCTTATCCGTAGACGCTCTTTTCCTCGCGTCTTCCTTTCCTCAATCCAATATGTATTGTGTGCAGGGTCTCGCGCAACAAACATTGAGCGCCCACGTGAAACGTTACGACTGTCTCGCATCCGGCGGGATGCCAACCCTAGAAAAGTACCTGGATTTCGCCAGGTATGACATGGGGATTGCGACCGGTTTGGGCCTCGCGTTTTGCGCGATCGGGCAAGGGTTAGCGGATGCCGGTCAATGGGAACCAACCGAGGTTGCGCTAACCAAGCTGTTTGAGAAGATTGCGAAGGCGCTGACGCTGACCAGCGAGATCTACCGGGTCATGACCGATCTGAGGTTAGTTGTTAACTTCGGGTTATCGTTGTGCCCTCGTTTTTGGCGGGTCGGACTAAAGCTTTCATTGAGCCAATGCGCTTTTTCGTGCACCATGAGGGTGAGTTCTGTAAGCTATAGAGTTGGCTTTTATTTGCGCTTCCGTTCGCTCTACGTAGTAGATAGAGCTTGGGACGAAGCCCGTTGTTTTGCGAGCAATGATTGCACCTTGTCGATCTCGTTTGCTGCAACCTCAGCACCTCGCTTGGAAAGTGACGTCGACACAAGAGCGACGTCAGCGGCTGGGCTTAGCACTAAGCAGCATTTATCATTCCCCTCGTTTTCAGACTTCTCGCTGCGTCGTTCTTCGATAATGAAACGCTTAGTGCCAGCGCCTGAAATTGTCTCCTCTGACCCGCACCTCTGCGAGACGTTCCAACACGCATCATAACCTGACAATATACGCCCAGTGCCAGCGCCTCAAGCCCTCTCCTACGACCAACGTTTGCTTTCCATCTTTGCAGGACGTATCAAGACGACCTGGTGCACTGTCGGCTTAACGCCGTGGCAATCCGCATGCGGGAGGCTCTTTGTAGCAACAAGGAGGCGACCGACTTCCTCATCGCCAAAGTGGCGCTCGACGTCGAGGCGTTGGAGTCGGAGATCTTGGCGCGCGCGTTGACGGACCTGTTTTCCCGCGCATGCTGGCGGCTCATATTCGACGTGTGTCGCGGCAGCGTGGCTAGGTTTCTGGCAACGGAGCATGACCAATGTGTGGAGGTCTTGTTTCACGATGCATAATGGATGTCGAATGGATGGTCAAAGTTGGTTAGCCGAGTGTAAAACGCACTTGCAAAAGCACGTGGCAATAGGAAGCGCTTAGGCTGTTCCTCGCATAATCTACTCATACAAGCCTCTGATAAATGTGTCCCCTTTGTCGAACTTGACGAGCTAGGTCGCATGTGAGTTAAGGAGACGCCATCTTGGACTGGATTACATCGGTGTCGAGCAATGTGAGTGAAATTGTGCTAGCTTGTTTGCGCATGCACCAAATTCTTTTAGCAAGTGTAGTGTCAAGCCACCGTACTCGTTCGTTAATTGGCAAGAATCATAACCGCCGAAAGAGAAGCACCACGATCCCTACTATGTTTAGTTGACTGCGTCTACTGTATGATGCTCCTTAAGCACGCTGAAGGATAGCTCCGACTCAATTGCATGATGAAGTTGCCTAATGCATGCTTGTCTGCGAGGCTTGAGGAGTTCTGCATGGGCCCATGTCGTGGCGGCCAGCTGTTGAAGCTTACGCACTAACATGTGCAATTTACGATGTTTTTGTGAAATTTGGGTCGTATCATATGATATGGCATCGTGCATGACATGCATGTCATGCACAAATTTGATCGCCCCTCGCGAAAGGATCTATATTCGATACAGCAGCCAGCGATCTGTTGCTTACAGACCCACATATCGCATGATCGATTTTGCATATGCACGTGGGCAGCACGTTGTGTCGGAAACGCTACGGTTTGTGGCCGGAATATTTTGCGCACGCGTGGTAGAGGTGGCTCATGCATGGAGTTCTGCAGGCTGATTGAGCAACTCGTGCTCCCTAGGCTTATGGGCGGCCGGGATTGAGGTGACGGGGACGAATCTTGCATATGGCAGGCCAAGGTAAAAGGACTCTCAACTATAGTAAGATCTTGATATGAGTCCTCTGGAGCCGGCCTGCATGACATGCATATTCCCACTGAGCAGCGTTTGTGTTTCTCAGTTGTGAGCCCAGCTAGTGCACGATGCAACTCATCTTATAAGATCCTGCAGCATTGCTGCTCTTTGAAATATCGAATGAACTGCAACGTATTATGGACTCTTGCTCGCTGGAGGTAGATCTCATATACGCATTATATTTTTTCTATGTACTGTGGTGCTGTGGCAATGATAACTTGAACCAGCAGATAAAAGATATTGTATGAAAAGTCCGCAAACTGCACATGGCTATGCATACACCAACATGTTACGAATTGACGTGCAAGTGCCAGTACTGCCATTCGAATTCGCACCCCAGGTCCGCGAATAATTATTTTCAAAGTTTTTCTGATTTCGCATCGGCCAGGATAATTTATTTTTGTTTTCGTTTTTGCCCTTTTTGCCTGCTAAAAGAGCAAGTTTTGGGTCCAAAAATCTTGGTTTTTTCAATTCGACTTTTCGACCAGGCAGGAAATAATTTCCGAAAATTTTCGACCTGGGCTAAAATAATTATTTTCTATGCGAATTCACAATGGCAGTACCAGTGTTCTCTTACACTACGGGCAGTTTGCGACTAGAATGTACAAATATTGCGACAGAATGCAGACCTGGCTTTGTATGCCGAATCCAAGATTGGTCCCTTAACATAGTCTGGTCAGGCAGCGTCCAAAGTAGCGTAGTGACTTGCTTTGAACACTTGTATTCTCAAAGTCTCATATTTTTTAAGTAGCCTGGTGTGTTCGGTGAGGACTTTACCGACTACTTGCACGCTCCACCAGACAAGCACGAGTACACAATCTGCTCATACGCATTTTGTCCCTTGACATTGGGGTGGTACGACTCATCAGAGCCCCGGACATATGGAAAGGAACCTATCTTCTCAGAGGTTACGTCGTTGATCCAGGGGTCCTTTGCACAGACGGCGTGCCCCTCGAACGCGTTCCGAGTGTCAACGAACTGGAATCTAGGCATGTCAACCATACTAAGCTTGATCACATCCGCCAGCTCATTGGCCAGCCGATTCAGGCCAGTCGTTTCTTGGTCTGTAAGAAAGAGTCTCGAATCACAACTCACGTTTGTGAAAAGCCTTGGATAGCCAGTCACCAGGACCCGTGCGTTTGGTGCAACAGATCGCAGCACCTTGTATAGCAGAGACAGCCTCCTTGGTAGCTTGTTGGCGATGAATTCAGAAGCGGCATCCAGCTTGCAGGGCGCATCACCGAAGCGGAAGCCTCCTCCTCCCGGTCCGCTGACTAGTTGAACAGACGGGTCAAACAGGACACACTCTTTGAGCACATCGCCGAACCCCGCGTCATTGCCCCCGACACTAAGCAACACCACCTCCGTCACGTTTAGATATCCAGCTGACAGCAAGCTCAGCTGGTCATACACGTTGCCGCTTTGAGCACCATTGCATGCCAGGGAGGTCAGTTGCACATTGAGGCGCTTGGCAAGGAGCTCTGGCCATGCAACAGGTGATCGTTTGCACTCAAGGCTCGACTTGACGTAGTTGTCGGTACTCCCCACCCCTGCTGCGTAGGAGTCTCCCAGAGCTAGATACACCGGGCGCCGGCCTGCAGGTTCGTTCCAATCCGATGATTCTGAGTGTGGTTCCTTCAGCCCGATCGTATATTTCTGATTATGTCTTGCAAAGAGGTGGATAAAAGAAAGATACAAAACAAGTAGCATTGCAGCACAGCAGGGTTGTTGCAGGATTCCTCTTGTATTCCTCCCATTGTTGAACGCCTTCCCAAGGGGAGGTCGTAGAAAGGGCAGTGTACAAGTTAGTCACTACAAAGTACTTGTGCACACCCTTTGATAATACAGGACGCCACAGCGAGAATGTTGCTGCTTGAGTTGCAAAGCGGCAGAAGCTCCATGAGAGAGTTCTCAAATGATGCTAGTCTAAAAGAGCCTCCTTTTGTTTGTTCCAGTCAAAAGATTACCGTCCGGTGGTTGCTGAAAAGGCAACTTCCAACTTAATCTTTCCATCAGAGATAGATTACCACTATAATATATGATATGAGAGCTGACTTTACAGAGATGGGGACGAGGGGCCTATGTTCTTAGCCTAATGTTCTAAAGCTCATATCTGCCGGCCCATATCATATTCTCAGCAGTACACATTGTTTTCACCAATGAGATGCGGTGCAGTCTACACAGACGTGATCAAGTGCTCACTAGCAACACTAATTCTTTAAGGATCGCGTTAGCAAATGCCCTGAAGATAACCACCTCGTGGACTTACCCTGACCCAGCGTCGCATATGTCAAGCAGCATTGGAAGTCTTCTGGTCCCGGGCATTCATCAGTCTTGCTTTCCCCTGAGCACTGGTCCAACCATCCGCAGGAACCACCCAGCGAGCAGGATGTCTTGTAGCAGCATTTTACATCTTCTGGGTCATTCTTGCAGTAACCAGCCGCGTAATTGCCTCCGCCAGCTGTGCACGTTGACGTTTTCAAACACACCCCGGCATTGGGACCAGCAGCGCACCGATCATTGAGTGCGCTCTCAGCATGACGAGCTGCTTTTAAGCAAGCTGCAGACATCAGCCATACAAACAACACCATCTTGCAAAGCGCTTGGTAGGGAGGACACTTCATGGGCCCACTTCATCTGAAGCACATTATCGTATAAAAGTTAGGTGTATTACTATTACAAGTGGAACCGTCTCTGGCTGAGTGGGAGGGCACGGGGGGACACCCTTTACGAAGCTACGCGTGCTGTTCATGGCTGGTTGACCAATGTCTTTGAAGTTGGCACAGCACTCAAGTCTCAAAAGCGCGCCACACGTTTCGTGATCGCTGCATCACTGACCATCTCCTTCTATCCGAACCAACTTGATCGTCCGTAGAACCCGAGTGTGAATCAGGGGATGTGTGACCATCGCAACGGATCTCTAATCGTAAATAAAAGTACGGACGGTATTCACATTCTCTGACACGCAAACACATGCTCAGGAATAAATACTCTGACAGAAGTAAGATGCGATCGAGACCGAGACCAATTGGTGATCAATCTCTCTCTAATCATTGATAGGCAAGTCGTCAGACTGGTGGCGACTTTCCGCTCATGCAGCTCGGTCCCGCCACGTGGCACTCTTGTGCGTAGTGCTACTCGGAATCCGGATTAATTGGATCACTTTGCAGGGTGACCGGCCGAATTTGCGGCGCGCCACTGGCCGGTCATCATGACGCAAGTCGGACAAAGTACACTACCGTACGGTATTACGGCATACAGAACATGGTCGGCCGCCCGCAAACGGGCGGGGATAGCTTGCCTCTTATCGGCGAGGATGTCACGTGCAACAATGGATGCTGTAAGTTGCACGCAATATATGGGGTATTTGCAGGCACTAATATTAGCTCAGTGCAGACAAGCCCATATTGGCAAGTGCGTGCCAGAGTTCAGTATCACCTCGTAGATTAGTAGGGAGTGGCAAATGTTCAGCCTCTGTAGGGTTTATTTATCTTCGAACACTGGCGATCATTTGTCGCAGACTGCCGCATCCCACTAGGCGGCGCGGAGCGGCGTCGTACAGTGTTGCCCAAAGCGCGGCTGGCGTGGAAGTGGGGGGAAAGTGGCTTGAAATCTAAAACCAGTGGCTTCTCTAAGTTAGAGGCAAGCCAATGAATATCCTGCTTGAGGGCATATCCTGTTTGCGAGATTCAAGCCCCTCTTTGATACCTTCATGTCGAAGCTCCCCTGTAAGATTTTATCAATCCTAGCGGGCCGGGATATACTATAACCGGCCCGAATATTTTTGACAATTCCGGCCATCCGGCCACTGATTACACCGTTCTTTGGGACTGATTCCGGGTCTCAACACCTTCCTGTAATTAACTTCGGGATCACCGCAGACTGAGCCTGTACACTCTTCCTTTTTCTAACGCTTGCATGCTACTCATGCATGCCTGCTTTGACTCTCTGCTTGCACATTGTTTGCTACTATCATGGCATGCATGATGCTTGCAGTGTGTTCCTTTGCGTTAGCTGTTTGGGGGGTATTGAGCATTGTTAGCGCCTGCAAGGATATAGCTAGATACCATGTGGCAGCGTAGCTACGGATCCAAATAGGATCCAAATATCCTGAGACCCTTGGACTCGGTCCCAGTTAGATTGATGACTGCAGTTGACATGCAATGCTTAATTGATACCTGTGGCCCCGCGGTCACGGTTCCTTGATTCAATGTACATGACTTTTCCCTTCCGTTGATGAGATAGTGAACAGTATTACAGTAGAGTCAACACTCGAGCCGACTGGGCACGGCAACTATAATGATTCAATCAGCACTCGGCTTATAAGATGCTTAACTTGTCTCAAAGACACTCTTCTGCTTAACCAGAGCAATCCGATTCTGCAATTTTGCAGAGTGATTCGTTGTTCGCCTCTCCTGCGGTCACGTCGGGTGCTTGGTACTGTACACTACATACCATCGGAAAAACGTTACACTGACTTAAACTCTTCCAAGCACTACGTTCTCGAATCTATACTTCACTTAATCATCTGTAGATCGTGGGCGGCCATTGCTCCAGCTACGATCGTGACTGGCAGCCGTGCTGCAGGCTGCTCATACGACGTCAAACAACTCGTTGGTGCAACGTCCTTGTTCCATCATTCTGAACCGCGCTATACACGTGTGACATAAGTCGAATGCGAGTTGCCAACAAATCCTCGAGAAGCGGTCCTTGGGAGCCCGGGAAACGATCTCGGCTTCCAACGACTCAATATCGTCGGCCACTTTGGCGACCAGATAATCAATGGCTTCTTTGTGACTGCACAGTGCTTCGCGCATCCAAATGGCCACGGCGTTTAACCGGCACTGAACCAAGTCCGCCTCATACGTCCTGCGAGGAAAGTGCCAGAGGAATCCTCAAATTTCGCCACGTGTTGCTTAAAGGAGGTCGCCTGACAAAGCAGCGCTAGTCACTTCCGCAATTTTGATGATTTTAGTAGATTCGAGGGCCCGGGACATTGTTCGCACCCACGGTTTGATGGAGAGGAGTCCAGTTGTCAACTCGTACAAGAGTGAAATGAGTGTCGAAGATTGCCTGACTCACCGACGAGCTTTCGGGCCAAATTCTCATACAACGAGATCTGACACAAAGCTACCCAATCCGCTCTTGATATACATCACAAGACTGTCAGAGCCCCAAACAAGTCGACCGGAACTGAGACAACCATTCAAGACAACGATAACCTTGGAACCCCAAGAATGTTTAGGACTCACTGACATCGCTCATGATTCAACACCACGCTTGTCCGTGCGAGATTTAGAGCTCAGCATATCGCTCAGGGTTACCATCACCAGAAAACCCAGAGCCCGGCAAACAAGTCGACCGGAACTGAGACATCCAACCCAAGTGCCCGATTTTTTGTACAGCGCGCGCTCACACAAGACGACAAGAATCTTCAATTCCTAGCAATGGTCAGGACTCACCTGACATCGCTCATGACCCGGAACACCATGCTTGTCCGCGCAAGATTGCAGAGCTCACCAAGCGCTCATGATTCATAACAAGAGAATCCCGAGCCCAAACAAGTCGACCGGAACTGAGGCAGTCGTTGAACCCTTAACCCTTAACCCTTAACGTCTAACCCTTAACGAAGAATGGTTAGGACTAACCTGACATCGCTCATAATCCGAAACACGCCGCCAGCGAGCGCGAGCGCCCCCTCGGCCGCGTCAAACAGCCCTTCCAAGCCGGGTTCCGTCGGCGTCCATTGAGCGGAATCCCCTAGCTCTTGCCCGATCGCGCAGAACGCCAAGCCGAGAGCGGTGGTCACACCCGAAGTGTACCGGGCGAAAGCCAGGTACTTCTCCAGGGAGGGAGTGCCCCCGGCCGCCATGCAGTCGAAGCGCTTCACGTGGGAGCTCAGCGTCAGTTCCGTTAAGCCCTGCGCCAGCCAAGCCACTAAGTTAAGTTTTCCCCTCCCCCTTTTTCCTTTTCTGTCTTGTTTGTTTTTCCTTCTGGCCGCAGCCGATTTCCCCTCACTTTCTGTTGCCGCTTCTTTGTTGTACCCCTTGCGGGCTCTTCGTGAACGCGTGGGAACGAGGCTTTCAAACACCTTCTACTGAGAAAACAAATTTGGGTACATCCAGCCACCGCTTTCTATTGCGGTGGCATAATTTCGAAGATTGTGCTGGAGCGTGCTTTAGGAAGTTCAGGTGGTCAACCGCCCGGCTCACAAATGAGTGGCACTCGAAACAAAGAATAACAGGTGCCGAACATTTGGGTGCATCAACCGGAGACTTACTTATTTCAGAACCAAAAAAGAAACATGAGTTGGCGCCTGCTCAGCTTGAAAGTTTACCTGCACCAGTTGCCGCCCGCGCGCCCCCGCACGCGCCAGGCCCTTCCCCGTCGCCTCGAGCCGCTTCTCGTTGAACCAGAACGTGCCCCACCGGAACGCGAACGGATTCTTCTGGAAGATGCACTTGTTGAAGAGCGGCTCGTCTTCGAATTCGATAAGCTCCACTTCGTCAGAAGCGGGAGTTGCACCCGTTTCAAGAAGTGGGGGTTCAGGATCGGTGAGCTTAGGAAAGGAGATTTGGTGGTAACCGTAGCCGGCAAACGCGAGCGGGCGGTGCACGCCCGCCGACTTATGCAGCGCGCCGTATGTGCGGTATACTTCGGGGCCGTATGCCGCCTCGTCCTGCAAACCCAAAAAAGCTCAAATTGAAACCCAGATTTCGAGTTGACTTTGGACCAGCGTCCAAACCGGGAATCCATCTCTTCGAAATTGGCAAACACGAGCGGGCGATGCAGGCCGCCGGCTTGTGCAGGGCCGTCGATGCGGCCGGTACACTTCGGGGCCGTATGCTGCTTCGTCCTGCAAATGCCGAATGCAACCTCGAATTTGAACCCCAAAACCAGAGCCTCTGAAGCTTGCAGCCTACGCGAGCGGTCGGTGCACGCCCGCCAACTTATGCAGCACGCCGTATGTGCGGTACACTTGGGGGCGGTATGCTGCTTCGTCCTGCAAATGCGAAATGCAACCCCATTTTGGACCCCTGATTCTTGGACATTCCCAGCAGAGGTAGGTGCACGCCCGCCGACTTATGCAGCGCGCCGTATGTGCGGACACTCTGGGGCCTCTGCCGCCTCGTCATGCAACAGAATGTCGCACCCAGGTTGCTGCCCGATATGAGCCCGAAAATGGAAGCCTTTAAGAGTTTGCAAGCGCCAGCGGACGGTGCACGCTTGACGACTTCTGCAGCGCGCGTAGGTGCGATAAACTTTACGAGCAAGGACCAAGATCAAGACTGCTTGTGCAGCTGATTTGAGCAGCTGCCAGACGTGCAGAAATGTCGACATCAAGCCTGCACACTAAAAGATGCTTCGATAAGCCGCAGCTTCGATTTTTCCAAATTCTCTCCTCTAGTCGAAGCTCAACGTTATCTAGCCACGTCAACATGTGTTCTGAAAATCATCAGGAAACACGCGCGCGCACTTCAGCAGAAACGCAAGCGGGAGCAGGGATTCTCTGGGCTACAGTCTTCAGTATTCGTCGGAACTCAATGTTATCTTGCCACGTCATCATATTCGTTGAGATTTATAGGAGAGCGCTGCGGGCACCTTGAGGTCCTCGAGCAGGAACGCGAGCTTGAGGATAGGATTCTATAACTCTGAATTACAGACTCTGAGTTAGAGTCTCCGAATCAGGTCGGAGCTTAACGTTATATTGCCACGTCACCATCTTTTTCAGGGACCTAGAGTCAAAAAAGCGCGCACCTTGCTCGGTCCTCCAGCAGGAACGCGAGCGTGAGTGCACAATGGCGCATCGCGGCCGAGAAGTTGAGCAGCTTCTTGATTGGTCCTACCGCGGGGCCAAGCTCCGAGTTGCGCCGCATGAAGTACAGGTCGGGGGGGCTAGCGTTCTCTAGAACGTGGCTCACAAACGAGGCCCACAAGAGACCCTTGGTGAACATTAGCCTGGAGGAAGAAAGGTTTGATTAAAGTTCGTATTTTGGACTTCGAGTGTCGGGTTTGGGTTTGAGATCTAGACGGCGGGGCCCTGCGCCGCATGAAGTAAAGGTCTGCGGAGCTGGCATTTTGTAAAATGTGCTTCGCGAACGAAGCCCACAGGAGACCCTAGGTGAACATTAGCCTGGAGGAAGAAAGGTTTGTTTAGTGTTCTGGTTTTCGGGTTTCGGGTTTCGGGTTCCGGGTTTGGGATCTAGACGGCGGGGCCCTGCCGCATGAAGTATATGTCTGCGGGGCTGGCGTATTCTAAGATGTGGTTCACGAACGAGGCCCACAGGAGACCCTTGGTGAACATCAGCCTAGAAGACAAGTTTGGGGTATCGGGTTTTGAATCCAACTTCAAGTTGTTTGGGGTTTCGGATGAGCAAGTTTTTGAATTGGAAGGAATGCTTTGTATGAGTTTCTTGGGACGCCCACAGGAGGCCATTGGTAAACATCAGCCCAAGAAAAGGAGGGATGCCGGAGGGTTTGGCATTTGGGGTCCAGGCTTATGGGTTTGGCTTGTGATTCTGAGTTTGGGACTTGAAGCGGAAAGGCTAGAAGATATGCTTTCTCGAGATTGCTGGAGCCCTACATCACGTTTCTGGTGAACGTCAACCTGAGGGCACCGAAAACGAGGTAGCGGTTGGCAGGTTTAGGAAGTGACCTAGGTTACCATAGCCTTCTGGAGTTCAAATGCACCAGCTCGCACCTATCGGTGAAGTCGATCAAAGATACTGAACACAAGGTTGGCGGATTCCTTGACCAAAGTTGTGGCAGTCCAAACAGCTGAACTGCCAGCGACATACAGATCCACACGGGTATCGTTTCTCGGTAAACTTTTCAAATCAGGCACCAAGTCCAAAGGACGTCACCTGATGACGTCATACGCGGCTCACCTTGCTTGCCGGTGGCGCGCCGCCGGGAGCGCGTTGCACGCGTCGAAGTGCAGGTCGGCGACCAGCGGTAGGAAGCTCTCCCCAATGTAGGTCGCCGTCCAGATCCGCAGCCGCCGGACCTCCTCCTTGTACGTCGTCCGAAACGTCCGGTACTTGTCCGAACGGAGCTGCGCGGGGAGGAGCTCCGCCCACAGGCGGTGGAGCGGTTGAGGGGGAGTCGGGGGGGCAACTTCTGCAAGGAACTAGAGAAGGGTCAGAGAGTTGGCGGTAGTGTCCGGCGAGCGTCACGGGAAGGTTCGAAAGTGCGTCCGAAACGTCCGATTTTTGGTCCAGATCGAGCTGTGGAGGGGGAGCTCCGCCCACAGGCGGTAGAGCGTTTGTGGGGGGGTCGGGCGTGGAATTTCTGCAAGACACTAGAAGGGTCAGGGAGTTGGCGAAAGCGTCCGGCGAGCGTCACGGGCAGGTTAAAAATGTCCGAAAGTGCGTCCGGAACGTCCGGTATTTGTCCGACGGAGCTGCGCGGTGGGGAGCTTCGCCCACAGGCGGTGGAGCGTTTGTGGGGGGCTCGGGGGAGCCGGTTCTGTGGGGAACAAAAAAGTCATTGAAAGTAGCGATAGGGTCCGGTGAAAGGCCGACAGAGAAACGTAACAAGGTGTCCGATGTGATTAAAGGTACGTTCGGAAAGGTGAGATTGAGCTGCATCAGCGGAAAGTCCGCCCCCACAAGCGGTGGAGCGCTTGTGGGGGAGTCGGGGGGCCGGCTCCTGCAAGGAACTAGAGAAGGGTCAAAAGCGGCCGGCAGGCGTTACGTAAGTTAGTTTCGAAACGTTTCCGGATTACTTCTAGAAAAGGGAAAGTTGGAGCTGCGGAGGGGGAGCTTCCCCCACAGGCGATGAAGCGTTGTAAGGGGGTCGGGGGGGCGGCATCTGCGAGGAACGAGGAGTCCAAAAAGGGTCCGAAATGTGGCGATGGCGTCTGACAAATGATCAGAAGGGTGTCCGAAAATGTAAGATCCGCTCTCAGAAACGGTATGTTCAGACTCAGCTGCCCGAAGGGGAGCTTCGACCTTATGCGGTGGAGCGATTGTGGGGGTGTCAGCCTAGCGGCGCAGCTTCTGCGAGGAACGAGAAGGGGAAATAACGTGTATTGATCCGACAGGTATCACGAAACCGTCAAAAGCTGGTCCAGAGTGTATTTGAAAGTACATCCGGAAAGGGTACGGTTGAAGCTGCACGACAGGAGCTCTGCTCACAGCCGGTATAGCGTTTGTGAGGGTGTCAGCGGATTGGCCCCTTCAAGAAACGAAAAGAGTGATAAAGTGCGTTGATCCGATAAATGTCCACAAAGAATGTTGAAAGTGGTCCAGAATGTGATCGAAAGGTCTTCCGGAAACGATATGATCGAAGCTCTATGGGGGTGGAGCTCCGCTCACAGGCGGGGACGTTTCTGAGGAGGGGTCAAGGGGCGGCTTCTGAAAGGAACGGGAAAAGCGTCGGGAAAGTGGCAATAGCATACGGCAGGAATTCAGTCAGATGAAAGCGTACTAGAGTAGACTATCCAATTCGGTACCAACCCTTCCGTACTGGGTATGCATATCACAAAGAAACTCCCTTCTCTGTGGAACCACAGCATCTCGGGAGTTGGGATCTGCCTTCGAGAAAACGAGCTTGTCTTCCCAAGCGAGGGAAAAAGAAAGACACCGCAAAGAACAACAGCTCTCTTGGGCAGGCAGTCTTTGTCTCAAACAAGCGCCAGAGTTCCTAGGATCAAACATTATCATCAAGATCCAAGATGGCGATGTAAGTTGAACCACCCTCCATGACGTACCTGGCCCCACAGTTGGCCCCAAAAGGGGGTCGTTGGACTCGGCAACACTTCGGGGCGTGACTAATGTCCCTTCACCGACTCCGCTACTCCCGTCGAAGTCCGCCAGCCAGTCTGTGAAGTCGGGAATCCATAGGTCCGGGCCCGTCAGGAGGTCAGGGCTAGCATCTGCAAACCATAAGGGAAGACGAGCAATGAGTATCTCGTTACTCTCGAGCAAGGATCCAGTCAGATCTCTGTTCCAGGGAGGTCTAGGCAGTCTTGAAGGAGTGGTCCGCTGAGTTCGGGTGATGATGAAGCAAATTTGGTGGACAACAATTTCACTATCATCGGACGAACGGTCTGTTGATGGGACCGAGGAGAGGAATGGGAATTGACAGAGCTGCGCCATTTGAAAGATGCTGAGTCCCCTCTGTGACAGCAGAGTCAGACAATCCTTGTGTATCAAACCTGGGCAAACTCCGAGCATCAATCCGGACATATTATATGTTTTAGGGAATCATTCGAAGGCGCGAAGGCGCAGTGCAAGTTGGCCTTGCAACACAGGCGCCTTTTGGATAGGTGTCATGATCAACCAATAAGATGGACCAGATGGAATCTGTTGCAACCTATGCGGCAATACCCATGAAAGCTACCTATCCTCCTACTGCATAACAACGTCGACGGGAAATAACACACTCACCTCTGGAATAGACCTCAGTGCCAAGCCCCCCAGCACCAAACCCGTCGTTCACCGGCCAATCAAAGCCTGCCACGTCACCCAGGCCCGCTGGCAGCAGACTTCCCCCCAGATCCGTTCCCTCCCCAAGGATTGCTCCGTTCTGCCCCTCCGGACGATATACAGGAAGCCCCTCATCAATCTCCCCCCCAAGAGCTTGAGCCACCCTAAGGGCAGCCTGCTCGATTCTTTTCCCTACGTCCTTTTCCTTACCCTGTTCCACCTTCTCCTTCTCCTTCCCTGTCTCCCTTTCTTTCCCCTTCTCTTTCTCAATTCTGTCGACCACTGGGGCTTGCAAAGCAGTTGTCTCAGCTTCGAGGGATCCCCTAGATTCAGGCAGTTTGTCGGAGGGGGTTTCTTCAGCCTGCACAGCTACCCCCCCATTTTGGGCATCTGACCGCGAAGACCCTGAGGACGTGAGCGTGTGTACCCTGACGACCTGGCAGGGTTTTGGGGTTGAGGGGAGCTTTCTCCAGGCAGGTTTGCAGATTCTGGCGCGCTTTGCTGGGGCCCTTTCAGCGGATTCTCTGATGCGAGGCGGCTGATCGTCTTTGTCATAAACCCATCGTTTCCCCCCTCAATTGCCACCGCCTGCCGCTTTGCTTCGGGCCGTCGAAACAGGTTCCGGATGATGCTGGCCGCCTGCGTCTTCACCGTCCACTTTCCCCCCGCGCCTAGATCCATTTCTGCCGCCGTTGGCTTCTCCTTTGGCTCCTTTAGGGGCCACACAAACCCCCAGCTCTGGGTGTACATTGTCTGAATCTGGTCTAGTGACAAATCCTCTGTTATCAACTCGGATGCAGCAGGGACTGACGGGGAAGCTAGCAACTGCTCGCCATAAGTTGACACCGGCCTGGGCCCCCGCCTGCGCCGGACTCCCGTGTCTAGGGGCGAGTGTCAAGCCCTCCTGCAGTTGGAGCCCAGCCAGGAGCTCAGCATTATCTGTGCTATTAGCGATGACAGACTCCTGCCGATTCACGTTTGTTTTGGGGGGGGTCCAGGTCCCCACCTTGGGGGGCAGGTCCGCCAGCAATTGCTCCCCCCAGGCAAACTGGTTGCATCCCTCTGCATCGAAGCTCATGGGGCGATCGCGCTTTCTGAGACTGGAGACGTCTTCCAATCTCCTGGTCCAGTCAAGCTGGTCCAAACCCTGTGGAGCAGGGGGATGGCCAGTGGCCCAAGCGTGCGCAGCATTCTGAAGGTCAGACATGTTGGCTTTGCAAGACCTCAAAAATGGCGAGGGGGTGCTCAGGAGAGCTTTACAGTACTCTTGTTCTTAGGTAGACTAGAGTGCCTAGGAAGGCTGGGTTTGGGACTTGGTCTCAAGCAGAAGGGAATGCTGTCACCGAAGCTGCAGACCTTGGTGTTGATCACCAATCGCACAGAAGATGAGCTCATGTAGTGACTATTTAAGCACTGGCTTTGATTGCAGAGTTAGAGCGATCATTTCCTGGGGACCTGAACGTTAGAGAACTGGACCTTGGAGCTCCTTGAGAATGCTCCATGAAATAACTACTTCATACTTTCTGAAACGCAACCAACAGATGCTGTGTCCCCAGCAAAATCCCCATAGACACACACTGAGAGATCCTGACTAGAACATACGAAAGAATGACGACCACCAGACGCCATTGCTGAGCAATACGGAGCCCTCGGCACCAGTGCAAATTGTGGGGCTACCAAGCAAGGTCACGCAAGACCCTGATCCGAAAACCCTAAACTTAACTTGCCATCAAGGCTTACGCAAGTATGAGAAACTACCTTCGAACCCCAAAACCGGTAGTACAGATGTTAGACGTGACCTAGTTACAAACCCTTAAGGTTTAGTCTGGGTTTAGTAGAGATCTGCTAGCTCAACAGAAATTTTGAAGCTACCTCGGCCTTTTTTGCAGCCGTCACAGGTGCCAGAAGGGCTTTGATTTCAGGTCATCTGCATTTCTTTTCTTGCTGATTCCTGCCCATGACAAGGTCAAAGCCGATGCCAGCAACCACCGTAGGCACTCCCCAGACCCTGAAAGCACGCAAGGCAGCGGCGGCGCAGCGAGATCCGGGTGATCAGCAAGCAACCCTTGTCTCCGATGCAAAAGAAACCTCCCCAAACCACTTCTCAAGACGGTGCATCTACGTTTTTCTCAGCATTTTTGCCCCCTTGCTACTTGCTTTGATGGCAGCCACTGCATGCGCGTGCCTCGCCACTCCTTCCATCAGGGCCAACTTGTGCGGGGGGGCATTCTTGCAGGCGTCCACTACCCCCCCTTTCTGGAGGGGCCCTGCCAATCCCTCCTCCAAGAGCTGGAACATTTCGCTCAACTGGCGGCTCTTCCAGAACCTCCTTTCCCCACCTAACTTGAAAGATCAGCGAGCTAGCGTAAACTCCAGGAGCCCCATCATGGCTTCCTCACAGCCGGCAGCCGGAGCGACGTCAGCAGCAGTCAGTGGTGCAACGAGGCGTGGATTTTTCGCAGACGTCAGCAATCTTATTGAGGAGAACCCAAGCAAGCTGCATTACGGCGTTGCGGCGGTAAATTTTGATGGGGATGGGCAAGACGAGCTGTTTGTGTGCGGGTTTGGGGGGGCCGAGAATCAGCTTCTCAAGGCAAGGGTCTTTTCCTGTTTTCTCTCTGTGTTCATGTTGATCCTCTCATTTGCTTGCAGACGAGCCCACGCCACAGTTCCTTGAAGCAACACATCTTTGCCTGGAGTGAGATTCTGATAGTATCACTGGCTCCACTTTGGCATGAGGCCATCATTCTATTTGGCTATTCTCGTATTAGATCTTTCAGCAAGGACAGGTGCCTGCCTGATCCATCTGATGAGGTGTGGTGCTGCATGATTATCAACGAAGCACACTGTCAACTCTGGTAGTGTCAACACTTGACTAGCAACCATTGATTGCCATCTCTTGACACTTTCATTGAATCGCACGGCAGGTTTTACGCTTCACCAGAACATGTTTGTTTCAAAGTAGACGTCAAATGTGACACGGAGTTGAGGACTCCCCTCCGATCATCTCGAGACCAGACATGCCTTCGGCCACTGCCAGTGAACCACTCACGTGTCTCCTTCACGCTGTGCCATTCATCTTTCGTTTCTTGCTTTGTTTTCTTTCTTGTCATTGGTAGATTCAAAAGCATCCAAAAGCTCGTCCAGGTAAATTCTTCACCAACACGTGAAGGGGACGTTGTTGAGGCTGTCTTCAGGCATTTCCATTCTCAGATTGCTATATTCAACTTGCACAATCTCCACTCTCAACAGTGGCGGGACGGAAAGCTCGTGAATGTTGCTCGAGGGACCCCCCTCGCGGACCCCGAGAGGCAGGCCATCGGTGTGGCGGCCGGTGACTTTGACGGGGACGGCCAGGAAGAGGTCTACGTGCTTAACACCGACACATTTGGGGGGCGGAAGAAGCTTACCGACCGGCTCTTCAGCAGGTGCGATCCTGCTTGAATAAAGTGAATTGGATTGGGAAATCTTTTCTGATTTTCCTTACTGTTAGTTGACAAGTGACTTTGAATGGTCAGCTCGTTGACAGTTTCACTCTTCAACACTTCCTTTAGACGTCGCGTGTGTTCGTTACACTGAAGGATGATGTTGGTTGCTCATTCTGAGGGATGACGTGATCTGCTCAGTACTGGTTGGAGACCCCCTTCAAGCCGGCCCGTTCTTCTTTTCCGTCCACGCCTTGTTCTTGTGTGGGGCAATAACTCAGCCAACTGGTCAGGGGCACGCTTCAAAAGGCACTCACGTTCAGCCAACAGCATCTGACGAAGCAGGTCAAAACGGAGCGGAAAGCAACAAGAAGCGATCGTTTTACGCGGCTGCAGGGATGCGTCAGGGGAGGTGACCGACCTCTTTTCCATTCCTCGCAACATGGACGAAGCGAACATGGTGGCGGGCCGCTCGGTTGCGGCAGTGGACCGTAAAGGGTCGGGCAAGTACGGTTTCTTTGTGGCCAACTACGGGGGAATCATGAAGGTGAGGAGTACGCATAGTGTTGCTGTAAGTTTTGGGAGATGCGGTCTGTCCGAGCCGGATAGAATGTTTTCTGCTGGAACATCTGGCAATGAACATCCCCAGATTGCGAGCCAAACAGATTAGAGTAGATTTACGTACTTGAGTAGGTACCATGCTTCGGAACAGGCTTTACAGAATGAACTGTGCATGTAGGGAGGTGAGGGGTCGAAACAAGCTTTCCAGAGGTTCATTGTAGACCAGGCGCGTGCGGCGGGTCTCAGATGTTCCCGACTGGCGCGTTTAACCATTTTCCGGCGCCTTCTCGAGGCTCTCCCTTTCTCTGCTGTCGGGTGTATCTCCTCTTGACTTTCCTCCTCCTTTTTCATCACTTACAATCTCTTTCTCCCCTGTTGCAGTTGTTCGAAGCATCGTCCGACGATTTTGTGGTAGACCAAGTTCACGCGGCCGTCCTTCAGATTCATCCGACTGGCGGCCCGTAACTAGTTTCCCGACGCCTTTCCGAGGCTTTATTATCGCTCTTGTCCTTCTTTGAACTTCCTGCAATCACTTTTATCACTTATTCACAGATCACTTTATTTCCTGCAGCTGTTCGAAGCCTCGGCCGACGGCTTCGTAGTAGACCAGGCCCGTGCGGCCGGCCTCCAGATGTACCCGACTGGCGGCCGCGCGCTCGTGTCCGCCCCCATAGTCAGTCACAGCGCGATGGACATCTTCGCTGGAAACGAGGGTGGGCCCAACTTTCTGTTCGTCAACCACAACGGAGTCTACAGCGAGGCCGCGGGAGCTTACGGGTAAGAACATGCATCAGAGCTTGAAGTGCGCAGACTAGGGTTCTGCAAGTAGATGCTTCGAAAAGAATTGAAGGCGGCCCCATTCTCGTGTTCGTCAAGTACAACGGAATGTAGAGCAACGCTATGGCAGCTTCCCGGTAAGAGCAGGTTCTCGAATTCCAGACTCAAAACACTCGACACATGCAAATCCGTGCAACCACAAGCGTTTGAGCGAGGCCGGTTGCGACTTCTGATTTGCGACCTGGAAAATCAGGTCGTTAACGAGGCGGCTTCTCCTTTCGGATATGTGCGACTTTCACCTTCTGCCTTCCTGTCCATCAAGATTGGCACGAATTTACGAAAAGGCGAGTCGCACCTTTTACTTCGCTTGAATTCATGTAGCATTCGTTGCCTACAGGAGTAAGGAGCAGGATCACTCCCAACTTCTCTGAATCCTCAGGATCTTCTCTTTGCTTTGCACCGGTCTGCTCATCGTCATGTGTACATCATAATCTGCGGTCCTGATCTGAATATAGCTGTCGAAGATGTTGCTCCCGCTTCACATTGATTTACCAGCACTGATTGTAGCCTGCATCACGCTTCATCTCCACCAGTTATTTTCTGTGAGCGAGAATGTGAAACCCTCTTCCATACTCCCATCAGTTTGATGGATACCGAAGAAAACTGCCGCGGCGTTGCGCTTCTCGTCGTCAACGGAACCGGCCAGCTCGGCATTGCGACCGGCAACTGGCAAGGACCCCATCGATTCGTTTTTTGAGAACGGTAAGACGAAGTCTGCCTTTTTCCAATGAGAACAGTGACACAGATTCTGCATTTTTCCAGGTTGATGGATACGGAAGAAAACTGCCGCGGCGTCGCGCTTCTCGACGTAGACGGAACCGGCCAGCTAGGCATTGCCACCGGCAACTGGCAAGGCCCGCACCGACTTTTCTCTCGGGACGGCGGAGGCCCTGTTGGGGGCGCCGCCTCACTGGGTTATACTGACGGGGAGGCCGGCGGTTTCAAAGACAGGGCCCCGGAGGCAATGGCCCGGCCGTCTGCGATTCGGACGGTCATTGCGGCGGATTTTGATAACGATGGGTACGAGGAGCTGTTCTTCAATAACATTGGGAGCGCTAACCGCCTGTTCCGGCAGGTGAGCAGATGGAAAAATTCTAGTGGACACCCGATTCCGTACTGGGGAGAGGGTTAACGTAGAAAGGTTTCAAGTTAACGAGATGACTTAGGGCTCCATCCGCGTTTACACGTAATCGGAGTCGCAGAAAAACCTGCTACAAGGACGAAGGTTCACATGCAAGAAGGACAAAATTTTGAGTCCCTTACTTTCCTAATCGAGTCTCCGGAAAAGTGGAGCACTAAAGTCCTTCCTTTCCTCCCCATGCTGCTCGATTCAATATCCCCAACTAGGTACGGTTCGATCTTCCCAAAATACTACCTAGCTGACAAGATACGGTTCGATCTTCCCAAAATTGTATTTAATAGCACAATTCCTACCCCTCCTCCGGGCGGCTTATTGAGGCGCTCGAAGATCAGGCTCCGATCCTAGGCTTCCCCCGATTCTCTGCAGAAAATCTGACTCGCAACCAATCCTCATTTAACATGAAACCTCAGAATGGGGTTCATTTTAGGATGCCTCGAACGCCTCATCTCCTTTGATCCCCAGTGATGAGTTGCCAGTCAGTCTGAACTTTCTGAACTGTCCAGGATGGACCCGGCAATTGGGTCTCGGTTGATCTGGGCGACGCCGAGGAGCCGGGGGGCCTCGGCACGGGGGCAGCTGTAGCGGACATTGACGGCGATGGGCGGCTGGAGTTGCTAGTGTGAGTTGACACTAAACTTTTGCCGACACCAAGGAAGATAGCGAAATACACCGTGTGTCAAATGAAGGGTGGCGGACGTCGAAGGTGATGGGCTCCTGGAGTTGCTAGTGTGAGTTGCCCCACGCCCGAGGAACATGGCGAGAGAGACCTTTGTGTGGAAACAAGAAGTTGCTTTGAAAGTATCTTCAAGTCCGTCGCTGTTTTTGTACTGTCTCTTGTGTCTGCCCCTCCTCTACGCCCCGAGATGCTAGAATCTTTCACTTTGACGTCCTCTTTCTCCTCTTCCAATCGTACCATTGGTACACAGCAGCTTTTTGAGACATTTGATCCAACCAGAATGTTGGCAAAGTGGGCGTTCGCAGAGCAGCAGCGAACGCTGTCACGGTTGCCGCGATATCAGATGACTCAACACTCGAAAAGGGCGACCTTGAAGCGATCGGCCTGCTTCTCGGTCGCCGAAACTGGGACCGATTCCTCTGACGAGACGCTACCTCCAGCGGGTTTGGAACCCTTTGGAATTCGAGCAGACGATGACGTAAGCTGACGCGGGGCTGCCTTGCAGGTCGCACGGCGAGTTGCGGCCGCAGCCCCTGAGCCTCTTCCGGTCGCCTGAAAACGACAACGCGTGGTTGCGCGTGCGGCCGCTCACTAAACAGGTGCGATTTCAGGAACTCTTGCCTTTTCTCCCTTTTTCCTTAGTCAAAGATTTGCCTGACTATTCCGGAAGCCTGAGCTTTGAGACAACGCTGGGAGCCGCAACTCCTGAGCCTCTTCCGGTCGCCCGAAAACGGCAATGCGTGGTTGCGGGTGCGGCCACTCACTAAACAGGTGCATTTTGAGGAATTCTGGACTCCAAATCATGGCAGCCTATGACTGAAAAGCTTGGAGCCTGAGAGTCAGGAAAAAGCGGCAAGCCGGCCACACCCAAATTTCTTCTGGTTACTTTCACACCCGCAGTCCTTCTGGCCGTTCGGTTCACACTTTGACCCGGTACTGTATGTCGTCTCAAGTGGATCCATCCGACAAGAGCTTGAGTGGAGGCACAGGACAGAGAATCTGAAGTCGGCTGAAAAGACAAGACGATCGAAACCTTTGTCAAGGACACAAACCATCGAGAATATACCTGGTTAGTGAAGCAAATGAGAAATCGATCGGAGACGATGTGTCGAATGTAGCCGTTGTCTCCTTTTGAATCTCGAGTCTTCACAAATCGCCCCTGTCGGCTAATTCAGCTCGCGCACAAGATAATTCGACGGCATCTAGCGCACTACCGCATGGATTACTCATTCCCCGAGAATAAGTAAGCTGGCTAATGAAAAAGACCTCGAACTCTGCTTGACAGGCAAAGTCTTGACTGTAGCCGTTGTGTCTCTTCATTTTGCTAGTCTTCTCAAATGACCCCTTTTGGATGATAAAGCTTGCGCACAAGGTAATGTGACGGCATCTAACGTACAGCCAAACGGGCCACTCGTTCGCCTAGTAGAATCTCAACCGGGTGCTTCTCGCAGGGCGCTCCTGCCCGGGGCGCCACGCGTCCAGTACCGTAGATACCTCCAGAGATCGTTATCGGACGCCTGTGAGCTAACGGCTCGTTCAACTTTTCTAATCTGGTTTTCCCACAGGGTGCTCCTGCCCGGGGCGGAATGGTCACGCATCTTCCACCGTAGAAACCTCTGGAGGTCTTTATTGGACGCTTGGGAACCATCCGCCTGGCCAGCTAACGGCTTGTATCAACTGTTTTGATTTGATTTTCCCACAGGGCGCTCCTGCTCGGGCCGCCACGGTCACGCATCTTCCACCGTAGAAACCTCTCGAGATCTTTATCGGACGCCTGGGAACCGTCGGCCTGGCCAGCTAAGAGCTCGTATTAACTTTTCTAATTTGAATTCTTCGCAGGGCGCTCCTGCCCGGGGCGCCACGGTCACGCTCACCGACTCCAACGGCCGGGTGCAAGTCCGGGCGATCGATGCCGGAAGCGGGTACTTGTGCCAAATGGAGGTGAGAATCCAAGATAAATCCACCTGTCCACCCCGAATTGCTTGCGTTTCTGCGGTATTCATCTAAGCCTGGGTTGGATGTTTGGGAGATATGCCCAAAGCAAGCGAAAGAGACTACCTCAGTGTGCACACACGCGCATGCGTTTCGTCCGTATATAAACGCGGCCTGGATTGTACGGCGTAGGTGCTGAGGCTGCAGGAGTCTGCGGAATCGCTTGCCAGGTTCTACGAATGTTCCGAATATAGTGCTAGCTGGAGGCTTCCCTTTTAACATGTCAATTCCAACTTCACCTCCTAGAGACCTGATCAAACATATTCGTGGACTCCAAGCAAGCTTGGTCCAAAGAATCACATCCGAGGGTCGTGAATGCTTCTCGTGTAAACGCTCGTTCTGTGCTTATGCTTTCATGCGGATCCCTTTGGTTTGCCTTCATGTTGGCCCCCTATCTTATCACATCGCCACCGCTTGTACCCATCAACTCGCCCTGAATTTCCTTCAAAAGTTGCCTTTGATCGAGGAGTCTCATTAGCGCACGGTCCATTTCGTCTGTCGCAAGAGTAAACCTCAGCAGCTGCAGGCTAGGAGCTCAACCCCCCTTGGGCGGGGGGGTGATTAGTACCACTTGCAACTCGCTGATTGCCTTGACTAACTCACAACAATCCTGCGTCATACTTGCAGCCAGTGGCCCATTTCGGCTTAGGCGCTCTAAAGGCTGCCGTCGACATACAAGTGCGGTGGCCCGACGGTTCCACGGTGCAGCTAGACGGTGTCGACCCCTGTCAAGTAATCAAGGTTCCCCACGTTTGAGAATAAGTCCTTGAACACCATTTTCGATTCAGTAGTCGAGTTGCGGGGCTGCGAGCGAAGCCCAGGTCGTGCGCATAATCGGAATTTAGAGCTCTCTCATGGAGAGCATATTGTCGGGCCACATTGGGCCGGGGCCATTGGGTTGACGAGTTGTTTAAAGATGGAGTCACACCAGGTTCGACTAATCTCTGTTACGATCGGCCAATGCGTCAGACTAATCGAGCGGTGTCACATGTATTGCACGCATGCACATGCAAGATATGACTCGATTTGGCCGGGCACTGGCCGCCCCAACATGCGTTTTCGTATATTTCGCGGTGCGCTCAGTTCCATGCATTCACAATACGAATCAACGATCATCTGCATCAATTAGTTCTCATTTCAATCTCTTCAGACTGTCTTTGATTAGTACAGGGCGGCCCGGGCCTGCGTGGCCATTTGATAATCAGTCTGAGCGGGCGCCGCCCATGCCAGTGCAGTGAGTACGGGCGGCCCAGACTGACATTATGACCTGTGCAACAAATACACGTACAATTGGCAACTTCTTGATGCAGTCCGTCGATCAATCATATTGTCGTCGTCTTGTACTAAGCTAGCTATCATTGTTTCAATGAGCTTGGCCAGATTGACAAAACATGCGCTGCATGCAAAGTAAGGTTGATACAAGCATTTCTTGCTTATCGAAACGAACGTACCAATTAAGTCCGGCCCGGATCCGCGGCGCGAGGCTTGGACGCACCGCACCGCGTAGACGTTGAAAGTGCATGTCCGATCAACACCATATCGTCGTTTTGACAATGTTAGGTACGTGGCGTGTTTGAACTTTTGTTTCGTCATCGTGAGCTCCCAATTAAACAAAACAATTCAATATTATGGGTGGGGTAGAAATTAAACTAATAGCAGGCAAACTAGTCAGCTGGGTCTATTTCCAAAATAGATGATTGACGATCGAGCGGAATAGCGACCTCTGAGTTTGTGCGAGCCAAAAACACAGTAAGCATCCGCGCAAAGCCGAGTTAGTCTCTGTTCACATTGTAGCGTCTATCGAAGAGCGGCTGAAAAAGCTCAGAGTAGGTCAAAACTTCAATCACGTTAGTCCTGCTCATCAGCGAGTATCACTACATCCACCACCATCTCACATATAGATACACTCAACAAGTATCAGTTAGATAGTAACGTTATCAGTGGCCCTGCTTAGGTTAATTTCGATATAGACTTATTGACCATTCATCTGGGCCTTACAAATCAAACAGCGCGCACTCTACAAGACATTCTCAAAGACTCTGCCCGGGTCGAAAAGGACCGCGTCTTGGTAGTCCGGGAACCACAGCGCTCCGGGGCCGCTCTCGCACACCACTATATCTCCCTCCGCGTAGCTCGCGGATGACGGGCAGCGCAAAACCCGGAAGACTACCCGGCCCCCCGAAACGCCCACGACTTCAATCTTGCCCTGCTCGGTGGACATCACGAACCGGGCGTGTTTCTCTATCCCCGACAGCCCTTTCTGCGACTCGGTGAACACACCCCAAGCGGTTTCTACGGGCAGCGCAAAGGTGTGCTTGCCCGGAATGTCCCGGCACTGGAAGATGTAATGGTTGCCCAGTCCCCCGGCGAAGAGTTCCCGCTGGAGCGTCCGAAGAACGTCGGGACAGTCGTTGACCGTCCGAATGATGGGCGTCTGGTTCTCGACGCTGACGAAGGCGCGCCGCGCGAGCAGCGCGCGCACGGGCGCCAACACGGAGGGCAACCACTTGTACCCGGAAGCCGGAACGGCGGAACCGGAACGGACGTCGAAGACCGCGGAACTGGAAGCCGGTACCGCGGATTCGGAACGGACGAACTCCCTTGCGGGGTCGGTCTCCAGGACCTCCGCCGGGTGCGTGAATTGGGTCATGAAGACGATCCTTACCCCCGGGTTAGCGGCGTGAAACCCGTCCAGCATTTCGAAGAAGTTGGCGTCGAAGCGCATCGGGAAGAAGGCGAGCTCTTTCGTTCCGATGCGGATGGTCGTGATTCCGGCGTCGGCTAAGCGGAAGAGGAACCGCGCGAGGCGCTTGTTGGTCAAGAGCATGGGGTCGCCGCCCGAGAGCAGCGCCTCGCGGATGCGCGGCCGCGCCAAGGTTGAAGTTGACGATGTAGTCGACAACGGGGTCGATCTGCGCGAGCGTCTGTAAAGCACAAGGGAAGCTCAGTCGGCTGCAATATAGATGGCGAAAAAGGTGCGTTTGGTTCTCAAGAACGCGAACGGATTATCTATCTTAATGGTTTACGAAAAGAATTTCGGAAGGTGAGGAATGAACCCTGTTATTGAGGCTGTTTCAAATTTGACATTTTGAGAGAGGATGCAACGAAAAATAGAACTTGCTAAAGAACACATGGAAACAAGAGACCAAACACGCAAACCTGTGAGGGGACGTCATTATTTCAGCCAAGCAAGACAACAGATTGACAAATACTCAATCCCGTTACTGGGATGGGTTATCTGAAGTGGCAGTGACAAATTTAGCGCCGGCCCGAACACTTCAGCAATTCGGAGGACGCCTCGAGTCAGCCGAAGCAAGCAGGCGGCAAGCTTTGAAACTGGGTCGCTTCACGCCTCAGAGAGGATAGAGGAAGAGACTCACGACCGTTTTTTCTCTCTTCTCGAATTCGAGAGAAAGCTCTAGAGGAACAGGCGGCATGCGAAAGCCACATGATCCAAACGCCTAGACTGAGTTGGACACTGAAACTCTGCAAATCGAGTCCTGAGACTCTTGTTTGAACTATGCAAGGTTGCAGCCAATGACATCGTTCCGAACCTTTCCCGTCGTTCCGTTGAAGAGGTCGAGGTGGTAGCAGTAGCGGCAGTGGGCGGAGCACGTGCCCGAGGCGTAGAGGAGCACCATCTCGTATTTGTGGAGGAGGCCAGGGACCGGAGAGTATCTGGCGGGAACGGAACGAGAAGTTTTGAGCGGAACCGGAACAAACGTTAAGAAGCAAAAACGGAACGGAGACTATGTCGCGCACGAACGATATAGATGTAGCGCAACAGGAACAAGAAGTATCTCGGGGAAATGGAAAGAAGATTGTGCAGGGGAAACGGAACGAGATTCTGCCGTCGAAAACTGGATATGGAAACCGATGAGGAGCGTTTGAGAAATTCTATAGGGGCTAATCAGCGAAGGCAAGAGGACTCTCGTTGTCGCCGAAACGCTGGAAGCAGACAGCGAGAGAATTCATTTGGCAAAATCAGGGTTGCGACGCTGTGTCTGGTGGCCGTAGCAGGATGTGAGACTGACTCAAGCCAAATTGGTTGAAAAGGAAACATAGTCATGAGTTCGGATTTTGCGGCAGGCAACAAAGCTCATTCATGGATACAGGATCAAAGTTGCGGTGTATGAACCACGTGAGACTCTGCGTCCCGTGAACTTGTCAAGAGTTACTGAATGCGACAAAGTACGAACCTCGATGAAGCGGACGGTTAACGAATTGATCGAGTGACTTAGTGTCCCTCACCTGTCTAGTTCCTCGCCCATGCTCGTTGAGGATTTATACGAGAAGTATCTCTGCTTATAATGCACCGTCAAACCTCAGTTGTCAAGCTCAAGAAAGTCGACCAAAACGACCGCTGATATTGGAGAGCTGTCAAGGCCATGTGCCATCTGGTACCAAGCTCAACTTGTCAACCGTCAAGCCACGGACCTGTTCTGGTTCGAAGGATCCGCTTCTCCTGAGCTGAGGTCGTCTGTCTCCTCGGGGCGGGCCTTGACCAGGTTCATAAGGGCTTCACTCCGCTTGGCCAGCTTTAGATAGTGCTCAGAGATGCGCACCTGCACACGAGACGGGAAGCAAGGGTCAGATGAAGAATGCTCGAACCGTGAAAACTCTTGTCTGCAGTGATTATCGTCAGGAAATGTCACAACCCTTTTGTGCACGGGAGTCGCTATGATTGATCATCAACGGTCTTCAGAAAGTCCGATCTTGTCCACGGGTGGTTTCCATCTGTTTGCATGCGCAGCATAAACTATTCAATACGTTATTATTGCACATAGTGAAGTGACGCATTTGATAGTTATCAATTTCATGCAAAGCATATATGAGGGTGGCGTAACTTGTTGCCGTCAGTCTGATGCTGATGGTCAATATCAGTTGATCAGATTCCAAAAATATCCTGATACCAAAAGCCGAGACCTTTGACGTCCTCAAAAATCTGCAGGTGGCTTAGGCTTTGTTGCACAGATCCTGCTCTTTTCTGCACATATATACAGTATCCGACTTGTGTGTTTTTAAACCATCTCCACTTTGTGTATCCAATTTTTGTTTTTGGGAAGTATTAAGGACGAACAAAACCAAGGAAAGTGTTTAGATTTGCATGGATTGATCGTTCTGATTTGTGTCCGGCAGCATGGATCTGACCAGGTTCTAAACCTACTTGAACATGACGACTGAAGATAGGTATTCATAACCTTTGCCTGTTGATGCATATCCTCTCTTTCCTTGGCCTGATCTCTTCTTTCAGATCACACTAGTGTGCCTGGCTAGCAGAGATCAGGGGTATATGAAAATGTATCAGAGAACCTCTGCAACTCCTTGCCTTTGATGCCAATTGCCTGTGAGTATTTTGTCAAGGCCCCCTTGCAGCTACTGCATGGTCATGACCAAGTCTCTAACAAATGGAAGAAACCTGGTTTACCACAGAGAGTACAGACTTCTCAGAGATCCGAAGAAGAAAGGGGACCCCCTGACTCTTCCTTCTTTCACAAACATGTTTTCACCTTCATGCGCTTCTCAACATCGTGGGGGCTTCCCTGCAGTGCCGCCAGTGCTGCTAACTCCTCCTCAGAGTACACTTCCTTGAATGCATCTGGAACCTTCCCCTCAAAAAAGGGCTTGAGCCCCACGATCCCAGCCCCATTCAAACCTCCCCGATCAAAGCAGGACTCTTTGATTGCTGCCAGTCTGGGGTCATCTTGCGGGGGCAATGCTTTGGCATCTGTGCCCCTAAACAGCCTCTCTAGATCTAGAGGTGAGCTTGTCAGTTCCGCTTCAGGTGCTGCATCTAGTGTCAGTGTGCTTTGAGCTTCTGAGCTCCTCTCCCCGGCAGCCTGACACCGCGCTGATCTGTCTGGAGAGCGCCTTCTGAAGGGCACAGAACTGAGATTGCCTTTACTGGTGGTACTGGTAGGCGTGGTGGTGTTGCCACCAGAGTGCCGCAGCCTGAAGTTATCCAGATTGCCGCGGGAGAGTGGAATCGTCACACCCAACCTGCATTTTCCTGATGGCAAAGTACGCCCTGTATCAATGGAAGCGGCTGCTTGCAGGGAGCTCGACAGCAAACCAGGCCACTGCACAGCGGTGCAAGCCATTTTGTCTGTAGCTCGTCCGATCCAGCCGCTGTCGATGTTGATCTTTGTGAGAGCCTGTTCATGAATGGAACTGAGTCACTTCTGGAGCAACAATCTACGTAGACTCTGACAAGAGATTCCCGAGAATTGTGTGGCTCGGATGAGAGAGCCCTACTACCTAACGCCGAACGCAGCAGCAACATGCTTCGAGTCCCTCCTTTCATTGCGACTCGGAGGCTAAGATTGTCGACCGTTTACCTACTTCTTGCGCCTGGCATTTACAATGCAAGACCAGACATCTGCTGAGTGCTCCTTACCACCTGCCGACATTTGGAAAGCAGGGATGCTAGCGCAAAAGATTCCGACGGACTCGAGCAGCGGTAGACCAATGATGCCGCATAATAGGCCCCGGAACATGGAATATCGGAATACGGAATACCCATTTTTGGAAGCGGAAGAATCCGGAATACCCAGATTTGGGCCTTGGAATACTAGAATACAGAATACAGGGCTTTTCCGAGCACATACATGTTGTTGGACACAACATGTGGCCAACAACGGCAAAATACTTGACTTCGAAGTAAGAAGACTTTCAAAAGCATGCTTCGAACGGAAGAAGATTGTAAAAAAACTCACACGACAAGCGCACTCCTTACGTACCTTTCAAAATGTCAAAAGTCAAATTTGCGAAACGGAATACAGAATACTTGAGCACCCTGGAATACGGAATACTGCCTTTTTGAAACCTTGGAATACAGAATACTGGGGTTCAAGTATTCCATGTTCCGGGGCCGAGCATAAGCGCAATCTGCTTATATGTACGTTCCTTTTCATGATGACACTGAATGATTGGAGTGCTAATTATTTGGCTGGTACACATGGGCACATTTTTGTCGGCACAGGCTTCTGAGCCGTCGATTGACCAGAGCGCAACCACAAACCCTAAAAGTTCTATCCTGAACGAGGCCTTGTGGGTCGGATGTACACATATGTGCAACCGCGGCCACCTGGTCTTTTGCCCCGCTAAGAAAGCTGACATGGTGGTATTAGGGAACGGCGCAAGGCCTCGACAGGATGCAGATCTAAAGTGCTCCAACACTGTAACGATCTTGACGCGACTGAATGCTTAGCTAGATTTACATGCCCGTAGCGGGACTCCCAAGCAAATACAGTGTCAACGAAGCTACGTCAAGTGCAGCCACAATTCCGACTTTCTTGAAGTGCTCGTGAGGCTTGAGCCTTTCTGTCAGACGGTTGCATGATCAGAGTCAGAGTCGGAGGTTGTCAGAGTTTCAAGTGCACACCTGGTGCGAGTTGTATCGCGTCAAGCAATATTTCAGCAGCGTGAGTTACTTGGTGCTTGTACTGACTTGCATAGCGCGGGCAGCGTTAAGTTCAGCAACGAGCACTCAGCACAGCATATGATTCAGGCGGAACAGAATCTGATAACGGATTCTGACAGCTGCAATCCTCTGATCTTTTGGTTGGAGAAACTCTTCTTGAGGCTCTGCAGCTGCCAGTCCTTCCCTCGATTGCTTTCCTAAGCTCAACCAAGTGGACTTCATGTTTTTGTAGAACGGCCCAATCCGTTCATTGAGATCAGGGACGCCGCCTTCCTTCGCGCCAAAGCATGGTCTTCTGGAAGTCTGGGGCAAAAGATGGCCCCCTCACGCCGAGTTCCGCAGTTGAACATCGCAGGCATTGGGTCGCCAAGAGAAGCACCCCTTGAGAAATCTGAGGAAACCCTAGTCCCAATCAGGAACCCTATTTCTGATGTGGTCTCTCCTCAGCCTGCCACAGGATCTCACAACGAAAGCCATGCATTCTCCTCTGAGCAGCCAGTTGGGGTTGCTGCACAGCATGCGGGCTCGGTTATACATAAGAGCTCGCACGAGTGGAAGCTCCTCTCGCCACGCAGCCTCGCAGCTCTCCAATTCACGAACGAGTTGGACAACATCCTCTCCAAGACTAACCTCAAGTCGGCGCCAAATTCGCCCCGGCAGGGGGGTGCGAATGGACCCGTGGGGAGACCCCATCCGGGCACCATACTGCGCAGCAAGAGCCAAATCATGGGCACGAACGCAGGCAGCGTTCCAACCCTCCTGGTCAACCAAATGCTTGTTGGGGGTTCCAAAGATAAGGAGAGCCAGTCTGCTGCGCCGAGTCCCAGGTTATCCAAACCGAGTTTCGCGCAGACCCCTCCGCACTCTCCAGGGGGTTTGTTCATCGAGCAATTGGGAGGGAGTCAATTCCAGCAAGCCAGGTTGGGGGCGCCAGAGATCAGCCGGTTTGGGGCCGAGAGGTGGTTAGGCACTAACCCTGGTACTGACCAGCCCACTCCAGTCCCGGGGGAGTCAGCCCAGGCGGAGCCGATTATGCGGAACAAGGACATGGTTAAGAGGCTGCAGCTGGAGAAAGGAAGCGGCGCGCCACGGAAGCGAAGCAGCAACGAGGGGAAGCTGCAAAATAGGCCGCCCGACAGAGCGTCAGGGGTTTGGAGGCTTGAGGATGCTGCCCCTCAGGAAAGCGCCAGCTTAGACGGCCTGGTGTCAAACTCCCTAGAGCTCGTGAAGAAGGAGAATGGCTTGGGGGCTTTGACACCAGGGAACGGGGTTGCGGAGGAGAGGAAAGTCAAGCGGGGGCCAATTCGAATCAGGGCGGTTAAGCTGCCAGAACAGAGGATTGTTGAGCAGGCGTCGTTAGGAGAGAGGGGAAAGGGGAGCCCAAGGGGGGACAGTATTGGGGGGCAGCTCAAACTGGAAATTGCTCCGGTAGAGACCCCCATCGAAGGTGAGGCTCGCCGAGGTGAAGGATTTCGTACACAAGCGCGTTTTTTACAAACCCGTAATGTTGAGGTCCGAGGTCACCGCAAAGGTTCTTCCTGAGGCCGTTTCTTGCACGCCCGGGCTGGGATCCATGTCGGCAGATGCTTTTGAGCAAGAAGCTAGGCGTTTGTTGAGATGCATGCACTTCTGACATTGGCAACTTGACTTTCTGAGTTTGTTCCGCCCTCAAAAAACAGCTTCGAAGCTTTTCAGAATTCATCAGCTGAGACAGTCTTCACCCCGATTGAGAAACGATGTCAGGGCTGCGGCAAAATGTTGCATGCCAGTCATGGCAAAGGTGAAGCGAGCAGATACTGCCGGCATTTCCATCTCTATCCTCATTTATCCGCCTTGACAAACGAAAGGTTACGTTTGGACCTCAAAAATCTATTGTCGTCCCACCTCGTTCTAGCTTCCCTGGTAGTTTATGTTCGCTCTTACCTGACAGAGCATCACCAATTCATATCGACTTTCTCAACTAATCTTCTCAAGTCTATGCTCGACCCTTTGCCACACAGTCTAAGCACGACCTTCCCCACTATACCATCTTCGAACAGATCTGCCGTATGTGCCCCTATCATCCTTGCTTCTCGTCTCACCTTTGCCGCCGTCGATCCCATTTTGCAGCGAAACCGGAGCCCGAGTTTGTGATAACCTGGACGGGGGATCCCCCTCTCTTTCCCCAACCAAACCACGGCCGCGCCGCCACTCACGTCCCCCAACCCCTCTCCCTCCTCACCGCTCGCCAAGTGTCCGTCCTCAACCTCCCCGCTGACATCAGCAAGATGTCACCCAAGCACTCCCCCGGGGGGGGCAGCCCGCGCACGCCGCCAGTCTCCTCCGACCCCCCCCCCGTGCCTGAAAAGCACTTTCCGATGGCGCCCCCCCAGCTCGGATCGCTCACTCAGCGGCTGTATGAAAAAGATGACGTGCGGTTACTCCCCGGGTTTGGCGCTAACCACTGGGTAGTTTACGACCGGGAAAACCAGGCGGACCTCACGCCGTTCCCCACGTGGAAACCCCCCCGGAACGAGCCCCCGAAAAACGCGGAGCGCTCGCCCCGTGGGCCCACCCCCGGGTTCGAAAACGCGGTTAGCCCCCTAACCGGGGGGAAAACTAAAAGCGCGCTGCAGGTCGGTTTCGAAAACCTGAAAATTGGGGCGGATCTGAAAGGGATCCTTGAGGGTCTCGCGAGCGACGTGGCGCCTCTTCAGCCCGCCAGCCACAACGCGCTAATCCGCGTGGTTAAGGAGACGGATTCCAGCGCAACTAGCAGCGGGAGGAATACGCCCCGGGCGGCGGACGTGTTGAGCTTCGAGTCGCGGTTCGAGACTGGGAACTTGCGAAAGGCGACGCTGGTTGAAGATAACGAGTACGATTTGATGTTGCAAACGGACGTCGGGATGTCGGGTCACACGCAGTGGTTCTACTTCGGCGTGCGGAACATGCGGCCCAAGACGAGGTGAGATATGGATGCGAAATGGCCGTTTGTTTTGACTGCAGTTCTCTTCATGAGTCTTATGATGCCTTGGGTCGGCGAACAAAAGCACGGAGAGGATTTTGCTTCTTTGTTTAGCCATATCAGCCGCAAAGTGATCGAGGCAACATCTGCTTTAGAGTCCGAGGATCATCATTGAAACTTCTGAAAAGAATGGTGCTTCCAGACGAGGATTTGAAAAGTGTCCAACGAAGAATTGAAGGCTTCTTGTCCGGATTACGGTAAAGATACAATTAACCCGAACCGGCCGGAACATCAAATTGGTGTTGGAACAGCTTTGTAACGAAAGCTGTCTTATCTTACCAGGCTCTCAATATGCTCCTCTCAAGGCTCACAGACAAAGAAAATTAAGAGTCCCGATTAAAGGCAAACCCATTCCCTGCGCAGGTACAAGTTCAACGTCCTTAACCTGCTCAAACCGAAGAGCCTTTTCCAAGAGGGGATGCGCATTCTCGCATACTCAGAGCGTCTGGCATCGACGATTAAGCAGGGGTGGTTTCGTACCGGGGACGAGATTGCGTACTTTCCGAACAAGGTTAAGAAGAAAGGGACGGGTTACTACACGCTAACCTTCGTGCTGGACCCGCCGTTTGCGGACGACACGCTCTACCTGGCGTACTGCTACCCGTATACGTATACGGATCTGCAAGCGTATCTGAAGGTGAGGATTCGAGAGACTGGTTGATACCGTCTCCTCTTTGCTGACATGGGATCAGTGCCGGTTCTTGTCGTGATGTTGAAACGCCGTCTGTAAGAAGCATTGGGTCGAGGGAGGCCTCAGCTTTGCTCGCAATCTTTGACATTGGTACCCAATAGCGGTGCAAGGGCCGCCTGGTGCTTGGAAAATGATCATGTCCACGACGAACTAAAATGTGGAGCTGTTGAGGAATGCGTAGCTTAAAATCGTTCGTACTTCCCGAACCGGCGCTTCGAAACCATAGTAGCAAATTTATGCTAGTATTCTGAAGCAAGAGCAAAGGAACGGGCCGTCCATGCTTAACCCGCGATTTTCTGTTTGCGACCGGTCAGATGGGCCTGTTTACTTTTGTGAGCCAGACAAAGTCAGAAGAGAAGAGACCGATCTCGTTAACCTGGATCCCATAACTTAACAGTTCGCTTTCGTCAGGTCTTGTGTTCAGAACCCGTCCGGTAGCTTTTCGTCGATACATCAACAGACGTTATGCTACCTGTATTCAAACAAGAGCAGAGGGACAGGATCTATGGATCAGAAAGCAAATCTCTCGACTTAAATTCTGAGAGCCAAGCAACCCTCTCCCGGCAGGCTTTGTGTTCCGATCCTGTCCGGTCGCCCTTCGTCGAACGGGAGCTCCTCTGTCGGACGCTGTCCGGAAACCGGTGCGATCTGCTGACCATCACCTCGCGTGGCGGGCAGGAAAAGGTGAGCCAATAGGTAGCCCCGAAACAAAATATAGATCGTCCGTTAAAATAGAGTCACCCACAAGCGGTGCCGAGAAGTATCACTGTGCTCCTGCATCTTGCCTGAGCTTGCTTTTATCGATTTCCAGAAACTGCCTTTGGCTTCTTCGGACATTGGCCACCAGTCTCAGTCTCAAACGATACCTCTTGGATTATCTGAGCGTCGATCGCGCGTTTGCGAATTCCCGTCGGGTCAGAATGCTCAAGCGAGCGAAATTCGTGAAGCCTGGAGGAGTCGGCATTGAAATCCTGTCATATTCGGACGGCAAAGTTGGCGTGCCGCTTTTGTCCGCACGAAAAACTGATTGCCCGTTGCGCGCAAGCAGAATGTTCGACTTTGGACCGTCGTGGCAGCTGCAGGAAAAAGAAGCGCGTATAAAGCAAACCCGGTGTCTCCGTCTAACAAGCCCAGTGTGCTCAGACGCTTCCCACTTTATGTACTGATATCGGGTACTTTATTCAGTCACTAGTTGTTAGCATAGTAGCCTACTATGCTTTTGAATTGCAGGGCCAGCTCAAAAAGCGCGCTCACAGCACATCCGGTGTGTCCATGAGACCAAGCCCAGTGGGCTCAGACGGTTTCCAGTTCTGGTAATCACTGATTTAATCACTCATGTCTCCCTTGTCTCCTTTGTTTGACCGTCTACTTTGCACTTGTGGTTGCAGGGCAAGCCCAAGAAGCGCGCGGTGGTCCTGTCCGCGCGCGTGCACCCGGGGGAGAGCAACGCGAGCTGGATGATGAAGGGCGCGCTCGACTTTCTCACCAGTGCGCGGCCCGAGGCGGAGAAACTGCGCGAGACCACGATATTCAAGGTGAGACGATCGTGACAATTCTAAGATAGCCTCAACAGTCTTGGTCTGCAAACTCGCTTTCGACCTTCTCCTTGGGTTAACTCCAGGCGCAGTCAGCCGAGCTGCAGCTTTTCCAGGGTTTGATCTGGTCTTCGGTCAGAAAGATTGTTCCTAGAAAAGTTTGAAGTGGATCACGTCAAAGCTGTATTCAGAAACATGCGTTCCGAGGTTGCACTCGACGGCGAGGTATCGGAAAAGTGCTGGTGGCTCTCCATTGAGTCCAGATGCTCGGATGCCAAACCCTGCAGGTGCAATCTTCGTTTTATCGCCGATTTGCGCAGGAGGTTTTTGGAACAATGACAAGCCGTAAGGCCCCATTCTGGTGCGGCTCTGATCAACATTCCGCCTACTCCGTTCCGTTCCGCCCAGATCGTTCCAATGCTGAACCCCGACGGCGTGATCAACGGCAACCACCGGTGCTCGCTCAAGCCACTAGTCTTTTCGAATCGCGTGATGAATCGATGCGGCTTGCTTTCCGACATACTCAAAATTCCGCTCATGCGTTCCCGTTGCGTTCCGTTCAGATCATTCCGATGCTGAACCCCGACGGCGTGATCAACGGCAATCACCGGTGCTCGCTCGCGCAAGTGGACCTGAACCGTCTTTACACCAGCCCGCTCCAAGAGCGCCACCCCACGGTGTGGCACATCAAGGAGATGGTGAAAAGGCTCCAGCAGGAGAGGGAGGTCATAGCGTATGTGGACCTGCACGGGCACTCAGCCAAGAAGAACGTGAGCCATCCGCTTATTGTCTTGTACCCTTTTGTTAACTTAGAAGCTAAGCCCTTCTGTTTTCTGTGCCACTACTTCAAGCCACATCGTTGGGCCGCTGCTTCTGGCACCTGATGCTGCTTCTGGCACCTGATGCTGCTTCTTCTTATCGATTTGCGCATTTTGTCTCCGTGTCTCCGCAAACCCAGCTCTTCTTCGATGCATGCCTTTTGGTAATTCTTGGGCCACCGTCTGCGCGGACACCTTTAGACCCTGTGGTTTTTTGATGTCAAAGGCCCTCGTGTGTAGATGCACTCTAACTGTGAATACCTAGACGAACGAGGTACTCTTCTCCTTCCCAAGATCGGCCCATCATTCCGTAAAAGCGCCTTTCAATCTAAGAAGCTCTATAACCCCATTAATCCTCTGTGTGTCGTTCAATTTGCTTAGAAGTGTTTCTTCACGTGGAATATTCCAAAATTGGATACCCTAAAACCCTCAGTGGTCACTCCCCGACGCCTCGTCACCTTACTCCAATCCCTTCTGCAGATCTTCATGTACGGCTGCGAGAACAAGCACGCCCCCGCGGCCGCACCCGACGCCACCCCCGCGCCGCCGAGCTACGCGGCCGCGGCCGCGACCCGCCTCGCGGAGCGCGTCTTCCCATACCTAGTTTCCAAGGCGGCTCCGGACGCGTTCTCGTTTCCGGACTGCAATTTCCGCGTCCAAAAGTCCAAAGAGTCGACGGCGCGCGTCGTGGGCTGGCGCGAGTTTGGGCTGCTCAACTGCCTGACGCTCGAGGCGTCGTTTGCGGGGCCGTCGATCGGGCGCGTAGCAAACCACGTGAGTGCGACGCTAGTAGATTCACCATTTCCTTTCTGTGTTCGTCTGTTTCCTTCTAGTTTCATAGTGTTTCATTTCGAGTGCCTCGTTACTACTTGGGCTGCTCAACTGTCTGACGCTCGAGGCGTCGTTTGCGGGGCCGTCGATCGGGCGCGAAGCGAATCACGTAAGTGCACCCTTTTTAAACTTTGCTTCCGCTTTCTCTTGTTCTCATGACACCCTTTATCTTTTTCTATGGTGTATTGAGCCGCGCCTTCACCATTTTTGCGCTCACTCCTCTGGTGACTAGAATCTCGCTTTCCTTCGGGGGCAGTCCATCCTATTGCAGTCATCGCAAAATACCGGATTGACAAGCATGTTCAACATCGCATGGTCGCCAGGGCAACGACGTTCTCGCTGCGTCCGTGAAGCTGACACACAGTCCCTAAGAGAAAGTCGGAATCGGATCCATTAATTTGGTATAGGGATTCCGTCCTTCTTCCCACTTAGAACCGCACACTTTCAGTCCCACTCACACAAGGTCGATACTTTCTCGCAGCACTTTACCATGGCCGATCTGATGGACATGGGCGCCTCGCTCTGCCGCGCGCTCCTCGAATACTGCACGGTCGCCGAAACGCCTTCCCCCGAGCGGTCTCTCCCAGACATCCTCAAAGAGGTGGAGGCCGCCCAACCGGGCACTTCTCAGGGCGACCCAAACGGCTCCGACGAAGACTCCGAAGCCGGGAGCAGCGCGAGCGACGACGTTCCGCACGATTTGCGTCAGGGAAAGGGCGGCCTCGCGTGGGCGCTCGGCGGCCGCAAGAGCGCCAAAACCCCGGGGGTTCCGGCGGGCGACGGTGCGGCCGCGGCTGCGGCCGCGCGCGCGCCCGCGAAGCGGAAGAAGCGGCGGAAGAAGGCGCGGAAGGTGGACCTCGAGGAGATGGCACGCAAGATGGGGACGGCGAAAGTGCACAGCGAGATGGCCGCGAGCGTGTCGGCGATGCTCCAGGCGAAGGGCGGCCGCGGGGTGGTTTGCGAAACCCCGCATAAACCCGGGCGCTCGTCGTGGGCGCGGCCGTGGCCCGACGTCGCGCGGTTGTTGGGCGGCGAGGGGTTTGGGGTTTTAGACAAAGGGGCGTCGTTCCGGCGGCTTCCGGTGGAAGCCCCGATTGTGGACCTAGGAGTTGAGGGGTCGGTGATCAAACGGGCACCCCGGAGAACTAGCAAGGGCAACATCCCGTTGCCCCGGTTGGAAAAGGGGACGTCGTTTAAACTGGCCCCCATGCGGGAGCCCCCGCCCGACCTAGACTTGTCGTGGCTGCCGCCGCTTTGAGTTGGAAGAATCGCGTTTTACCTCGTAGGTGAAGGACGCTCGCATGCCATTTGTGTTGGTTCTTGGCTTGCCGGTCGTTTGTGATTCTTGGGCACTGCTTGGAGCAAGCAAAATAAGGACGTACGAGCAAGGACCAAGAAAGTGTCGCCTGCTTCCACTGTCCACTGACTGAGAGCTCGAGAATTCTTTACTAATCGTTGCGGTCATGGCAATTCTTTCGGCAACTATGACGACATTTTCAGTTCGTTGCAACAGACAAGGCTCAAGCACAGATTTGCGCCTAATCTGGCTTTGGTGTCTCTAAGCAGGCTCGTGATTAAAAGGAGTTGACATCGTGGCCTAGTGGTTCGTCCGGCATACCTGAGTGATTCCCATGAAGGTGTATCGTCTACTTCGATTATGTTTGGAAAAATCTTCGATCAGAACATTGCATGCAGATCATTGGATCCTGCAGTACAAGAAAGGCGTTACACAGCGATTGCCGCAAACGGAAGTGCTATTCAGCAATGTTAGTAATACAAGCGCGATAGTAACGAATTGCATCATTGATATCCGATTGATATCAATGATGCAATTCTTATCATCGATGCAGCATCTCGAGCCGCTTATAAAGCATTCCTGGCCAGGTGGCAATTGCATGTACTGGCAGGCCCCGTGCCTGTCCACTTCGCGAATGTATGTGACGCCTCCGCATTTTTTGCTATTGGACTGGTCAGACTATTGTCACCAAGAATTCGCTATACACTGATTGGCGTACCGCTGTCTATACTGGCAACTCACTTGTTTCTTCAGGGGCTTGTCTTCTAAGATTCACAAGCCCTAGGCACCGCAACAAAAAACGTGACCCAAAAGCTCGTGCGCTTCGCAGCCTACTACCCATGCACCCTAACCACTAAACCAACCCTACCCGGCCCCCGGCCTGTAACCTAAGGAGACAAGCCCTTACCAGACAAAGAATTGTAGCCAAGTCCGCAGATTGAATATATAGCGGTTGGTGGACAAGGCTGCCTATCGGTGTCACCACGTGCACCGCCGATATTGGTAATTTTTACAGCTGGGACGGCAATAATCGCTCCTTCTGAAGCTCATGGTACTACAAGAACAGTAAAATATGTGTCCGGTCAGTCTAAGCTGACTTCATCAGCTGAGAACGGACGGCTCTGACAGTAGGTCGCAATGAACAGTCTCATCCATCATCTGGCGACGAGCCTTTGGACGTTTTCAACAAAATTTTGTTCTTGGGTAACTTCAACGATACTTCTGATGGGGACTCGCTCTTGTAGAACAAGTTTGAGAAGCCGCGACGCTTTAGATCTGAACCTCTCTCAGCCCCACTTGCAACAATTTTCTGTTCGGTGGCACCAGCGATGGTCCCAGGATTGCAACAATTCTTTTGTATCAATTTACGTGACTCCTCACCTCTAACCGACCTCCATATCTTTGCAGAATCGTTCAGAGGGCGTTCAAGGGCGCATCCGACCAGCCGACTCCTGCGGCTGCACTCCCCTCTGCACGGCGTCTATAGTCTTATCCTTTTCTATCCAAGTAAGTAATAGCAATCCCAGCTGAACATGGACTGAGATCTGTTGTCGAGTCCTCCAAGCAATAATGCTAAGGTCATCGCGCTGCCAAGGCAGACTCAAAAACTTAAAGTGGACGGAGCTGTCTCCTACAACAACGCTCTGCACTAAAAGTACTGGTGGATAAGGTTTATAAACTCGAGTTCTCAGCTGGTTGTTAGACCACTCCTCGATCCGGGAGTTTGTCTCCCCGAGATCTGCTGCTAGCGCGTCGATCTTTGACTTATCCAATCTTTATACACGTCGTCTGAATTACTGTCCCGAAAAACTGCCTGAAAGAAATCTACTGTGTTTGGCTAAAATTGCTTCTGACTGCTATTGTGGCATATGGAAGTAGACTCTCGTTCACAACCTGCGGCATGATAGATATCTCGTAAGGGTGCCGATCACAACTCAAATGCTCCGCTGTTGCTGCAGCCATGGCGATTGCAGTGATTGTACTGAATGAATCTTGTATGTGTACACATGATTGACGCAAACATGAACGCGCAGAAGATGATCGACCAGTCGCATCGATCCCCATCCAAGTTCAAGCTCGCATGGCAAATTGATGCGCATGCTTGGCTGACGTACTATGTCAAGCGGTAGAACCAATGCTTCGAGGCGGCTCACCTTCAACTGGACTTATTGGAGCGATAACAGCCGCTGCAAGTTCATCTTGTCTTTGACGGTATTGCAATTGGACCGGCCACCCCCCTCTCACTTCTGTGTCCTCGCGTTCTTTCGCGTCCTGTCTAACCGTTCCATCAGCTCTATCTGCGAGAAAGGTACGCCATGATGGGTATATTTGGACGGCTGTCTGCTTGCCGAGCGGAAGCGCTCATTTGATGGCGTCCAAAGCAGGAGTTAATATACAAACTTATTTCGACGAAGTTACTTCAACCCTCGGGAAAAAAACCGCTGCTCTTCAATTACCTCTTCCGTCGTATACCTTATTCATACAAAGCGCTGTCTTCGCGGGCGTCTTATTTGGACAGATATGCTTCTGTCTTGTACGACCTCTATTTGGCTGGACCAGTGTTTGTGTTCTTTCTGTCTGTTGGGCGTCGGAAATGTAATTACTGCCATGCTTTCCCCGAACGACGAACGTGAGGACTCTGCAAGACTGGTTGGAAACAAAAGCAGTAATCGAATTTATATTCCGCGTAGTCTCACTTCCTAAACCTCTTCCAAGAAGTCCCAAAGCGGATGCGTACCCTTTTTCCAAGATGAAGCGCTGAAATTAGACAGAGTCCGATTCAGATCCCCCCATTCCAGGCCTTACCCTGCATATTTCCGGGCGTCCAAGTTGGAGGCTTACGAGTGCCTCGACGGCAACTACTAGGTAGCTCAAGGAGCCGGACCTCCCCGCTGCCACCGCCAAGGCAGCAATCAGGCGGCTCAACATTGCCCCAAGGACCGCGCTCTTCCAAGAGAAGCTGGCCGAGAACACGCAGCAAGTGCGGCGATGCGTGGACAGCTCAGGTAAGGGGTCCCTCACATGTGCGGTACGAGATCGAAAAGGGTAACACGTTTACCTTCTAACGCACAGGAAGTGAAAGGGTGTGCTTCGGAGATCAACCAGCGGCCGGGGACCATGCTAGTTATACTTTGTACCTATACTAAGCCGCCCTCCAAGTGTTAGAAAGCAAGGGCTGAGCGAGGGTGAATGCCCATCTGCGGATCTGAATCCTTCATTTTGATCAAGACGTGAGGTGCTTACGTTGGTGTGGCTCTGCGTGATTACGCCATGTGGAATTCAGAGGGCGTTCTGTCCCGTAACAGCCTGGTAGAAAATGATGAAATCTTTTCTAGATACAGAAAGCTGGCTCGCTATGAGTGCACCAGTCTGTCATTTCGTTTCGTACACGAAAGTTTGTCACAGCCTGTCTGCCTTTGGCGGTGGAGTTAGTTAAGTTGTCGACTTTGATCATCCGGGATCTGCCTCAGCAGCTCTGCCTACTCAATCTGTTACTTCGATGCGGATAACCGATGGAACTCACGACAGTTGCTGATAAGTTGGCCCTTTTGGTGGAGCGGTCCTGCTCAAGGGAGAAGGCCTGGGTTGAGGCTGCTGTAAAGATGGCGACGAGAAACAGAACCCGATCAACATCGCATCCGCAAACAACTTTACGCATTTTTCTACAGGCTAAGTAGTGCGGGCGTATGAGGACCGTTGACCTAGGTTCCGTCCAGCATGTGTTGACAACTTTGTGTGGATCCAGCTGAGTCGAGTACAGTTGGAAATCGACTTACAAACAAGTTCCCGTATGGATGTGAGTGGCAAGCAACGAGCGGCAAGCAAGCAGCCCATCTCAAAAAAAATGAGCACCCGTATATATTCGAATATGCAGCCAGAAAGTCTCGGGGGACGCTTGTGCCCGTGACTCCTTGAATCTGTTTTATGTCCCTAGATTGGTTGCGTGCAATGACGCGATCTTATCCTTACCGGTTACTGGTTACCCAATGGCGCACACACCCGTGCGCAAGTATTCTGAGCGGTGTGACTGCGCAGTCGTGCCAAAGCTAGGTTTGTGTTCTTGGGTATAAGGCGTTCAAGGACGTGCACTGCAAGATCATATTGCATGGCCGTCATGCCCCATCGGACATCATACCAGGATACGATCGGTGTCTAACCGTCCGACTAGACCGTCAGAAGGATTCGTACTGATCACGGTGCAGTGCACATGCCTGATTACCTTAGCCAGTTGATTGGGTCAAACTTAAATTAGACTTGGGAAAAGGGCGGCTGCCGAGAGCAGCCTATCATTGCGGCCGGCCCGGGCCCCAGCCGCGCCACAGATGACGCGTATCGATTGGCGGCTATAAGCCACTGAGGCATGGGCCGCGCCAACCAGCTGCATGCAACCATTTGGGGTGGCGGCAGAATCGGACATGTGCGTATGTTGATTTCAACCGCTGTATGCACCGCACACACACATGTGTGTTAAGTTGCCCGATCTGACAGAACAGATTCCCTCGACCTACACCTGTAGATATTTACGCCTCAGTACAATCGCGGCTCAATCTGCTGAGTCACTCACTGCATGCAAGTCAAATCAACATTTCAACATCACATGAACTCAAAGATGCAATTTTATAGTCTGGCCATATGCGGCGTAAGGTACCAACTGTTGAATGGCCATGCCGGCACCGTCGCTTTAAACATACCTTAGGTATGATCTAACACATGTGACATGAAGTGTTCACGTCTTCCAATCGCAATTAGAAGCAACTTTCGGACTCAGGTTGTGTCGGATGGGCATTAGTATATGCATGTCATTCGCCAGGTCACTTTGACACATGTCTGCAGCGTAAGCACGACTTTGTCGGTTGTGGCAATCCGATGCAGATTGGTACTTGGGGAACTCGTATCTCAGTAACAGTAAGATATTAGGACTTTTTAAATACCCCTAGCTGCTTGGCAATCATAGTACCAAGCCAAACAACGGCGGCCCCCTTCATCCAACTCATCAGAATCTGCACCTGCTTCTCCACTCTCTCACTAGCGTCTTTGCTCCGCTCGCTCGCAGCCGCGCTCCGCTCGCTTGCCGCCTCGCTGCGCGCGCTCGCCTGCTCACTCCGCTCGCTCGCCTCCGCGCTGCGCGCGCTCGCCT